AGTAAGTGACCCGCGACCCCCATTGAATTAAAAAGCCGAAATTAGTATGGAAATTAATAAGCATTAAAATAAGATTTTCTAGTAGACTTTCAATATGAACTACTCTTGATAACTGTTTTGATAGCATGAGTAAAATTGCATACTATTCACTAAACCTTCGTGGTTAAGTTTTTAATTAAAAAAAAATTGTTAACGCCAACCTATGTCGTTATAATTATCTTAATTTGTTTTTAATCGAAGAATAGTGTTGAAAATATAGTCTCGAAAAGTCAATAAATTTTACGTTTGGGTATGAATGGTGAATACTACACCAAAATTGTGTCTGCAGTTTTTCATCTTACTCGGAATTATTCTGCAAATCAAAGAATTCATCTTGTAATTCATCGGAAATGCTGGCAACATCAAGGGAAGAAGAAAATGGATAATACGTAAATGCAGATTCTTCTTTTTTCAGCTCAGAGAAATAGCGATGCAGTTCGTTTTCAAGAGATTCAAGATGCCCAGAAATCGCTTCTTTCAAATTTTAATTATCTCACAATCAGAGTCATCTGCCACACAGCAGAGTTTCTCAAATTTACAATATTTCCTAGATTTATTTTCTTAACCGATTTTGCAGCTTTGATTAAAATGCACCGAGATTATCATGGAAAGTTATAATATTCGTTCATTTTCCCTGAAGCTTCAGGTTAAACTTATCTTGATGTTCGAACACATCTACTAGGTATGATACTCTCTCCAACCATTAAATGTCGTTTTAAGTATACCAAAAAGTCTTGTTTCCTTTGTACTTCCAAGAACAATTTGATTTCAGATTTTAATTAAAAAACACAATTTACAACATTTCGTTTGACAGCCAGCGTACTGTAGTGTAGAAGAGCAGAACCTCGTGATCTATATTAATGCTTTTGCTCAGTTCTTTGAAGGCTCCAGATTTTATATAATTTACGACTTATACTAGCAATGGACTCTTGATGTCGATTGGTTAGGGCAGTGGTTAGGGAGCTAAATCTTTTCTGTTTTTTGAAAGCCCGATTTTGAGCTAAACATAGATGGCGCACCATCCGTACAAACCCCAACAGCCGTTCTAAAACATTTTAATCATCCAGTTTAAAAAAAAGGTATTTATTTTCTCCATGCTATCTTCACAAAAAAGCAACTCTTCTTTGTTATCATCTGCATGAATATAGACACAGACCAGCAACTGCGAACACGAACTCACGTCTGATGATTTATCAACTTGAAAAGCAAACAATGGTGAAAGCTTAATTTCAATAAAAATGTGTTATTTAACATTTACGTACATGCAGCGTTAGATGAGATTTTCTCCTATTGTTTTTTTTTTTTTTTTTTTTTTTTTTTGCTTGGCATTTGCTATTGCGACTTCATTTGATGCTTGCACTAATGCTGGTGAAAACTTCCTGTTCGATCAAGTCTCTGGCGTTTGAAACTAGCTTCTTACCGACGAAAGAACTCCATATATTTTTTGGTGTGTTTCGAATGACTAGTCTCAAATGACGTTTTAGTTTTGAATATTTCATGGATTCGTGACTGAGAACAACTTTGTACAGTGCTCTGTGTTTCTTCTCTATTACATTTCCAGTGATGTTAATGAAGCCGAATTTCAAAAATTCTTCTAAATATTTATGTTTTGTTTCAAATTACTAAGGTTTAGTATACCAGTTGGCGACCCCCCAGAAAGACCTTCGCGACCCCCCATTGGAAGTCCTGCTAGACTCGGGAATTCCCACCCCTTACAGTACTTACATCGACCATTGGAAGTCCTGCTAGACTCGGGAATTCCCACCCCTTACAGTACTTACCATCAGATGACCTACTACACTTACAGTGCACACCATTAGGCGCCTGCCTAACTCCTATCTCCGCCTCCCTTCAGTCAACACCTATTACTTAAGTGAAACACATGAACTGTTGAGACGATGAAAAGCCGTGACTGACTTAGGCCTTCATAGGTAGTAATCGTAGCGGGGACGAACAAAGTGTTAATTGTCGCACATATACATCAGGATGTCTTTGTCGTGGTTAGCTCGCAGTATGAAAGGACGCTGAAATAATACAGGGGGCGGGCGACGGAAAATAGAATAGAAATTGTGCGACACAGCTGAGTTCAAAGACGTCATCACGTCGAACGTTCTAGTCTATTCTACCGCTTCACCGCCCCTGCCACTTGACGTTGGAGGAAAAAAGAAAAAAAATCCCGCCTAGAAATCAAATTTCACAAAGGTGAATTCATCCCCATTCCTCAACGTGAGACACATGCTACTAGTACGCTATAACACAAGTGTCCACGCAAACATTCAAATACACGCTTGCATTTAAATACACACATGCATTCAAATACACGCATGCATTCAAATACACGCATACATTCAAACACACACATACATTCAAATACACACATGCATTCAAATACACGCATACATTCAAACACGCACGCATTCAAATACATACATGCATCCAAGTTAACGCATATATTCAAATACATGCATACATTCAAATACACGCACATATTCAAGTACACTGTACATTCAAATACAAGCCTACATTCAAATACATGCATACATTCAAGTACACTGTACATTCAAATACAAGCCTACATTCAAATACACGCATATAGTCCAATACACACCTACACCCAAATTAACGCCTTCATTTAAATTCACGCATACACATAGCGCTTTAGTATAGGCTGCTACTTCTCAAAAGCTGCTAAAATAAAGCATAAAAAACAAAAAGCGTTAAACTACAAAATTTTATTGTAATAATTAGACAAGTATCAACAGTAAATTTTACCCATTTACAATCATCTTAATAAAACATAACCAATCATACACCAACTTCACATCAAGTAATTCAAACAAGCTGAATAAATAAAGAGATCTTTGTTCCACCCATCAATATATTTAACCCTTTACAGTCTAAGCCACGTTAGGGGTCATCCATTTATGACGTCCACAAATTTGGAATTTTAGACACCCCCCTCCCCGTCCACAAGCTTCCACTTACGACACTCCCCCCCCCCCCCCCTCACCCACCCCGTGTCATAAATGGATGACCCCTTACATACTGAAGCCTTCACTCCTCGCTTACTGAATCAGACGTGTAACAAACGTATAGTAGTGCTAGTTCTACGTTTTATTTAGCTGTCAACATATTAATTAAAGTATCTTTTAGGCGCGTCACATGCAGTGGCGTAGGCAGGGGGGTTAGGGGGGGGTCATAACCCCCTCCCCCATAGACCCCTCGGTATATATATAAAGTATGAACGGGGGTGCAAATCGAAAGTTTGGGGGTGTGCAAATCAAAAGTCTGAGGGGGGGGGTGCAAATCGAAAGCTTGTCCCCAGGTAAAATTGGAACCCCCCCCCTTGAGACGATCCTGGCTACGCCACTGGTTAAATGAGTGAAGAATGTCGATTAGAGGTGAATATTGGACGGAGAGATCAATATCGTAATACGTGTGTTAATAGATTTTTAATTACCGGGACAGTAATTAGTGTAATTACTTCTAAGTGACTCATTGCACACTTTGCGATTTGTTGTATCGGTATGTTTCAACGCTGTATAGGGGACTATGGTAATGGGCGTTAGGGGGCGAGGGTAAGGGCGTTAGGGGGCGAGGGTAAGGGCGTTAGGGGGCGAGGGTAAGGGCGTTAGGGGGCGAGGGTAAGGGCGTTAAGGGGCGAGGGTAAGGGCGTTAGGGGGCGAGGGTAAGGGCGTTAGGCGGCGAGGGTAAGGGCGTTAGGCGGCGAGGGTAAGGGCGTTAGGGGGCGATGGTAAGGGCGTTAGGGGACTAGGGTAATTGGTTTTAGGGGGCTGAGGTAATGGGCGTTAGGGGGCTGGGGTAATGGGCTTTAGGGGACTAGGGTAATGGGCGTTAGGGGGCTAGGGTAATGGGCGTTAGCGGGACTAGGGTAATGGACGTTAAAGGGCTAGGGTAATGGACGTAAGGGGGCTAGGGTAATGGGCGTTAGGGGGACTAGGGTAATGGATGGTAGGGAGGTTGGGTTACATGTTTTGGGTTTAAGGATTTAGGGTAAGAGCTCTAAGATTTAGGGTAAAGGAAATAGAAGTGTAAGGTGATGTACATGCTATGTTTAGGACGGTGTGGGGGTAGGGAGGTAGGCGGATAGGATGTTAGGAGTGTAGGATATTAGAGTGTTAGTAAGGTAATTAGGTGCGATGGTAAAGGGAAGGACAGTAGAGGGGTTAGGACGGTAGAGAGGTAGGACGGTACAGATGGTGTGACGGTTGAGGGTGTAGGACAAGAAATTAGGGCCGTATGACGATAATTCATCATCCCTTATTGCTTCAGAAATATCCATATTATTTCTCTGTTACCTCCCTTGGTGGAGCGATGCTACATTTCTGCTATTACCTCCCTTGTCTTGGCGATAAAAACAAATTTCCAGTAGCCTCCCTTGTACCGTCATTTTCTAGATTGTACACCTTCACCGGGTCTTGTTGATTGCGGTGTCTAGTCTGCGATACCGTCCAACATCAGAATTTTAATGTGTTTCTTCTACCGGAACAGTCACATCATGAAACAGCTCCCACTCGGGCTATCTCGATGTGTTTCTAATACCAAAACACTCACATAATCAAACAGCTCATACAAGAGCTATCTCGATGTGTTTCTAATACCAGAACACTCACATAATCAGACACTGCCCACAATAGCTATCTCGATGTGTTTCTAATACCAGAACACTCACAGAATCAAACAGCTCCCACTCGGGCTATCTCGATGTGTTTCTAATACCGGAACACTCACATAATCAAACAGCTCATACAAGGGCTATCTCGATGTGTTTCTAATACCAGAACACTCACATAATCAAACAGCTCCCACTCGGGCTATCTCGATGTGTTTCTAATACCGGAACACTCACATAATCAAACAGCTCATACAAGGACTATCTTGATGTGTTTCTAATACCAGAACACTAACAGCATCAAACAGCTTCCACAAGGGCTATCTCGATGTGTTTCTAATACCAGAACACTCACAGAACCAAACAGCTCCCACTCGGGCTATCTCGATGTGTTTCTAATACCAGAACACTAACAGCATCAAACAGCTTCCACAAGGGCTATCTCGATGTGTTTCTAATACCAGAACACTAACAGCATCAAACAGCTTCCACAAGGGCTATCTCGATGTGTTTCTAATACCGGAACACTCACAGAACCAAACAGCTCCCACTCGGGCTATCTCTGTGGCCGCGACCGGTGGAACAGTTTGAACGCGTCGTGCCAGTCCCCGGGGACCAGCCGAAACAAAGATGGCCGCCGGTAGAACATGAGCATGTACATGGTCTGGTCGTCATCCACCACGCCCTCCTCCATCCACTCCCGCAGCATCGAGCGCTGCAGCGCGTACACCTCCTGGACGGCCTTGACCCCGCCGCCGAAAAATCCACCCGGGAGGATGTTGATGCTCATTTTGTAGAGCTTGTCCTTGACCTTTTCGAACTGCCTGACCCCCGGGTCACGTTCTATGAAGGTCATTTTGTGGGAGTGTTCGAAAAGGTCTTTGGGGATCCAAACACCTTCCGGTGGATATATTTCTTGGCCGTGTCCATATCCACCGTCTATCCATATAAAGTACGACGTGTGGAATGGATTCTGTATTATGGAGCTGAAAGTAAATGTTATTTGATACAATGTTTACGTGAAGTTTATGGAGGAAAATCATGATAAAAGAAATGGCATTTAAATTTTTTTTAAAAACTAAGTAATCCTTTCCAGCCTGACTGATGAAGTAGAGTTCACCTGTTTCTGTGACCTCGGCATATGAAGAGATAGTGTGGCCAGCACTATGCACAACAACCTATATTTTCACTAAGTCACAACCAATGAGAGATGTGTATGGACGTCCTACAGCCTCGAGCCGGGATTCGAATTCTAGAGTCAAGTTAGCAGTCGTACGCTCTACTATCCAGTCATGCCGTTCCATATCATTACTATACCTACACCTAACTATACAATTATTTGATACTTTAATGACAAAACAGATTTTAAACAAATAATTCAAGCTGTTTAGCGTACACGGACAGTTCCCCATCTACATTCATGCCGTGCATATTTCAACAATAACCTCTTCCCTCCCAAAACTACTGTAAAACTACTTAATCAGACTTTGAATTTCGATGTTGAGTCACGCAAGTCTAAATAAAATACATTGCAAGGAGGTGAGAAAACATTTATCACGAATTAACCCTAACCCTAACGAATGCCTTTACGTGTGTGTTCCATATGGTTAAAAGCCACACACATATATATGCACGTATGCATATGTGAATTAGAATCTGTAATAGTTTTTCGATCGCTTGACCAAGTTCTAACAAATCGGAAATTGACGTTGGTTATTTATAAAACTAGCTCAACCCTAACTTTGATGTAGAGCGTCATTATAAAAGTAAATACGTACACGTTTAAGAAATACAGCTTGGAGAGCTGTAGGATATCATACTCCGGCACGTAGGACTCGCACAGCTTCTTCTGGTACAGTTCATTGTCCCGCTGGTACTCGGGACTTCTCATGATCTCAGACATTCGATCTCTGTACCTGATCAAGTAAACGTGGACATACTGTTGTAAATTTTCGTGAACATTACACAGGAACCTTGAGTTAGAATAATGATTAACATGTAATATTTTATGTATAATTTGGGCTTGCCTTAGCTTAGTGATTATGGAGGCTTTATGAGTTTTTGTACCGTAGTATCTTCAGATTTTTAAGTTGTATCTAAGAAATTTAGTGCTGTGGTTATTTGTGTTTTACAGTTTCGTTAGAGGCTTTTATTTCGCAAATAATTTAAACAAGCTTTATTGGCATATAGTAAACTTTGTGTGTTAGTATTATGAAGTCTAAAGCACTTAGTTACTTGATCGGATGAAGTGTGTTGTGATTTTGTGATACATTATCTTATTTAAAATTGTACCTTTCCTGTTACAAAAAGACACTTTTAACTATTCCTTACGGTTGTTATTTAAAATTCACATATACTGAGGCAAAACTATTCTAATCGATGGTTACACGAACCATAAGTTTACCTGTACCTGCACCCACCTGTAATACGGTAATGACGTAATATCCGTGACGACCACAAACGTCCTGTCCTCACGGCCCCGCCGCATCCAATCAACGAACGGCTTCCCCTTCTGCTCGACAAACACGACGATGTTCATGTCCATCCTCAGCAGCTGCTGCATGTACAGCAGGTAGGTGTTGTAGGACCTGGACTGCTGATCCCACGACCCACGGCCAATGTCCAGCATCGCCGTCACCACGGTGTAGTTGTACAAGCCTGTTACCAAGGGAATGAAATGAGTTTTTCTTAAAAAGGGAAGTAATCACATTTAGGTTAAATATAACAGTAATGTACATTTTATAGATCAATGGTTTCCCTGCTGTCAAAGTGTTTTTGAAAACACAAAACAAATATATTTATTAGTTGTTCTACTATACAATAAATACTAAAAGTTGTATTATTTTATTTTTTTTTAAATGTTTATAACTAATTATATAACCTTAAACATTTATTCTCCAAACAACTATTAAAATAAGAGGTTCCTTTAAATTACCTCGCTGTCATTATCAAGTTTAGTAAACCTACAGATATTTCCGATTTTACATGTATTAACAACACTTTAGGTCAGGGGTCGTATGCGGCTCTTTTGATGTCATGATGCGACTTTCCAATTCCATGCACTAATATTACTTATATTTTATTTTCAAAACTCATTTTACACAATTATACAGTAAAGAAAAGCAACTTAAACTTTAAACAGGATAAACACACTAATCGGAGAACAGTGAGATTATGTGAAGTAGAGCCAATACAGACAGCTCACAGCCGCTTGGGCACCAGGCCCACAGCAGTGCTGTAGGCAGCTCCGTGGCAACAATTCAATGCTTGCCACTGCTCTAGTGCCGACCTTTTTTAATATCGTTAAATGTGGAATGTCAGAGGCGTAGCGAGGGGGGGGGGGCGGGGGGGACACATGTCATCGGGCGCCGACCTTAGGGGGGCGCCAAATTGAAAGTTTGAGGGGGGGGGGTGCAAATCAAAAGTTTGAGGGGGGGGGGTGCAAACATAAAGTTCGAGGGGGGGGGTTGCAAATCGGAATTTTGAGGGGGGGGGGGGGGTGCAAATCGAAAGTTTGTCCCCGGGCGCCGGGAAGGGTCGCTACGCCTTTGTGGAATGTTATTTTATTCAGTAGACATCCCCCTACCTGTCAGTAGTCATTAATTTAACCTGAGTGACGAAGTATTTTAGTTATTAGCTTCCTACAGTTGAGCCAGGTACTGGACGGTGGGGAACGAGTAGGGTGGAAGATGAGTCATGTGAGAACCGAAGGACAAACGCGACCGTTGCAGTAATCACATCGATACCCAAGCCAGTTAATCGGTCGTGTTGAGGGCTGTCTGGCTATGGGAGACACCTCCTGAGTTAGTGGTGTCCGTAAAGAAAGAAAAAAAAGTTATTGGCTTGTAAAGTGAATTGGGATAGTCCTTTAATTTAAAAAAAAAATAATATTTGATAACTAATTTTATCATAGCAGAGCTAGCTAAAACACTTTTTGTGCGAAAAATTTATTTGTTTTATATGAATCAATATTAGTTCATATTTAACGCTATTTATGTCAAATAAAAAATCAATTTTATTTACCTAATCCTTATAAAAAAATTCAAAATATTGAAAAAAATAATGTTAGGGGCTCTTTAAAAACTGGGAAATTTTGTAAATTGTAACTTTTGGCTCTTCCGTCTCAAAAGGTTGCCGACCCCTGCTTTAGGTGATTTGTAAAAAGGGACAGACCCGAAGACAATGTTTTTCAATAACAAAGCAACGGGCCTAAATTACTAAATTTTATAATAAGCGCAACAAACTACTAAAGAATTTACCAGCTGTACAGGGAATCTCAAAAATGTCAGAGAAAATATCAGAAAACAAATGCCATGATCTCCTGAAGTCTTAAGTATGGCTTTTTGGCAAGTGGGGGTCTGAAAATGGGAAAGGACAATACCCAACTGTGTCTGATTTCACTTATGCAGAGGAAGTGCAGTTTTTCCCCATTGGGATGAAAGCAATTGTGGAATACAAATTCTATTCTTTAGAAGCCCGAGAACGGTCTGCAGAGAAACTGGATTTATCAGGATCAAACCAGAAACCAATCACATAGCTTTTGTGTCCGCTCATAACTTAGGTGTTGTAGAGATACAAGAAGGGGAAGTAACTGGACAACAATTAACTGTAGAAACCACCAATTTAGGCAGGACTTCATTTGATAAACCTCCAGAAGTGAAATCATTAAGAAGAAAACTTAAAAGAATAGGGGACCAGTTGGAACAGTTAATGACCACTAAGGCAGAGGTGACTGAACACCTAAGGATTACTTTCAAGAAAACAGAATAATTATTCAATTAAATAATTATATGCTAAAAAAATATGTACCCCTGTCAGGAAAGTAAGCTTTCCTTAAATCAGAAAGATGTTTGGATTGTATTTGTGATCTACAGTTTGAAATTGTGTTGAAATGGTGTATAGTATTCTTCAGTTTTATTTACAAAAATAATTTGCTAAGTGGAAAACTTAGTAGTGGTCACTCCCATCTGCTTCGGGTCAAGTGTTGACAAAGTAATGTACACACAATATTCTACTGTATTACAACCATTGGTTAGTGATGTCTACAGAACTGTTGTGTCAAATATATTGATGCCGTGATAGCTATTATAAAATATTTTTTATACTTTGTTATTATGTAAATAAAAACTGATGTCTGGGGGGGGGGGTATCAAAAGTACTTAAACTATTGTGAATGGAGGAATGTACATTTCAGAAAGAGGTACTACTATTGTATCAACCACTAACTAGCCGATTGTGGAAAATGTAATACAAAAACGAACAAAGAAGTATATCAATCTACGTTTTTCATTACTTGTCTGGCCCTTACCTTGATGTCAGGTAAATATGGAGACTCCTACAAAGATATTTAAACTTACCTTGATACCAGATAAATATGGAGACTCCTACAAAGATATTTGAACTCACCTTTTTCCGGCCCAAAACCTTCCCAAGACATGGCAACAATGCTGTCCTCTGCCGTCTTGAGCCATGGTAGGTAGCTATTCACGTAGTAGATCAGTGGAAGGGAGGTAATCAACAGGAGCACAACAAGAGCCAGAATTATTTTTTTCTTACCTCCCTGTATTCGCCACATCTAAGAAATAAAATAAAATACATATATATTTAAGAATAGCATCGCTCATATTAATTGTATTTATTTAAATCTTTCGCTGTATGATTAGAAAAACTTAATGAGAGTGTGTATTGTAATAGTCAATATGCACATATCAAACTGTATGTGTTGATGTTAGTGATGTAGGTAATTTTGAAGCGGAAAATATTTTTTAACGGCGATTCATAGATTTAGCTACGATAGTCTAACAAAGACTATCACATGGAATGACGATAAAAGCACATAAAAGTATTCTTTTCTATACATAGTTATCACATAACCAAAAAATTAAGGACCATGGCCTTACGACTGATGCTTTTAAATTCAAATGCCACGAATCAAAATATTGACTGGAAGGTACTAGGCAAAAATAATGGTGAACCTCATCACATAATAGACCATTATTGTTGTGATGCGGAAAAAATTATAAAGGTAACATATCGGAGCTAGACTGCTAACCCCCAAATATCTCTATAGATAAAATAACATAACCACGCATGTACTGCTATATTAGCAAAGTACAATTTTTACAGCTTTATAATCATACTTATAAAATCGCTGTCTCTGAGGCCGTTACAGCTAACTTGCAGCCTTAAAATTACACTAACTCTACACAGCTGTTCTTAAACATTACATTAAACAATGGTGTGTAAATGCAGCGAATTCACACATGTTATGCCTCACGTGAGTTAATTAGATTACAATTTACACCACGTGTTAGTATTAAACAATTACTTACGTGGTAGATATAATAAAACGGTCAGAATGACAAAATTACAAATGGGAATAATACTAGATAGCGCGGGTTAGTGTTAGTGAAATATAGACGGGATAGTGTTGTTGGATAACAGAGTGACTAAATAACACAATTTAGAGACAAAGCCTTCTAGATAACATGGGTTAGAGGTTACAACGAGGTATTTAATGTCAACATGTTATGCATCATATGGCCCTTTGACTTCAACCTGCTATTCAGACTAAATAACTCTAGATAGGGTTACTCGATAACTCTAGTTAGGGTTACTCGGTAACTCTAGTTAGGGTTACTCGATAACTCTAGTTAGGGTTACTCGATAACTCTTGTTAGGGTTACTCGATAACTCTAGTTAGGGTTACTCAGTAACTCTAGTTAGGGTTACTCGGTAATTCTTGTTAGAGTTACTCGATAACATAAGTTAAGGATACTAGAAAACACGATTTCTAATTAGATACACGGTTTAGAATTACTAGACTACTATTTACAGAACGCTGAACACACGGCAATGAATCGATCAACTCCGGTAACCGTTTCAGACTTGACATTTCTTTGTATTTCCACCCCCACCCCCACCCTTCTTTTTCCCACCACCAACTATGCGAAACCCCATCCTCCACACACACACACACACACACACACACACACACACCTCAAACACACCTCATTCTTATCACAAAACTGAAGTGGCGTCCCGACATTCGCTCGAACGAAGAAGTCCTTGTTGTATAGTGGGGGTACTAAAAGACCGAGACGAACACAGCATAGACTCGTATGGTCTAGCTAACAATAAATGTAAATGTTGAATCCGAATGGCTGTGGTTTTAAGTTGGACGCCTCGAATCGTCTTAAGGGGCGTACAACACTTCATTAATTACGAAGCTCGCCTTTATTTGCATTGATTAAATGTTAATTATAACCCATAAACCTGTCGGAGGGTGAGAGGGTGGGGAACGTGGCAGTCACCATCCCCCCCCCCACCCCCCCCCCCCCCCATTCCCTTCCCCAAAAGCGACCCAAAGTACAGATCCTCTGGCATACAGCGTATGTGGAATTGAATGACGGGCGTAGGGTGGGGGTGATAAGGGCATGCCGGGATTTGGACTGTATAAGAGTGAAAAGTATCCCTCCTCCTCCCCCTCCTACACTAACTCTCTCTCTCACACACACACACACACACACAGAGACGAGTGAACTCACAGGCAAGATCTGTGGACAAGGCATGACTAAATCAACAAGAGCCTGTTGCGATCGATGTATGTGTACATACCGTTTAGATCTCAGATTTTGTCGTGAGTAAAGCGCGACAGTCTCGCTTTAGCTATTGTTGTATAACGTGTTGTATTTGATAGGCTCAGGTATACAATGGCTCCCCCCCCCCCCGAACTAAATGAAATTTATATAGTAAACATTTTTTACAGTGTTACAGTGTTACTTAAATAGTGTATAATTTATTTTCTACTTTTTAGTGGATTATCATATAAAAGTTTGTTATTAAAACGTTTTTTATGAAAAATATTTTAGCTTCAATAGCCAATTTATTCGTTATTTATCACACTAAATACTATGCGACAAGCTAATTATTGTGTCCCATTGCCAGTAACATGCAGAGATCAATGGTGAATAAGAAAATGTATAAATCATTGGTGAATAGGACTTAACGTTCGCAGGACTTTGGAGTAAAGCAGGGGGGGGGGAGAGGGGGTGCAAATCATTCATTGATTCATAAAATGGCCAGGTTTTTTTTTACTTTGCTGCTTTATATTGCCAGTCTGGGTTTAACGCGGGCCATATATCAGACTCGAACCACGGCATTCATGAGCTCTTGACATTAGGAAATTGCTTTATGTCAACGGGGAAACACCAGCTTAAGCCAGCCTTGTACAAAGGCCTATAAAGTCTGATTAAATACTAAGTAGTGTGTAGTCAGGGTGTCATTTTTATTTTCTTATCGTGCATTGTGAGCTTAAGAAATCAAATTAATTTATCTGACTAACTGCTGCTTTATTGTTATTTTAATTGGGTTTTATATTCTTAATATGTGTATAGCAATTTTTAGCTGTTATGTTGTTTTTTTTTTCATGGAAACGTGACTGTTAATTGTTTAGAGTGAACGTTGGAGTTTAGCAGACTACGTCGGATCAAACAATATTAGAAATTGGTTTCAAATTTATTTATTTTTTATATTGAGCAAAAGCTGTTTAAAAAGAAAAATTCCCATTGCAAAATACGCCATGAATCGGAATAATAAAATGAGCAAATTCTATTAAGCGTTGAAAATCAAGGTCTGTTTTATGAACCTTATCTTTGATGGTCCTTACAATAGCGAATTTTTAAAAAGAAAGACAGTGATGGTTAGATCATCTAGAAAAAAATGCCTAACAACTGGTGTACAACCAAAATACTAAAGGGAGAAGACCCAAATTCACGCCGAGACAGTGATGATTAGGCCATCTAGACAGCATTCCTAACAACTAATGTATACTTCAAACACCAGAGGTAAACACCACAATACGTGTCGAGAATAAGAAGCTTAGATGACGTGGAGACAGATGTTCTGAAACTTGGAGTCAAGACAAGGAAGAAGAAGACATTGGACAAGTCTAAGTAAGAAAGGTAGTGAAGCCGGCCAAAGTCCTTGTAGTCTGTAAAGCTACGAGGAAAAGGAGGTGGAATCTTTAATACACCTTACCATTAGGTTCGACCATAATACTTCAAAACTATCGCATCAAACACTTAACTTAGCTTTGACTTACCTTATATGTAAATAAACCAAATAAACCCAAGCTCTTAATTAAGCGCAACCAAAGTTTCTTCCAAGTCTACCGCACCCCCCCCCCCCCAACGATAAGGAATTTATGTAGAAAATATATACTTTAACAGTGTTCCGCCCCTTCCCCCCCCCCCCCTCGGAGAAAAAAGTCTGAAAGAAACTCTAGCACAACACTAACAAGTACCATCATTTAAATTAAACCGCACACTAGCCCAAATCATAACCTAAACCGCAACAGTAATCTAACTAGTCCTTTAAGAAACTCATAACGATAAACGTCAACCTTACCCTAACTGTCCCTGCCATGCTAGACACAGCTAAGGTCTATCTACCAAGACATTCGGTTGGTCGAAATCAAATCAAAGCGCAAGAGATAAAATATCATGCTAGACACAGCCAAGGTCTAACTACCAAGACATTCGGTTGGTCGAAATCAAATCAAAACGCAAGAGATAAAATATCATGCTAGACACAGCTAAGGTCTATCTACCGAGACATTCGGTTGGTCGAAATCAAATCAAAGCGCAAGAGATAAAATATCATGCTAGACACAGCCAAGGTCTAACTACCAAGACATTCGGTTGGTCGAAATCAAATCAAAGCGCAAGAAATAAAATATTAGCCTTCCCAAGCTATACCTTTTGGAAATTGTACCAACCTTAACCACCTGACAACCCAATTCTTCAGCCTTCCTTAGCTATACAAGTTCTCGCCTTTCAACACCTTGCTGCGACACTGAATCGAAACCAATCTATAATCTATAATAGTCCATAGTACCATAGTGTGGTCAGTGTATTACACGCGGGCGGGGTGGGGCGGATTTAGCTGAAGAGGGGCATCAGGCAACGTGGGTCCGACAACAAGTATATATATATATATATATATATATATATATATATATATATATATATATATATATACATATATATATACATATATACATATATACATATATATATGGCCCCCTTACGATATGGCCCCCAATAATATTGTCCTCTTACTGTAGGACCTTAATAGTGTGTTCCCCTCACAGTATTACCCCAATACTACGATTCCCTCACCGTAGCACCCTCACAAACGGACATGCAACAGTATGTTTTCATCTCAAAAGTATCTCAAGTATATTTTTTTCCTCACTGAAGGACCCACCACAATACTGTCCCCTCGCAAAATAACCCCAACTAATATGGTTTATTCATAAATGTCCCTTGACAAAGCGACCCGGGCAATGTTTCACTGAACTAGAGATACGATAGACTAGAAAAGTGCTACTAGCGTAAGGTTTTTTGTTGTTATTGTTTTGAGTTTGTTAACAACTTCACGTGTTTTCGTTGGTGCTTGATTAAAGGTTTCGTTCTGCTAGGCAAGTCCATCGTTTAGAAATTGCCTTTGGGATTACAATTACACCGTGAGTTATGAATACTATGTTTTTTGACGCTAAACTAAACACAAAAATAAAGCTCAATGGTTTGAAAATATACCCACCTCGTTACATTTTTTGGTCCTACACTTTGCTGAATCGAACCTCTGTTATAGCGAAATATCCAACCATATCCACATACAATCCGTAGCTGAAGTTATATTTTATGAAACCGGTTTTGTGTGAGTTGTGTCAACCTCTCGATGTAAGGACTGTTCTGATTGGCTGGTGGCGTTGACCCGTTGTAGCGATCGATTCACGTACTGTGTTGGAGCAGGGGACGTTACTGAGCCGACTCGTGTTTACCCGGATGAATGCATAATTTAGTAGCCATTGCTTTTACTGTAGTTCGTGAACCTGTAGTAGTCCTATTTGAAAAAAAAACAATAAAAAGGCGGGATGAAAATTCAAAAGGCTGCTGCAAATGTTTGTACAACGTTTTTAACAGCACATCGAGAAGATGAGCACAACTATGTGCGTGTGTGTATGTGCGTGTGTATGTTTGTGTGTGTGTGGGTACGTGCGTGTGTGTGTGTGTACTTGTGTGAGTAGGTGCGTGCGTGGGAGTGTAATTGTAATTTTACGTCTGCGTAGGTGCGTGTGTGTGTGTGTGTGCGTGTGTGTGTACTTGCGTGCGTGGGTGTGTGATTGCGTGCGTGTGATTGTGTGCGTGTGCGTGTGATTGTATGTCTGGATACTTGCGTGTGTGTGTGGGTGCGTGCGTGCGTGGGTATGCGACTGTGTGCGTGTTGGTATGGGCCCTCGACCAAGCGGCACTGCAATCATTCCATACCTTGAAAGCAAGCAATCACGCGTGACGGGCGGCTCATGTATCAGCCGTTAAACGTTCAAAGATATCTGGCTGCGGGTGGGGTGGGGTGGGGAGCGGGAACGAAGGTCAGGGAACACACAAAGCTTACTTTTAAAACTTGTTATAATGCAAATAAAGTTTAATTTAAAAAATAGAAGTAGTTTACAATAAGTTATAAGGCTAATTGGCGAACGTAGGCTAGTTAAAGCGTGGGTCAGTAGTGTCACAATTTGTGTGTGTGTGGGGGGGGGGGGGGTAAGAGGAGCTACGGACCACACGGGGTGTCACCATTTAAGGTGTCTGACACCATTTAAAGTTACACCATTTAAGGTGACACCACTTAAGGTGGCTAACACCAAAAAAAACAAGTTAATAAAAAGTCTAGTGACAATTTCAGCGCAATTTCCTTAATTAATTTTTTGTGACCGAATGAAAGGATACTTTTTGAAAACTTTCTTCGGCAATATTGTTCTAAATTATGGCAGGAATCGATTGGTAAATGTTTCAAGTCGCTAAGTGGTCTGGTTGCCTAGATATGGGCCAAAAACTGCATTTTTTCCCGAGGTTTTTTTGGCTTTTCCGGGAAATCCAGGAAGGAATTCCGGGAAATTTTTTGGCCCACAATCATCCTCGGAACTTGCTTAACATATTTGCTTTTGGAACTAGTCCTTGATATTGCTTCGTTGAGGAGGAGATACGACTTAAAGACGACTTAAAGCTGCGGACACACATCCATCCATCCATCCAGAAATGACGAGTTAATAATCGCAATTCCTGTAAGGAAATTGCGATAAAAAGAAGTTGTACGTTTTACATTGATGTGCAGTTGTATCAGCATCTAATTATAGTTGCATACATCCCATCACATCAGGGGTAAGGGGGGGGAGGTGATTGACGGCCTAGTGACGCCACTTGTGAGGAGCGGAGTGTCAGCTTATTAATACGTCCTTACGCGACAGCTACTTGGCTGTATATGAACACAACTTTTTACTTCCCATTTGTTTACGTTATGTTTGTGTGAAGTGTAAGTCACAACAAGAATCTCACACTCAACAACAACCCCCCCCCCCTTCTCCTTACACACGCACACATAGTCACACACACACATAGTCACACATACATAGACACACATACATCGTCACACACACATAGTCACACACACACATAGTCGCACACACATAGTCACACACACACATAGTCACACACACATTGTCACACACACATAGTCACACACACACATAGTCGCACACACATAGTCACACACACACACATAGTCACACACACATTGTCACACACGTAGTCACACACATCCAGCTTGCTTTCAACCACAAGAAGCCGAGCCAACGAGTGCTCAACAGATAGATACACAGGTACAAAGAAGCCACCCCCCTCCACCCCCTTTCCACCCCCCCCCCCCCTTCTTAGTCCCCTAAGTGTGGGGTTGAAACGGCTCGGGTGAGAAAAAAAACAACTCTTTAAAACGTCCATCAAGATTAAGTACCTGTGTGACATTTTTTTTACTTTGGTGAAAAGGGGGAGGGGAGATCACCGATTTTTTTTTTAATTTATCTTTCCTGGTTGAAAAGTAAGCACACCGTGTATTGTCTCATTTCGTTTCACGTTACTTCCTCTTTTCTCGCTGTTCCCACTTTTGTAGCCTTTCAAGCAATTCTCTATTCATATCATTCGATAGTAAATAGGTCACCAACTTCTCGTTGTCACATCTCTCCCTGGCCTACGAGATTTGAAGTGAGAGAGACCGAGACTTACAGACCGTATTAACACTGCCCCGGCTGCAGAGGCGTAGCGACCCTTCCCGGCGCCCGGGGACATACTTCCAATTTGGCGCCCCCTCGAGAGCAAATTTTCAATTTGCACCCCCCCCCCCTCGAACTTTTCATTTGCACCCCCCCCCTCAAACTTTCTATTTGCACCCCCCCTCGAACTTTTCATTTGCACCCCCCCCCCTCAAACTTTCAATTTGGCGCCCCCCCTAAGGTCGGCGCCCGGGGACATATGTCCCCCCCCCCGCCCCCCCCCCCCCTCGCTACGCTACTGCCCCGGCTGTTACCTAGAACCTCTACTACAATCCTAAACTCAGCCCCAAAAAAAAAGAACCCTTTAGTTTTACATTTTAATAAAACAAGCATAAAAACCTTTATAATATCCGGTTTTTATAGGCTTAGTTTTTTTTTACCCCGACCCGCCTTCCAGCTTAAAGATGAAAGCTTTACCACTTTGCATACGAGCCAAATTTTGTCTATAGGGGAGGTTGATACTTTTATCTCAAATAGTCATTCTCATTTTAAAACCTATTAAACTTTACTACACAAAAAACAAGTAGCCTATTGTTACTCTAGAACAAAAAGAACATCTGTGAAATGCTAATCTCAAAAACGATTTTCCAATTAACAGAGCAGCACACCAGTCCGTACATGGAGCAGTAGACATATAGAGCAGTAGACATATAGAGCAGTAGACACATAGAGCAGTACACATATAGAGCAGTAGACATATAGAGCAGTAGACATATAGAGCAGTACACATATAGAGCAGTACACATATAGAGCAGTACACATATAGAGCAGTACACATATAGAGCAGTACACATATAGAGCAGTACACATATAGAGCAATAGACATAAGGAGCAGTACACATATAGAGCAGTACACTTTTAGAGCAGTACACATATAGAGCAGTACACATATAGAGCAGTACACATATAGAGCAGTACATCGTGGATATCAGCTCAACACGTCTAGGAGATGAATAGAGAAAATGTATAGTTGTATTACACAGATTTAACAAACCTAACTCTAAACTGCCTATTATTCAGTAACACACCGCGTACACACTTGGTACACACGGACCTGTACACATGAGGAACACACCGTGTACACAAGGACCTGTACACATAAGGTACACCCCATGCAGTGGCGTAGCGAGGGGGGGCGGGGGGTGCGGACCGCACCGGGTGACACCATTTAGGGGGGTGAAACCAAGGCTAAAAATAGCAAAATATATAGAGATAAATTGTAATTCCACTTAATTAAGTGATTAATTCGAGTGTTAAATAGTCTTTCAAGAGGTGCAAATCGAAAGTTTGAGTGTGGGGTGCAAATCGAAAATTGAAAGTTTGTCCCTCTGGGGTGTGACACCATTAAGTGCCGCACCGGGTGACACCCATCCTCGCTACGACACTAACCCGATGTACACACTAGTCTCTACATAAACACATCATGTACCTTACAACTGATATACCATGTTTTAAGTAGGTTACAAACAAGACTAAATCTGCTTCACACCTTCATTTGTTCAAGCTTTTCAATAATACATTTTGTTTATCTTATAGATCTAGTAGGCCTATACCGACGAAGAAGTATTTTGCTCAAACACACGGTGTGAAAATTTGCGCACCAGAAATCAAGAACGGTTTCATCATAATTTTTGCGTCTTTTTTTTATGAACACTTCCGTTCAAAATAAACACTACCGGTTGCGTGTGTTTATAACTTTAAAAAAATAATTCAGAGACAAATTTTATTTATTGTGTTATATTAAGTAATTTACCATGAGTGTGCTTAAATCAATGTTAAAATGTGTCGATCTACACAGCTCAGCGCTATTGTTATGTTCACATAAGTTTACAAGGATCTCTGAAGGTTTTTATACTAGGAATTCGTGGAATCTGTCCGGCAAATCCGATGTTTGGACCAGGAACACAGCAGTGCTTGGTCAAACGGATAGATCTTATAGATTTCTAGATCTGTGTAGTAAGCCGTTATGACATATTTATAATATTTATTATTAGTTAATTAGCAAGTACAATCTACATCTTAATAAGGAAATTTTAATTATCTTTGTAAATATACTTAGACTTGTCCTACAATTTAGATTTAGAATTTTAGATTGTGTTAACTAAATTCTAAATAAATAGATCTAAAATCTAGATTCTAGATCTAATATCACCTAATTAACTAATAGAAGTGCTAGATCTAGATTCTAGATCGATATAGTTTTAGTTAGTAGTTAGTTATTCGACTTGCCGATCAAATTATAAATCTACTTAACACTACTGTAGTTATGTAGTACTACTGTACTTACTATACGTCATACGACATCCGAAGTTGGCAAACAAATATCAGCTCTTTATTTACTTTTTCAAAAAGTCCAATAATATATTCGTTTTGTATACTTTGGACTTAGCTAACTACTTTCTAAAGTGTGTAGATGGTGTTCTATGCACATAAAAGAGTTAATAATTCATTTCTACCACCGTGCGTATCACCAGGCCATTAAATAAAGGGAGGTAACCAAAATTATTTTATGCCTAATCTTCAAACACGCATTTTTTCCCTTGAACCATTTGTCACCAAAATAAACCGAGAGGCATTATAATTAGATTTTTGCAAACCAAATTCAGTTTTAGTATTCAAATAATAGTAATTTGATTTCTGTAACACGACCCATAGACTTAAGCGCGTTGTCTAGTCTAGTGTATGGCTAAGACAAAGATATAAAATATTTACAAAATTTGGTACCTGGTTTTTCTACGTTTAGAGAGGACTCTCGTGTATTTTTTGTGAGGGGGTAGGGGTGGGGGGGAGCTACTAGTGTAAGCGTTACGTAAAAGCCAGGGTTTAGAACTGCTGATCCGTAGAAATAATTTTTTTTTGTATGGCCATACACGTACTCACAACTGTAATCCTTCTAGAGGATGTTTTATACTGTAGTTATTTATTTGAAATTATTAACAAAAGCCTATATTTCCCCTCTCTAGTGTCAGCTACTAGATGTGCTTACCACACGGACCTCCAGTACCTCCTGACTACCAGACGTACCTACCACACCGACCTCCAGTACCTCCTGACTACCAGACGTACCTACCACACCGACCTCCAGTACCTCCTGACTACCAGACGTACCTACCACACCGACCTCAAGTACCTCCTGACCACCACACGTACTTACCACGGCGACCTCAAGTACCTCCTGACCACCAGACGTACCTACCACACCGACCTCAAGTACCCGGACTTTACGGAGTATCGACGAGACCAAACAAAAAACCCAAAAGTTTCATCAAAGGAATCTGATGCGGAACGAAAATTAACACCGTACCTTGTTGTAGCGGGTAATTGTTTTATTGATTTTAAAACTAGTTAAACAACTATGGTATTCAATGTCCGTGTTGACATACGTTCAGTTACTTTTCCCCTTCTTTTGATGTAAAAATGTTGTTTTCCTTTCATCTACATAGATTTTTACAGACTATTGTTAAACCGTCATTTAGTACTTGCTGGTGTGGTCTTTGAATATTTTAACATTTGTTTTATATGTTTTTCTCAGTTAGTGGTGCCCTCCCCTGAATGGTAAACATTTGTGTTTTATCTGTTTTTCTCAGTTAGTGGTGCCCTCCCCTGAATGTTTTAACACTTGTTGTATCTGTTTTTTTCAGTTAGTGGTGCCCTCCCCTGAATATTTTTCAAACAAAACCTACCTAGTTTTCCTCACTTGATGAGCAGTTCTCTGAACGTTTAAAATTAATAACAAACCACATTTCTATTTTTTACCCCAGCCGGCTCCGTCCCGGGTGTGTACGCAGCCAAGGCCATCGTCCGCGGCCTGGTGTCCAACCTCTCCCCTGCTGCTGACGTGCTGGCCATGTCCAAGGTGGAGATCGACCTGAGCAGCATCGAGGAAGGTCAGAGCGTGACCTTCAAGTGGCGGGGCAAGCCGCTGTTCATCAAGCACCGCACAGACGAGGAGATCTCCACAGAGGAGGCCGTGGAACTCTCCCAACTGAGGGACCCGCAGCCAGACTCTGACCGGGTCAAGAACCCTAAATATTTAATTGTCGTTGGAGTCTGCACCCATCTAGGTAGTGTGACGCATCGTTTTTTATGTGTGCTGTAAGGGTTGTGAATAAAATATAATAAAATAGTGTACTTTTAAAGGAGCGAGCGGGCGGATGAAGTAGAGTGCTTCTGTTTAAGTGATCTCAGATTGTGAGGTCAGTGCTGTCCTCAGCCGCCTTTACCCATCAGAGCTGGGTGGATTAGTGTCAGGTGCCCATCAGAGCTGGGTGGACTTAAGTCAGGTACCCATCAGAGCTGGGTGGACTTAAGTCAGGTACTCATCAGAGCTGGGTGGACTTAAGTCAGGTGCCCATCAGAGCTGGGTGGACTAGAGTCAGGTGCCCATCAGAGCTGGGTGGACTTAAGTCAGGTACCCATCAGAGCTGGGTGGACTTAAGTCAGGTACTCATCAGAGCTGGGTGGACTTAAGTCAGGTGCCCATCAGAGCTGGGTGGACTAGAGTCAGGTGCCCATCAGAGCTGGGTGGACTAGAGTCAGGTGCCCATCAGAGCTGGGTGGACTAGAGTCAGGTGCCCATCAGAGCTGGGTGGACTGGTCAGATACCCATCAGTAAGTTGATGGTAGACCATCTGAAGAAATTAAAGAACTGCTGGAGTCTTTGTTCCTAGCACACCAGCCTTGTAATCTAAGGAATAACTTAATTAAAAGTCGATGACCGATGAGCAGTGAAAATAATTCAAGCGTTACTTATACACAATTTTTAAGATATTGGATATCCACAGTCTTTTAATTTCTCATCAGTTTTTACTTCATATTGTGCGCATCCCATCTATTGCTTCGTGTATTTTACCTATAAAAGACATAATTAATAAATTCAATTTTTACTAGACCTTTCCACTCATCCCCTAGACCTACACATGACCTTTCCACCCATCCCTAGACCTACACAACATGACCTTTCCACCATCCCTAGACCTACACAACATGACCTTTCCCCCCATAAATAGACCTACACAACATGACCTTTTCCCCCATAACTAGACCTACACAACATGACCTTTCCACCCAACCCTAGACCTACACAACTTGACCTTTCCACCCATAACTAGACCTACACAACATAACCTTTCCACACAACCCTCACCTACGCAACTTGACCTTTCCACCCAACCCTAGACCTACACAACATGATCTTTCCACCCATCCCCTAGATCTGTGCAGTTTTAACTTAACCTCCCCACATAGCCTACAAATGTTTTGACCCTATATCTCCCCCCCCCCCCCCGTCCCCTAGGGTGTGTCCCAATCGCCAACAGCGGAGACTACCCAGGCGGCTACTTCTGCCCCTGCCACGGCTCCCACTACGACGGCTCTGGGAGGATCAGGAAAGGGCCGGCGCCCCTCAACCTGGAGGTGCCAAACTACGAGTACCTCTCTGACACCACCGTCATTGTCGGCTGACCTCTGACCCCAGATAAACACCCCTCACAGGTTGTGTCAAAGCTGTCCTTCCCAGCAAGTAGTCTATCTAACGTCCAGAAAATCAGCCCAGTACCAGTCTTTAAGTGACGTTCTGTTGACGTGACGGCTTTGTGCTTTTTGTTCAAACCCATTCATGATTATCTCATTTCATTTCTAAATGTATACGGACAAATCCATTTCCAGTCATACAATATTAAAGAAATATAAAACTTAATGTTATTATGTGTTTATTTTAATGGAATTATTAAAAACAAAAATTAAATTCGGATTTTATTGGTTAGTTAAAATTACTTAGCCATTTTAGCTACTGTCAAGATAATATTACATATATTTACATAAAGATATACACATATTAACATATTAACATATGAACAACATAATGTATTTCATATACATATTCAAATATAATAAATAGATACTTGTTATTATTTTGTCAGTTAATACATCAGTACAATTTTTTAAGGTGTACACAAACACGCTTTATAACAAAGAATCATTTCATTTAACACACAACACGCACACATCTTAAATAACATATCCATCTACGCCCAATACTATCACAAAATCTTTTTGAAAGCAAATAGAAACAACCTTAAGACATTGAACCTGTATACCTTCATCTCAAAACCACCTCAATAATACCAGAAGGCAAGCCAGGATAGTTGAACTCTTTGAACCTGGAAAACAATTAAACACATGTCTCAGATAAACAAAATAGTTATTGTTTTTAGAATGTGTCTAGATAAATAGATAACACTGGGATAATAAATATACCGTAGGTAACTACTGAAAACTAAATTCTCGTTGAAATCTAAATATTCCCAGATTAATGGATTATTGTGATTAGACATAGATCTACGACCTTTCAGGAACTTACAAACTTACGCAGTAAAGCACTGTCGTTGTGTTCACCGTTAGTTTGCGTATGCTTCACGTCTGCTGATGGAAAAAAAAGATATTTTAAGGTAACACTCAGTGTATGACTGTTATCAAAGAAGTTAAAAATATTTTAATTAAAATTTGATTTATGTTGCCTAACAAAGTAGTTATATTTTGAGAAACAATAGGCCCTATTTAAAAAGGCAAATCCTAGAAAAACCGAGTCCTAGATTTTATCTACTTCGGGATTAAAATTGGAGTAAAATATGTAACCGCTTTTATTGATAATTTCTTTTATAAAATGTACATCACCTCTACATTTTATTTAGTCGAAATTTTTTTCAAAACATTCAATATCGTGATCTTGTTTTGTAACACTGATACATTTTATTGCAAGGACTGTTAAACTTCACATAAACCCTTACATAATTCTACTTTAAAATTGCCTCACTGAGCACATAACTCCATCTCAAAAGGTTTCTTTCAGACATTTTGCCTCGAGGAGGGGGGTGTTTAGCAATTATAAGATTGGTTAAAGTGAATATAAATTATTTAGTCTCCGAAGGGGAGGGGGGTGGAAAAACTCTCCATTGCTTTACTCAGCGTAAATTCTACATGGCAAAAATAGAATACACTTTTAAACTTCCTGAACTGTTTATCGAGTGTTTTTACCTGAATTGGCGGGACTTTCGGCAGAGAGTATCTGCGCATGCTCATCGACGTTGATCTTGAGGATGGTGACGGTCCCTGAGGTAGACCCCGACACCATGAGGATGGGGGAGCCGGTGGGGTTGTCGGCACCACTGTAAAACCTGCGGCACCAGAGTTATCTTTCTTTAGTTTTGTGACGTATACAACATGGGGTCAAGAACACGTCAACAAATTTACTAGGTTGGGGGCTGGGCCGGCGCTACCTATAAGGCGAACTAGACGGTCGCCTAGGGCGCCACCCTTAGGCGCAAAATGTTTAATCGCTATTATCAAAAAGTACCTAATAATTAATAACTTTGATTATCTTTTATAAACTATAGATGGTAAAATACAAAGGAGTAGCGATATATTTCGGCGCCCAGGACGAACTATCAATTTTGCGCCCCCACCCCAAAATTAGGTCTATATAGGCCTATATTTATTCGCGATGTTGAAAATGCAACCCCACCTCCCTAATTTAGAAAGGTCGGGCACTTTTTACTAGTCACTTTGCCTTTTTATTTTGGTGTCACATAATTGATGTAGAAAACGATTAAATATGTTCGTAATTTAAATTTCGAACATTCCAAACGGTTATCTAATTTTAATATTGATTTAGTGACCTCTCCAGCGCATGACGGGGCGTTCCAAAACACGTGCAATGTTTGTTTTTAATAGGGCTTGTAAGTCTTGTTTTCTCTGACTTTAAATTAGAAATCTGTCCTGGTGTATAGTGTTTTGTAATGATGGGATGTTCAAGGTATTTTACTTGTTTGGTAAGTTTTGGTGAATCGTTTAGATTTGGGAGTAACGCGGAAGGCTGTTGCTGGTTTCGTAGGTATAAAGTATCGAAGTGTTAAAGTGTTGTATTTTTATTTGAACACACTACAAAGAAAGGTAGGCGTTCTCTAGCTGAAAAATATTTTGTTTTTTTTAGGAATCTAAATTACTACTCTTAAAATATTAATATATAATATTATATAGGCTAGAATTTATAACTAACCGTAAACTTTGTTTTTTCAAATTATATTTTTTTTAAATATTTTATCGATAATTATAACAATGTCTTAAACCAGGGGTCGGAAACCATTAGAGACGGAACAGCCAAAATTTACAAATTACAAAATTTCTCAGTTTTCATAGAGCCACTAACATTTTTCTATTAATATTATGATCTTTTATTAGGAAAAGTATTTTAAGTACATAATGACGATCACCAAAAGTGTGTGCGTGGGGGGGGGGGGGGGTGACACCATGAGTTGCCGCACCGGGTGACACCCGACCTAGCGACGCCACTGACTACACCTTTCATGAAACTTAAGGAAGTTGTTGAGAGGTATCTGCGAAAAAAAAAGGCAAATACGGTTGGCTCCCCGGCAGGGCGTGGTTCGACTCTTCTCTGTATACAGTATATAAAAATAAAAGTCGATTGCGGATTGACACCGGGCGTACCCGTGAGCACCATGGCGGCTACGTTAATTTTAAACAGCGCGATTGGCTATGGATACAATGGGTTGCTATAGTCGCTCATTTAATCGAATCAGGCGCGTCCTCTGGCATCTCTGCAGGGTGCAATTTGGCGCCCAAGGCTATTCCACGAATACTAGACGCCTATGTTAATTTTAAGGAGCACCCTACAATATTGATAATGCGGCACATGACATTCGACTTTCCGTCTCCGACACTTTGGCGGAGAGTGATTAACGGTGATATTACGGTGAGTGATTAATGTACACTCAAGGCTTTTATATAGCACGCCCAACAGCGTGCTGGGCGGTAGTGTAGATAAACCGATTAATATGATCCAAGCACAGGCATTGTTTACATTTAAATAACTCAATTTTAGAAAACAAGGAAGTTTATTGAAAAGGGAGTAACTAAATATTTTAATAGAATAGCAAGTGTTTATTGGTTATTTGTATTATTGTATCATTCATTACCGAGTGTTGCATATTTTAATATTTTTGTGAGTTTTAAAAATTAAAAAAACTATATTTATATTAACATTTATGCATGGAACTGAAGAGCTGCATCTTGACATCAAAGGAGCCGCGTGCGGCTCACCCGCAGGTTGCCCACCCCTGTCTTAAACAGTTGCCCGTGTTTGAATATTTTGAAAGGTGTCCCTTTAGTTAGGGCATCCAAAATTTTATAGGTTAGTTAGTAGTTAAGCAATGATGTCAATGTATGTCATCAAAATTGACTAGAATTATTTTATAATAAAGCTAACGTTTTTAGACTTTCAAACAAAACCTACAGTGAAGTAGTCAATTAGTAAGATATATTCTTTCGACACGGCAGCATAACTAATATAAAATATTTACTATAATTATTACGTAATGAAATGTAGATAGTATTATTGTGTTTTTAAGAATGTCTTAGTAACACTAGGTTAATTTAGTTACTCTTGTGAGAGTTATTTCCCTTGAATATAATTTTGTAATTTGAATTTTCAAATGGGAGATAATTCGTTGCTTAACTTTACATTCATTTCAAATTCCTACATATTAGATTGACCGCTTACTTATAAATACAACTTTAAGTTATTATTTGCTATTGTAAAAATTGTATAGAGCAGAAGTTCTAAACTAAATAGTTTGGTAGGTTTTTTAGCATTATCAAGTTAAAAAAACAACCTCATCAGTAGCTGTTGTAGATTGCAATACTTAATGTTAATAGACATACAATATGAGATAGTGCAAAAAATGATTCTAAAATCGTCTCAATCGCAAATTAATCATCTAATTAATTATGTGTCTTTTTCATTTTTTCCGTCCTCTCCTAAAGTATTCATATATAACAATTGTATGCTGGAATCTATAACATTTATAACCTTTTATTTTTCAAAAACAAAAAAATCGTTACATAATCACACAAATTAGACATTTTACAAATATAACTAAAGACAGTCAAGATTAAAACAGGTAAGTTCCGTTCTGGAACTCACCCTGGGAGGTCTGCAGAGAGCCCAACACTACAAGAACTATGCTTTTTTTCCACTTTTTTTTTCCAGACTTTTTTTCTCCCGGGAGAAGTAAAATTTGATTTTCATGTCTACTTATAACGTTTATGCAATTGATAATAAATGAATGTCACTTTTAATTTATTGTTTTCTTATACATGTTTTGGTAATTAATTTGTGTGAAAGGGGGCGTTTTAAAAAGTTTTGCCTTGGGCGCTAAATAACCTGACGCCGGCACTGGTTGGGGGGGGGGGGGGGGGGTCGGCCTTAACCAACATATTTACTAGGTTAGGGGTCGTCCATAAATGGCGCTACACTTCAGGGATGGGGGTAGAAGTGTTAAAGATGGAGGTGTTCAGAAAGTATGACGTCATACTTGTGCGTATAAAAATGTGTTGTTTTTTTTAAACTGAGGTTGTTGTTTATTTGTTTGTTTTAAAAAGAATTAATTTGTAAATTAAAATAAACATTTATCACTTGACTTATGATTGACTAGTGCTAAAGCTGTTTTTATTGCATAGAGTTTCGCCATGCTTTTGCCTAAATCTCAAATAATTTAAAAAATTATTATTTCGTAGTTTTCCTTGTAAAGGGAAACAACTCACTATGTTCGGTAAAAACCATTTACCTTAGGTATATCCCCCTTACAAAGGGGAAACATTTAAATCTACATTTTTGAAAAGAAATTGAGAGGGAAGGTTAAAGTGTGACGTCATTTTATCACCACCACCACCCCCTCATGTTGATTATAAGTTTAACATACGACCCCCCCACACCTCCTGTTGATTATAAGTTTAACATACGACCCCCCCACACCTCCTGTTGACTATAAGTTAAATATACGACCCCCCCCCCACACACACACACCTCCTGTTGATTATAAGTTTAACATACGACCCCCCCCCCCTCACACACGCACACACCTCCTGTTGATTATAAGTTTAACATACGACCCCCCCACACACACACCTCCTGTTGACTATAAGTTAAATATACGACCCCCCCCCCCCCCACACACACACACACGCACACACCTCCTGTTGATTATAAGTTTAACATACGACCCCCCCCCACACACACACACACGCGCACACACCTCCTGTTGATTATAAGTTTAACATACGCCCCCCCATACCTCCTGTTGATTATAAGTTTAACATATGACACCCCCACACCTCCTGTTGATTATAAGTTTAACATACGACCCCCCCCCCCACACACACACACACACATACCTCCTGTTCATCGCATGTTTTACATAAGATCACCCTCCTGTTCATTAAAATGTTAACATAAGACCCCCCTTACTCCATTCACTTGATGTTTAACATGAGGACCCCCCCCCCCTCAACTGATGTTTAACATGAGACCTCACCTTCGTTGACATGAGACCCCCCCTGTTCGTCTGATGTTTAACACGAGATCCCCCCCCCCCCTGTTCACCTGATGTTTAACATGAGACCCCCTGTTAACCCACCCGATGTTTAACATGAGACCCCCTGTTAACCCACCCGATGTTTAACATGAGACCCCTCCTGTTAACCCACCCGATGTTTAACACGAGATCCCCCCCCCCTGTTCACCTGATGTTTAACATGAGACCCCACTGTTAACCCACCCGATGTTTAACATGATACCCTCTGTTCGCTCGATGTTTAAAATAAGACCCCCTGTTCCCCCGATGTTTAACATGACCCCCCCCCCCCCTGTTAACCCACCTGATGTCCTCTGGGTCCACCGCATACAACTGACGTGCCCTGTATTTCTCCGTCATGTTCCGGCTGTCGTTGGGGATACCCTCGCAGAAGATGCTCTCAAACCTGGGCTGTGTGACGTCACTGCCTATGCTGTAGACGCTGATGGTACCTGGGCTTTCGTTGCCGACGAAGATGTACAAGCGGTCACCTATCTCCCCAACGGTCAGACCTTCTGGCTGTGGGCCCTAGAATAAATACACAATTCACTGAGCCACTACGTGCGTTGGTAAAAATGCTTCTTAAGTATTCATTCCTATAGGCAATACAATAATTTTTATAGCTATTTTTAAAAAGATAGCCGAACATAGTGATGGATCGGACACGCCCTGTGAAGAGAACAGATCAACGTAGCGAGGCAAGCTTTTGGACTGGAACCCCTAGGGAAAAGTGGACCGGCCTAATAATCCTAGAGTAGGACTGCGAAGGAAGTAACGGCTGTGGTGCTTTATACGTGGACAGAGGCGTAGCGACCTCTCCCGTGGACAAACTTTCAATTTGGCGCTCCCCCCCCCCCCCCCCCATATATTTTTTTATGTTTATAATTAAAATCTGCAGCTAAAATGAGCTTTTAATTTTTTTTTCAACCCATTTTGACGCCCCTAGGGTCGGCGCCCGGGGACATATGTACCCCGCCCCCCTTCGCAACGCCTCTGTACGTGGATTCAACTAACGTGAACTGCGGCGGAGCAGTCCTTTGCTCCAGAAGGTGTTTCAAAGGATTAAGTCATTGTCAAGCTTTAAAGAGAACGACAAAACTTGTAACTTATTTCTTGGAAATAAAAAAAACATTTACGCCTACAACGGAGAAATGAGAACTGCACTGAAAGCAGTCTCAGCAACACAACGTATCCAGTGGTATCCCAAGATGTCGCTCACAGTCCAAACATAGCGTCGCTCACAGTCCAAACATAGCGTCACTCACAGTCCAAACATAGCGTCGCTCACAGTCCAAACATAGCGTCGCTCACAGTCCAAACATAGCGTCGCTCACAGTCCAAACATAGCGAAACAAACCTTGTCATCTGACCTATCGTCGACGTGATCGCCGTCCGTGTTGAAGACGTGAGGGCAGTAGAGCGCCGTCGTCTCCTCGATGCTGCTGCCGCTGTCGTAGATCCTCTGGAGGCTGTTCTCGGCGTCCCAGATGCTGAAGCTCCGCCCACCAAAGGCGTACAGGCTCTGGTAGCGGCCCTTCTCATCACGGCCGTCCAGCTTGGAGAACTTCAGTCTGCCTGCGAGAGAGATTTTTTACTGAGTACTCGTCGTCGGCTGGGCCTGCTCCGGCAGTGTTTCTTTCAGTCTTTTTGTTTCTCCGGAGGAGGGGGGTTAGGGGGGTTCTGGAAACTTTCGGGGGTGGACTTAATTTTCCAGGGGGATGGGGAATACTGGTAAAAGTTTATATTTTCTATATAAATTATATTTCGTTGGGCGAAGGGTTGGTTAGATGTGCTACGGGGGAGGGGGGGGGTGCCTCCTGGAGAGATCCCTGAAAGAGACTCGGTACTCCGGGCTATTATTGTTTTTGTTAATATCACCACCATAACACTAGCTTAAACCCTGACCGTAAACATAATCAAGATTATAACCTTGATGTTAGCGCTGACCTTTAATGATGACTGTGACAATGACACTTAACAAAGAAAACCCTCAATACAATGTTGTTTTGTCATATCATTATATTCTAAGTTACAGATTCTGGTAACGAAAATTAGAATCAATAGTATGTCTTCTTGCTGTAAAATTTCGGTTCTATGTTAGAAGTGGAACATCAGTCAAATTTTAACAAAATCTTGTGGCGTAAGATGGTCACGAACCCATACTTTTATATATGTTTACATAAATATCAGTTATCTTATTTTTCGCTTTCAATAATTTGGGAATTTTCTTTAAAAAAAATTATTTTACTTACCAAGCCTTGAATTGTCTTTTAATGCATCTTTCATGATGAATGGAATGTCACTCCCCAGATCAGATTCTAGAAAAACAGAAAGCCAACGTTGTTATGAGATTTATTTGTAAGTTAAAAAGTGTGATTTTCATCGATCAGTAAGAGAACAATTGTAACGAATTATGAAACTATCCCCACCAAACTATTCACTATGAGCAGATAGTTTCTTTTTTTTATACCATAGTTTAAAAAGATAGGTGAAGTAGAGTTCGTATGTTATTGTGAACTCGAGACTGGAATGGATGCTTAGTTGCATTTTGTATCCAAGACTCAAGTCAGAGTAAACACATTTGAAGTGGATGAGCGGACTGGATTATCCACTGTATATCCATAGAAAAGTAATACCGCGAATACAGAAACATTATTTACTCTGTGTTGAGAAAGGGGGCGGGGGGGGTCTGATACGGGACTACGACAAATCCCCGAAAGACACTTGCCCGAATGCCATTTGCCCGAAGAATGATTATTTGTTAATATATAATGTTAACATTTTCGAGCAAACGGCCTTCGGGAAAGTGGCTTTCGGGTATGGGTCGCATTCGGGTATTTGTCGCATTCGGGTAAGTGTAGCATTCGGGCTATTGTCTTTCGGGAAAACGCCCGGCTCCTTTCTGATACATGGGCAACATCTGGCTCTTCTCAACCAGACTTTTGCCCAGACGTTACGCCCTGGTCTCCAAGATGTAATTATTCAATCGCCTATCAGACATGGTCATGTATTTTGATTTTATTTATTTTTACTTATTTATTTATTTTTATTTATTTATATTTATATTTATTTATTTATATTTACCCTGGAATTTCGCTCCTCGCTGCGTCTCGTCAAAACCGAAATCTAAATATTTTTTCGTGTCGCCTTCGTTGGCCGTGAAGATCAATTTCCTGCCCCTCCATTGGTGGAATTTGATGGCATCTGGCAGAAACCACGCCCTGATTGGCCAGTAAGTGATCTCGATACCTGCAACACACACACACACCACACCGATTACAATTTTACTATGAAACTCATTTGTTTGTATACATTTGGTTTTACGCCAGATCTAGCGTACGCCGATAATTGTGGGAGTCTCAGATAAATTATTTTGGTTGATATAAGTGTTTCTTTCGGGCATCTCTTGGGGGGGGGGATATGCACGTAGTGTGTCTTCGTCGTCGTCCCCCCCTATTTTAAGCACCTGTGCAACCACCCCCCCCCCCCCTTTCGTCCAAAAATTTGAGCCCCCTCCCCTGGAAAAAACATCAGAAAAAAAGACTGGCACGTCTTACCCCCAGCCCTTACCCCCCCCCCCCCCCAAACGAAATAGAATTTATATAGAAAAATATATGGTTTTCAGAAGGGGGGACTGTGAAGGGTAGGCATTACCCCCTCTCCCCCCCCCTCCAGCCCCACCCTCCGGAAAATTTAGTCTGAGAGAAACACTGACTGGCTGATATCGCTAAACTGAGTCTGGCCGTAGCCATATCCCTTAAGTGATATACCACTACAGCAAACCCTAGATACAATCTCAACCTTATACATACGACCCGTACCGATCTAGTTACCTCACATTTCATTGGCTGTCAGGGAGTGACGTGTGTTCAGTATACATCAGTCACGTGACTTACCAGCGTCTTTATCACTGGTGTCCAGATTCCCCCACTGCTTGTAGCCCAGGCCATGAATGGCCGTTATGGTTTCTGTGACCAGGTCTATCTCAGCTACACCGTTATTCTCCTGGAATAAACATTTGTAACCTTTTTTTTACAATTTCTATAAACAACATAGTTTGGGGAGTTAGTGTTTTTTTATTTGATTTTTTAAAAAAGTCTTGGGCGTTCTATGAAAAGAAATAAATTGTTTACAAGAAAAGAAATAATAATGGGAGGAAAAAAGAAATGTAGGACCGGCTTCAGTTGTTTAATTTAGTGTCAGACGTTTGATCCAAAAAACAGTTAAATAAGTATGTGAAGCCATGAAGTCTAATTTTTTGTCAACACTGTTCATAATTCAGTAACGCAAATAGGAATGATCTTTTTTTAATTTTCTTCTATCCCGTTTGTTGCCCCCTATGGTCGGCGCCCGAGGTGGCCGCCTAATCAACCTCTCCTAGCTACGCCTCTGTGTCAGCCAGCAGCTAAACTCATTTACACTTGGCGCAAGAAGCGAACTCGACTGACGTTTTTAAGACGCTCGGACCCCATCCTTGAGCTCTATCACTCGACCACGGCACCACCTGCACCGGCTATCACCACCCCTCTCTCGGGGTAACTTAACACACTAACGCCAACGTGACCTACCTACGCCAACGTTTGGCCTGGTAAAAACCTATCCTTGTCAACTTGGTAAAAACTTAACCGTGTCAACTTGGTCAAATCCTAACCCTGTCAACTTGGTAAAAATGTAACTTTCTCAACTAAACTAAATGCCGTGGTGTCGCCCAGTGACGTGGTATTCCCCCCCCCCCCCCCCCTCGCGTGACGTCGTGATATTCACCTGTCCGTACCTGGACTTGTCCTTTGTTCGCGAGTTTTACGGGCGTTGAACGATGCGCACGATCCATGTCTTACCTTGCCAGCGTTAACCCAGAAAACGTAATTGGCCTGAACTAACGATTTACTTTACCCAATCAAACAAGACAGTTCTAAAATTTTAAAAATTCGGTAGTTGGGCGCGATGAAGTAACTAGATTAGAAAAAAAGTGAATCTCCATTAAACGTTTCTCTTTTTGCCTAAACAAACTATCAAATCAATTTCGTCAGGAAAAATAAAGCAGGAGTTATCTCCCCGAAACTTTCTCGAATCTTCTTGCATAACGCTACGAAAAATGACGACTCGGGATATAGACACGCTGTTTAATCAATTTTTACATACTTAAACTTTTTGAAATAAAATAGAATCTCGTAGAAAAAAAGAATTGTGCATCAAGTGAACAGCAAACAATGTGTGTATACTAGTGCGGAACACTGGTACTTTATAAATTCACATGTGTATTTTGAGAAGTCGGAAATAGCGTTTCGTAGGCCTACAACTTCCGGTCACCGGAAATGACTCAAAATTTGACAGAAACAGAGGATTTCATCTTTTATTTATATGTCACAGACACACAGACAGACAGACACACACACACACACACACACACAAACATACGGACAAAATTGCAAAGTTAACTTTTTCCGACTCAGGGAGGTATAAAACGTCGAGATTTGTGAAAATCTCGATTTAGATTTTGTTTGTACTATTATAGTACTTCCTCTATCCTTCGTATACGAGAAAGCAATGAATCCCCAAATAATTTAAAATATTTTTACGCTGTTGTTTTTATTTTAGGTTGGATTTAAGTCGACTCCCCCCACCCCCTCCCTTCACCCCCCCCCCCCCCCCCCTTTTTTTCACCGTTAAAGTAAAATTTAATTTATTGTATTTAAGAAAAAAATATTAAATTGATAGAATTTTTAAAAATCAACTTAATGAAAAATTACTGCAACAAAGGCGTGTGCTGCGCTGTGACATGCTGTTGAAAATGCATCTGGCTTTCAATAACGTTTAACTTCTAATCCAACTAAACGCGCATGGCCTGTACTAATTGGGCAAACTCGTTTGCAAAAACAAATTATACGGGTGTGAAAATCTATACCCTACAGCTTGCGAGTATAAAGATTATGTTAAAATTTGCGATGCCCGAGGAGCGAGTGCCTGGATGTGGTTGGTATATTTGCACATTGGTGGGAATTAAAACCTTTGAATATTTCTAGATAACAAAAATGCGGTCACCGCAGTGCGAATGTGTGAGCGTTGAGCGTATCTGATGTTCCGGCATGTTGCTGTTCAGTGAAACTCTGCTGATTTCTACACAACAAAATTATACAATATCCGGAGTGCGATTTTTGAAATACGATACCCGCGTGCAAATATAAAACGCGATACCAGCAGTGCGAATATCATAACATACGATACCCGCAGTGACAATATCATAAGATGCTATACCCAGAGCGAATCTATGAACGTATCTGATATTGCGGTAGGTTAGTGTAAATGAAAGCCCTGTTATTTTCTACACCTCTGGCACCCACCTGTAGAACAACGTAGGCCTTGTTACCGGTCTCGTCAATGGCAACATACTCGGGTTCCACATCAGCACTGAACGTGTTGTTGTTTTCACGGTAGACGAACCGGATGCCGGACGGCAGCAGCTCATGGTACCTGAAGAATGCAGAAGGTTGTTAGACCGGTAAAAAAAACATAAGTAAGGGTCATGGGAAAGGGGGCATTTCAATTAAAAACTTTAAACGTTTAGGTCTTTTTAAGTGCGTCAAAACACTTGTTAAAAAGAACTAACTTAATTAAATGTAAATACACTTAACACCATTTTGATCACAGGAACCAAAGCTCACGGGAATCAAAGTTTGTAAACATTAGGTTTAGGTCAATTTCGCAAAAAAACAAAACGAAAGTAATGAGCCAATGAATATGCGTGCAGACTAAAGTGAGCCAATCAATATGCGTGCAGACTTATATGAGCCAATCAGTATGCGTGCAGACTTATATGAGCCAATCAATATGCGTGCCGACTAATGTGAGCCAATCGACATGCTTGCCGACTAATCTCTCAGTTACCTGTTGTTGTAGTCGGTGAAGTCCAGAGTTTTCACCTGAGGCCGGACTTTACCTTCGACACCTTCCGGGAAGTGGATGATGACGACGGCGCCTTTAGGATCCTGGAACAGGCAGGGAGGAAACAACAGGTTAGCGCGCTAAAAATAGCTGCTACTTCATTGGTCCGCTCGTGCTTATTCGGAAGTTTCACGAATACTAAAGACTAATGCTATGTCCTAGACTAATGCTATGTCCTATATCTTTAATAAATTATTCTATTTCCTTCTACAACAATGAACATGTAAAAGATGGATAAACGTTTTTAATAACTGTCCGGTTGTAGTGTTGATATCTATAATAATATGTTATGAATAATTACTTAGCATTTCTATTTCCTAATTAATTCTCTTAAGTTATTTTTTTTGTATTCTAATATATATATATATATATATATGTATATGTGTGTGTATGTGTGACAAATATGAACGGCTGACCTGTAGTTGACCTTTACTCTCGTACGCCTCAGCCTCCAACGCTATAATGACAGTTCGACAGTCAGGCCTGACTTGTAGCATGTCAGGTATTGTTCCCACTGCATGACAAAAATAATGACAAAAATAATGGCAAAACTAATGACAAAAAATTTAGCATTACCAATCTACGACTGTATTGACAAGTTTCAATGAACAAATGTCTACTTTAGCATGACCTACCCACATGTCTACTTTAGCATGACCTACCCACGCAAATGTCTACTTTAGCATGACCTACCCACACGTCTACTTTAGCATGACCTACCCACATGTCTACTTTAGCATGACCTACCCACACAAATGTCTACTTTAGCATGACCTACCCACACGTCTACTTTAGCATGACCTACCCACACGTCTACTTTAGCATGACCTACCCACACGTCTACTTTAGCATGACCTACCCACACGTCTACTTTAGCATGACCTACCCACACAAATGTCTACTTTAGCATGACCTACCCACACATCTACTTTAGCATGACCTACCCACACGTCTACTTTAGCATGACCTACCCACACGTCTACTTTAGCATGACCTACCCACACAAATGTCTACTTTAGCATGACCTACCCACACAAATGTCTACTTTAGCATGACCTACCCACGCAAATGTCTACTTTAGCATGACCTACCCACACATGTCTACTTTAGCATGACCTACCAACACAAATGTCTACTTTATCATGACCTACCCACACATGTCTACTTTAGCATGACCTACCAACATAAATGTCTACTTTAGCGTGACCTACCCACACAAATGTCTACTTTAGCATGACCTACCCACACATCTACTTTAGCATGACCTACCCACACAAATGTCTACTTTATCATGACCTACCCACACACGTCTACTTTAGCATGACCTACCAACATAAATGTCTACTTTAGCGTGACCTACCCACACAAATGTCTACTTTAGCATGACCTACCCACACAAATGTCTACTTTAGCATGACCTACCCACACATATGTCTACTTTAGCATGACCTACCCACACACGTCTACTTTAGCATGACCTACCCACACACGTCTACTTTAGCATGACCTACCCACACAAATGTCTACTTTAGCATGACCTACCCACACATATGTCTACTTTAGTATGACCTACCCACACACGTCTACTTTAGCATGACCTACCCACACGTCTACTTTAGCATGACCTACCCACACATCTGCTTTAGCATGACCTACCCACACAAATGTCTACTTTAGCATGACCTACCCACACGTCTACTTTAGCATGACCTACCCACACAAATGTCTACTTTAGCATGACCTACCCACACGTCTACTTTAGCATGACCTACCCACACGTCTACTTTAGCATGACCTACCCACACAAATGTCTACTTTAGCATGACCTACCCACACGTCTACTTTAGCATGACCTACCCACACAAATGTCTACTTTAGCATGACCTACCCACACGTCTACTTTAGCATGACCTACCCACACGTCTACTTTAGCATGACCTACCCACACGTCTACTTTAGCATGACCTACCCACACGTCTACTTTAGCATGACCTACCCACACAAATGTCTACTTTAGCATGACCTACCCACACAAATGTCTACTTTAGCATGACCTACCCACATGTCTACTTTAGCATGACCTACCCACGCAAATGTCTACTTTAGCATGACCTACCCACACATCTACTTTAGCATGACCTACCCACACGTCTACTTTAGCATGACCTACCCACACGTCTACTTTAGCATGACCTACCCACACAAATGTCTACTTTAGCATGACCTACCCACACAAATGTCTACTTTAGCATGACCTACCCACATGTCTACTTTAGCATGACCTACCCACACAAATGTCTACTTTAGCATGACCTACCCACACATCTACTTTAGCATGACCTACCCACACAAATGTCTACTTTAACATGACCTACCCACACATATGTCTACTTTAGCATGACCTACCCACACAAATGTCTACTTTAGCATGACCTACCCACACAAATGTCTACTTTAGTATGACCTACCCACAAATGTCTACTTTAGCATGACCTACCCACAAATGTCTACTTTAGCATGACCTAGCCACACGTCTACTTTAGCATGACCTACCCACAACTGTGCTGACCAGTTTCAGGGCACGCCGGGACCGTGAGTACCTCCTGTAAACCCTGAGCTGACCTTGACCTCTGTCGGCTGTGTTGTCGACCGTCACGAAGACGTACCCGCCACAAACCTGCATCAGCAAACAACTCGTTTGGAAACATTGGAGGGTATTTTTACGGGGTCTAGTGGTAGAGTGCACGGCTACAATCCGGGCGATCTCGAGTTCGAATCATGTGAAAAGTACAAGTCCAGAGAGTCTAAACAACCAAAGCCAACAAACGTTACTGGCTGTTGTAATAGTTGAAAAGTTCTTTCAATAACATGACAATGAGGATGGATAAACTCTACTTCATCTGTTTCGTTCATACTTTATTTCTATTTTATTCTATTTTTTAAGCGTGGTTTTGTCTTTTATGTGAATGCAGAAATGTCGCCCTTATCTCCCCTTGTTGAGTAATAGATAAAGAACGGTAACTCTGACAGCGACATCTTGAACAGGGAAGTGGCAGACAACCTTGAAGAGTTGTTTATTTGTTTACGTTTCCTTGCTAATTCAAACGACAACTTGCTTATGCTGTAGTTTGGTGTTTGTTTTTGTTGTTGTTGTTGTTTTTTTTTTTTTTTTTTTTTTTTTTTTTTTTTTTTTTTTTGTTGAATTAAAACATTAATTTCTAGTTTCAAACTAATTATTCCGAATGAAATTTCCTATTCATTAGTTCCAAAATTTAAAAAAAAAATTGTTTGTTGTATATTATTGACTATTAAAAAAACAATTTAAATATCACAATTTTTTTTGTGTGTGTTTATAAACACAAATGCTTGTAAATGCGTCTGGGCTTACAACTCGCCACGCTATTTATAAGTTGATGTCACAAAAACATGTGAACTGTACTTCATCTATACCGTTGATAGTAAAGGGTTTAAAGACATGTGACATCAAGGTAGTTGTGTTAAGACACGCTAGACCAAAGGGGCTAAGACACCTGTAATGTCTGAGTAATGAAGACATCTGTCATGTCAGGTTAGTCATAGTTAGCTACTTTAGTCATGGTGTCTGAAGGTTCAGGTATATGTCATGTCAGATGGTCAGCGACACAATTCTTGATGAAACATTCCTGCTATCTGTCATGTCAGACGATCTAAGACACTATTCCTGCCATCTGTCATGTCAGATAAAAAGTAAGTAAAGTTTCCCTTTTCAAACCTGACGGTCTATGGGGCAAGTGAAGTAGAGTTCACTTGTTTCTGTGACCTCAGCATATGAAGAGATAGTGTGGTCAGCACTATGCCCAGCCGCCTTTACTTTCCCTAACGTGAGTTAGGTACCCATCAGAGTTGGGTGGACTCAGGGACGATATACTGATTTGATATCATGTCAGATAATCAGACACTCTATTCCTGCCATCTGCCACGTCAGATAATTAAAGCCACCACTCTTAATGACTCTTAATGACACCTACCTCGACATCCGTCATGTCACTGTCAGGTACAACCATCTCATGGACTTGTACCAGACTCTTGGGATTTGAACCGTTCACAACATGAAGGATGTTCGTGCCTAGTTGGACAATGATCTTTTTTTTTATTTAAAATTTTCAAAATACCTTTAAAAACTGAAACTAACAAACAAATCAAAATCCACAAAAATTACCTGGAGTACTTAAGTCATAATATAAATGGTTTTCATATATTTTTTTGTAAAATTTGCACATTTATTGCATATAAGTGTTTAAAATAAGGAAGTGTATGTTGCGTAGTGTCGGATAAAGACAAACAGGAGTAGTAACAAACACAGTTTTGTTTTATTTTCACACAAAAATAGTGACTTTAGTACTTTTAGCGCTAAGATCTAGACGATTTACTATGTAGGAAATTGAGGAGGTAAGGGGGAAGGGGAGGGGGGGGGGCAGTTTGAAGTTTTCAGAAAGTAAAATAACGAATACGTAATTATTTTTTTGTACAACAACTATGATTTTATTTAGGTGTGTTACAACTTTGTGGATGTAGTTTTTTTTTGTCAAGACGTGTAACGACGCATGGGATAGGGTGTAAACTTCACCTAACGTTATTCATGAGGGGGCACAACCCCCTCCTCACCGTGGGAGACCAAAGAGTTACTTCCAGGCATCTCTTCATGGGAGGCACCCCCCCCCCGAACAAAATAGAATGTATATAGAAAATATATACTTTTACCAGTGTGCCCCCCCCCCCCCCCCCGCGGAGAATTTAGTGCACCCCCCCCCCCCGAAATTTCAATTCCCCCCCCCCCCCCCTTACCACCTCTGGAGGAAAAAAATCTGAAACACTCCGGCTGACAAAAAAAATGTTAATTAACTAGATTTCTTGAATTGGTGTTTTACAATAGACTTCTTGTTCTGTTTTTCGTATATTTAGGTTGTCCAAACATCAGTATGGTGTGTTTTATATGTACTCACCTACAACGTAGATGAGTTTGCTGTCGACGTCATAGCTCATCTGTTCCACGGTGCCTGTATCGAGCGTGAAGCCGTTGTTCTCTGTTTTGTTTGGTCCAGGTAGGTAGACGGTTGACAGGTGGGTTAGCTGGAATACATAGGTTGTTGGTTAAGGTACGTAGGTAGGCTAGATTAGTTAGGTAGACGGTGGATAGCTTAGGTAGGTAGACGGTGAATAGCTTAGGTAGGTAGACGGTGGATAGCTTAGGTAGGTAGACGGTGGATAGCTTAGGTAAGTAGACGGTGGATAGCTTAGGTAGGTAGACGGTGGATAGCTTAGGTAAGCAGACGGTGGATAGCTTAGGTAGGTAGACGGTGGATAGCTTAGGTAGGTAGACGGGGTGGGTAGGTAGCTAGGTAGGTAGCTAGGTATGTAGCTAGGTAGGTAGCTAGGTAGGTATCTAGGTAGACGGTGGATAGATTAGTTAGGTAGACGGTGGATAGCTTAGGTATGTAGACGGTGAATAGCTTAGGTAGGTAGACGGTGGATAGCTTAGGTAAGCAGACAGTGGATAGCTTAGGTAAGCAGACAGTGGATAGCTTAGGTAGGTAGACGGGGAGAGAGCTGAAGAACACAACATGTTTGCTAATTATGATTTTTAAATACTGTGGTATGACTTTCGTTTATCATGTTAAAACCTCCCTACGGGATTGTTTAGCAGTCGATATCAACAAAATGTATGACTTTTTCCAGTTTTCAGAGGTACATCTTGTCAGGCTTTCATCTTCAAGTAACAAATAGGGGAGGTAAAATAAAAGGTTGGGGTTATGGTAGCGACACGAGCAAATCCATAACTTGGATTTAACCCGTCAATGTTATCTCGAGCCTCTGATGAGTTATCGTGAAGGCTAGGACAATCAAGTTATCTCCCATTAGACTATTGTTTTTCTCAAACGTATAATTGTAAGCAGTCTAAAGATGTAGCGCACTTTTAAAATTGTCGTACATTTTCAAGATTTACTGCACAATCAACACCAAAATCTGGATTAACCCCCTGACACCCAAAGACTATTTTTAGAACAAACTAGACATAAGATTTCAATTACAAAACGTTGCTGACAGCTTACTACAAACAGGGGTCAGTAAACAGCGCGAGACATTAGCCATGTAAAGCTTTAATTAGCCGACCTGTAATGGACACTAAGGAAAGGGAAGTGGGGTAATAAAAACAACTACACGGGACCCCAGCTGACCAAGTGATTAATGGAAGCGGGCGAGATTTCCTGGCGTTGAGTGCGGAACTACGGAAATAGATTGGTGTTTATTTACGTTATGTGATTAGCTCAGAACAAACACAACGTAGTCAAATCGTTGTACGATACAAATACATATACATACACAATAACACTCACAAAGCTACTCCACACACCTACACACACACACACACACACATATATATATATATATATATATATATATATATATATATATATATATATATATATATATATTATGTATTATGGTATCGGATCTCCGAGCGTTGCCGCACCCCCCCCCCCCAAATTTTTTTGCGCGCAGCGAGTTTTTTTGGCTCATTTAGAATACCTATATATATATATAACGCAACATCATTTTTAAATCGATTCTATAATATAATTTATTTTAACTCGAATACCAACTTTTACCAAAACTATTGACACACTTTTACTTATTATTTTAGGAAAAACTATAACATTTCCAAACATGTTTTGTTAAGTTGCTAGTGCTCAATTTGTTTTGTTACGCTTTCAACATACACACACACACACACATATATATATATATATATATATATATATATATATATATATATATATATATATATATATATATATATATATATATATATATATATATATATATGATAAATAAAATAGCATTGGCTTCAACGTGAAGTAAGATATTTTTCTGTAAAATAGCCATTGTAACATTTAGCTCCTTCTATACTTAATCCAGGACAAACTTAACCACACATTTAACGACATGAGCTAGAAAGTTACAGATGTAAATATACACACGCCATACGTTCAGACACACTGGAACGCTAGTGAGGTTCACACCTTTGAGAAAGATTCTACCTGCAGAATAATATTCATCATATCTTACCTGCACTGCCGCTAACACTACGCTTGTGTAATATGAAATCACAACTGCCAATGATAAACTTCGATAGACCAACATAATGCACGGTTGGTAAGTAACTTTTTTTTTTATTCTTTTATTTTTTTAAATTTCAATCACAAGAAAATAACTACTTTTTATTAATGTGTAAGCTCTTTTGTTTTAATTTGAGAAAAATTCTCAAAGTAAGAACTATTTTAACTTGAACTATTTTGAATAAAGCCTTTTTTGCAGAGAGAGAAAAAAAAACGCGAATCTTATCTGGGAAGCGAGAAAATTTTAAATGATCTTGGACGAAAAAGCGGCGCTTTATATTTAAAATTTTGCCAAGTTTTCACTTCACCTGGCCAGATTTTTAACGGGGTTGTGTCACCGGCTCTCCTCCACGCTGGCAAGTTATCCACCGCAACAGGAAGTCATGGCGGACGCTTCTGCTGGCTGCTTTGATTGATAGATTGAAATCTTCTGCTGTCAGTGGCCGGGCAGACGCGAGGCTTTTGTTCTTTCCGTGAGAGATTGTAAAGCTGGTTGGGAAAGTGGAATTTACCTAATTATTGAGGCTAATTAGTCGAGATTACATTTGTGTTACATTGCCTGGGAATTGAGACAAGAGGGTTGAAGTTGTAGAGAATATGTTGAATCAGGGGACTGCTTCATCTTTCAAATTTAGGAGTGGGAATTTTGTGGATTAAACATCCGTATGGAATTTTGTTTTTTCAGCTTAGTTTGTGTATGGTTAATTCCGCTGTATAAACCGTAAATTTATTCTAAACTCTATAACTAGAAGAGTTTAAAATATATTCACCGTTTATATTGTTTATAGGCCTAAGATTTTGGCGTAAAAACTTGGCGTTGTGATTTCTAAAATATGTTTTTAAAAGTTTAATTTGAACAGGAGCTTCTGTTTTAGGAAATTCTGATAAAGTGGGATCGAACCCTATCCAGGTACATGATGGCTGGGTGTCTTACACAGCAAACCGCTAAAAGAACGAACCCCTCGTACAGCAAACAGGTGTAAAACTTCAAATTTCAACAAACTTTATCTCCCTTAAATTTCACAGCCTCCAAACTTAATTTTTGTATCGGGGGTTGTAAATGCTCAGTTTTTAACATTATATTAGACCAAAGTTACCGCTTCTAATTTCGAATAAAGTTTCTGCTTTACTCCCGTGTACTCGTTTTCTCCTAAGTAACAGATTCGTCTTTTTAATAAACAAGGACACGAACCAATATCTGACATGAGAGTTTCACTTTTTATGTTACTGACGTAATTATAAGGGCGGGGCTTTGATTTGTTTTTTTGCTCGACCTAGAAAAGATGTAAATCGTGGAAAGTTTGACCTCAGTATTATGGGCGAGGTGACCCCAAACGAGGCAGATTAATTAGGTTAAATGACGTACGTACATTGTGAAATCATAGGGTCACAACTTTATACAGAGCGGGGCCAAGCGAGTGATGTATTGGTAACAGAGATCAGTGTTTCTTCCATACTTTTTTCTCGGGGGAGGGGGTGGGGCACTTGAAATTTTCGGGGGGGGGGGGGGTCGGAATTAAATTTCATGGGGGTGGGGCAGGCAATGTTAAAAGTATATATTTTCTATATAAATTCCATTTCGTTTGGGGGGGAGGGTAGACTTTCTTTGGGGTGGGAAGGGGGGGCGCGAAGAGATGCCTGAAAGAAACTCAGACAGGGATACGTTTGTACCGTTATAAGGGCTTCGTGTACAGCAGTTTGCGGAATGGGTGAGGACGCAACCATTTACGCTAATACAATTTACAATAAAGGTCACTGATCAATACATATTAACATAATTATGTCTATATCTATATCTTTTTATGTTGCTTTTTTCCCCAACAACGGATGAACACAACGACCATTTATCAATACATTAGGTGTGGGGGAAAAATTCCAGGTCAAACATAACTTATAATAAAAACCTTATAATAAAAACCTTATAAAGTTAAATACATCATTTATTTAAAAAAGACCAATCGAGTATTGTCTTGATTAAATCTAGTGTATTGTTGGGTTTTGATATTTATGATGCCCTACTCCATCCACAGGAGTCAGAGCCAGTTCCAGGGACTCTCTCTCTCTCTCTCTCCTCCATTCAACTTTGGATGTTGATAACGTGTTGCTATGTTATCTCCAAACCCCTGATTTAGCTGTTTGATTAGAAATTTCTGGGACAGCTACACGCAACAACACTGAACATGTTTCTGTAAATGTGCTCACTTGTAACGATGTAACTAGTTTCATATAAACAGCGAGTGTACTCGAATGATTTAATCCACACACTACCCTCACATCAACTACACACCCACGTAAGGTCAGCTATGACGTAATTAACCAAGTAACAACCGCTCAGTTGTCCTTCTAACAAATTGTGAAAACTGATTTGTTTTTGTTTTTTATTATTATCATCAAGTCAAGGAGAGGTCAAGAACGAATGTTTTGCGTTTTGAGAAATGGGAGGAAAAATATCAATTTAAAATAAAATATACTGTGCATGACGTTTCTAATTCAACTTAAAGGACGGTCCAAGTAGGAGTCTACTCGTGTCTTTTGTAACAAAGCAAAGAAACAGATGGAATAGTGACCACACTTACAGCAAACAGCTAAAACAACGAACAGCTTGATCTGATCCAAGGCTCGAATCTGTAGGACGTCACTAATTCCATTAAGCTCCAGTGTTTCTTCCAGCCATCCTTTCCGAAGAGAGTCTACCGCCCCCAACCCCCCGGACGAAATGGAATATATTCTTTTAACAGTGTCTGCCCCCCCCCCCCCCCCCGCCGGAAATTTTAGTTCCCCCCCCCCCCCGAAATTTCATCAAGTTCCCCCCCCCCCCCCCCCCCTCTGGAAGAAACACTGCCACGCTCTGATGGGTACATGACTCACGTCAAGTAAAGGCGGTCACAGAAAATGTTGAACTGAAAGTCATGTGCCCCATGGACCGCCAGGTTCAAAAGGGTAATTTTACTACTATCCCCCCCCCCCCCCCCCACCTTGTTCTATAGTGGGAGCCCTCAAACAAATTTTCATTAATTAAACGTCTTTTAAGTCCCCCCCCCCCCCCCTAGACAAGCTCGTCTAAATTTATTTTACTTGAGTTCAGTTGCGTCCCTGTCAAAAGCGAGTGCCAAGGACACCTGTCATTTTAATGCACCGCCCATCTACGTCACTGACCTTGATGTGGCGCGTGACATTTTGGCCGTGTGTGTATGACGCTGTAACTCCGAGGTAAAGGACTGGTGACGTAAATCACACCAGAGTCCTGTTTGAAATTCTGACTTTTACCTCCTGCATTTTGGAAACAATTTTTTTATTTTTTTTATTTAAATATATTTTTTCTTTTCTTTAATTTAGGTTTATGTGTTTTTGGACTTGATTATCAAGCTATTATTTTACATGTGAATGTATAGTTTTATGTATATTCTATACCTATCTATTGTGTTATTTGATTGTTTTACGTACTTATCTTTTTATTTTTGTTCAAATCTCCAATAACTCTTACCGTCTTAGTGTTAGTGATCCAAGTGATGTTTGCAGTAATCAAGAGCAGAGTTTCTTTCGAGCATCTCCCCACGCCCCCCCCCCCCCTCCTTCCCCAGACAAAATTGAAAAAGTATATAATTTGTATAGAAAATATATAGGCCCCTACTTTAAAGTGTCCACCCCCACCCCCCCCCCCCCCCCACGAACATTTTAAATGCCCCCCCCCCCCCCGCCGGAAGTTTTAAGCGCCCTCTTTCCTTCCACGGGAAACAATGTATGAAAGAAACCCCTGAGGAGATTTTACTTGGCAGGCAAAAAAACAGCAGCACGTCTAATGTTTAGGTCACCATTTAACTTATCACGTAATTAGCTAAGCGCTCCCATCAAAAAATTAGCGCCTATTGTCCACACTCCTCTGTCGGCGGTCCCGTTGCTCTACGTTTTTATAAGCTTTAATTTAGCTCACAATGTCTATGTCAGTCTGCCCTTCTGTCTGTTTGAGGCAAGTTCTATAACTCAGTTTTGACCCATTTCTAATGTAACGATTTCGTTCACATTTTCAAGAAGACAACGCAAGAATATATAATTTTTAACCTAATTAGGTATTAAATTAGTCGCCAAAACTTGATGCGTACTGTTTTCGATAACAATAGGGGAGGTAACAGGATTTAAGTACCCGCTATCGCTTAGTCGACGCAGTGAGCTAAATACTATAAATATTTTTATATTTTTTTTTATTCATCGTTGTGCTGGGAGCACCTGAAACTTCATTTGATGGGGGGGGGGGGGGGGGGGCACTTAAAATTTCCAGGGTAGTGATCACAGGTATATTCTATCTAAATAATTTTTTTTTCTATTGTGTCCAGGAGTGGGAGGGGGGTGGAAGTGTTCAAAGAGGTGACTGGTCCGGGGGTGAGGGTTACTTTTTCCATGACCCAAATTTTCAGGGATGGTTCAGGGGTGTAAACTTTTCCAGGAACCCCCCCCCCCCCCCCCCAACAGTGCATGTCCACCGGCCCGCGAGAAAATATATTAAATTTAAATAGAAATTATTAGCCTTCTTATAATACCCATTACTTCTTCCACACCCACTGGAAGTTTCAAATGCACCATACAGAATAATGTCTTTTTTTTTTAAAAACCTGTTCAGTAGTAATTCAAGCTATGCTTTCTGATAAATCAACCCTTGTAAAATAAAACAATTTTAATAATAAAACAAAGCTATTTTTAAAAAAAAAAAAAAGACTTCCAATTACTTTTATTTGAAGGAAGGGAGGAGGCTAAATGGTGACTTCATTTTAGAGAGGTCCTCTTATATGACCCCTGACCCCCCCCCCCCCCCCCGTAAAGACCCATAACCAAACAAGTAACAAGCCTGGGATAGTACCACACACTCAATGACTCAATGAATAGACTGATGAGATGTAGCATGTAAAAAGTAGACATTAACAAATGCTCACCATGTCAGGTATTATGATTCCAATGCACAGATTTGTCTAAAACATACACTGCAGGCCTTGAAAAAATTAACTTTAAATTATAAAATCTGTATTAATAAAATAATTAAGACCAGAACCATATTCACACACAAGCAATTTTAAGCAGAAAAAAAAATCACTATGAATTGTGGTTTTAATTCTTTTTTTAATAAAAGATAAATAAAAAGGTATAAAAAATTGCTAATATCAATGGATTCAATACTATATTCAAAAATGGAATGCATAAAAACCAAAATAAAAAGTGTATATATATATGGGAGAAAAAGTTAAAAGCATTTAAAAAAGAAAAATACCATACAAAATTAACACAGTAGCAAAAATATATTGTTACATTTTTAATTAAATTATTTTACAAAAAACCTTCCCTACAACAATATCCTATACAGATTTGTATTGTTAAAAATCTGTGGAGATCATATACAAAGTAGAAAACAGCAGTTACATGAGTATTTTTCAATACAGTATAAGTTTATTTAAATTTAGAATTTATATAAGTAACTTCGGCTTGTGTTACCATTGCTGGCAACCAGTGATCCCTGCCCTCATTGCGCATCCAAAATTTCAGAAAACCGGCAGATTTCATTCTTTCATAGTCTTCATGCATTTGTTTATACCTGTTGATAAAAATATGCCCAAAAAAAAATTCAAAAAGGTATCCTACTTTTCATATGAAAATCAGTATATTTTTTAAATATTCAGTTCTCCCCCTTTTGAAATGAAGTTGTTAATAAATTAATCTAAGAAGTGGATTTTCAAACTTCAAGTGTAGTTGTTCTGTTTAGTTGGTTTTATTTTTAATTATAACTCTTTATCAAATTTAATTAAACTTGCATACATTTGAACATCAGTTAACCCTTAGCCTTAGCTGTTAACTAGCTGGTAACCTATTAGATTTAGAAAATGTACCAAAAATTTCTGCTGTTCATCACTTTACTAAACATGATAAAGAAAATTCCATGAAACACATCATTACTTTTTCTGTACTTTAATACAATCTTATAAATATACCAATTTTTATTGTTTTATCAAAACAATAATCTATTAAACTTATTTTATTAAAACATTTAAATAACATGGAAAACGTGTAAACTAAAAAAAATTAAAGAGTTGTGTAAGATCAAGTAAAATTACCTTGAGTGTGGTGGACTATCATTAAAAATATGCCACTCTATAAGCAACTGCGGCAGCTTCTGCAGGATGCCAGCATCAAGCAGGTTCGTTAAGATTGACCATTCGTTGTTTTCTACATCCATCTTTAGCAAGCTAATTGATTGCTGGTAAAACAGAGATTATTATTTGCTCAGCAACAACAAAGCCAATTAGTGGTCAGTTAAAATTAGTGATAAATAAATAAAATACTAACATTCAGTATTATTAAATACTAAATTTCTATGCCATGTCTCAATGCAACATTCAATTTATTTTTTGTTTTAAGTTAAAAATTAACAAAGCTATTAATGTTTAATAAATAGCTTTTAAAAGCTGAAAAATGAGACCTAAGACATTTTATTTTTTTAACATCTTTATAGTTGTAAATTGTGTAATTATTACTTTTTAAGATTAATGAGGTTTAGATTTACCGCTGTGTGAGCAAACATTGAGTGTAGTTGTATTTGTTTTTAATTTCAAGGAACTTCTTATCATATTTAATTAAACTTGTATATATTTGAAATCAGGTAAAGAGACTTAAACTTACCGGTGTGTGACCAAGCATTTTCATGATAGATGTCATGCTCTGTATGTTCCAGTGGTCACCTGGTTTTGCATATCCATCAAAGCGGGGTATAAAATTTGGATTATCCTCAACACCAATACCAAGCTTCTTAAAATGAACATGACTTCCTCTGACGTGATCTTCAACATTCATACTGAAATTTTAAACATCACTGAAATAACCTGATATAAGAGAAAAGATTAAAACAATATTTTACTGTAATGATGTTGCAAGCATATACTCACCTGGGATCAAAGGAGTACACAGTGCAGTTATAAATAGCCATAGCATCATCAAAGCGGAAGTCATTGGCAATACTGAAATTTTTTGCAAGGGTGATTTGTTTACCGTGTAAAAGCAAAATAGAAAACTTAAAGATACAGCTAGAAAAAAAGATAATTGTTTGCAGAGGTATCATTATTACTTAGACTTAGAAAATGCCTATTAAGTTGAGAAAATAAAGAAGAAGAAAAAAGTTTACCATTATGGAAGCTGTTATTCAGTATAATATAAATATAACATACATATCCTGTCCAGTGCATAGCTATTTGTATTACATTTGAACACCCATAAGTAACACTGTAATTTTTTTAAAATTCAAGCACAATTAAAACTTGCTTTGTATATAATATAAAAACATTTAAGTTATTTATCATTATTAAATTATGTATGTCTATCAACTGAAATCACTTTGATAAGTTTAAAGTGTACCTACCCAAATGAATAAACAATACAGGGTTTATTATCTTTCACGGGCCTGTACGGCTCATCAAAACAAACTGGCCAGTTTCCCATAAGCCGAACATCTTTACAAAGATAATCCATATTCTTCCAATCCCTGAAAAATAAAATTAATACTTAAAAAAGTTAAAGTTAAAAAAGTAATAGTACATAGACCTAAATTAAATGATAAAATTGCATCTAAAATAAAAACCAAAAAAAGTAAATTTGAAAAAATTTGAAACTTACTTTTCAAGTAGACAAGCTCTTTGCCACCAACTGTAATCTCCCCATGAATTAAAATCTGTTTCTAATTAAAAACAAAAATTTATTTTATGAAGTACCAAAACTGAATACAGCATTCCCTATTTGATAAATAGTACTAGAATTGTACTAGAAAAATAATAAGTGTTTTTACACAAAAATATAGCATAAGAACTATGTTTATGATACTCCTCTTCAATAATGAATCGATAAAAGTGTTGATGTACATAGAAGTAATAGTATATCTGTGTGTTTATAATACACAAAAGGAAGGCAAATGAAATAGTTGACGAAATTGACAGCAAATATCTATGTGGCCATATATTATCTAGTCTTATACAATATATATAAACTTTGTATCATAGATTTATTAAAATAAAACAAGAAGCACTACAATTGTTAAATCCAAGTTGCTCTATTAATATAAAACATAGGCTACTTAATAACCATTAACCATTAATAGCTAAATTATTAAAGCATCATGATCTAAAAAATTATATTTAACAAAGCAATTTTCCTTACCTTCCCAAATGTCACAAGCATCAGATCTAAGCCACATCAATATAGGGAAATATACACACATTGAATTACTTCTTGATGCAAATATAAAACATATAACAAATATAAGTAGTGTCCCAAAAATGATCTTTATCTGAAATTTGTTATGAATGCAATACCCAGCCATGATTGCAGCACACCTCAGCAACAAATACTGTTTATTAAAGATCTATTAAATTTCAACAATCCAGATTATCATTACATTGGATGGAGATGACATGGTAGGGTGGTTGAGAGCATGTCTGCTCACCAGAATGTTCTTAGTTCAGCTCCTGGACACCTGGGTGGATGAGGCTCACTAACTGGTGAATGCAACCCATCTAGGAGAGAAAACTCTGAAATCAAACAACTGCTGCCTTAGGTGAACAGGAAAAAGAAGCACATTTAAAAGAAAAGCAGTCATTGGATGAATAACATATTGGCATATTGGCATGTAATACTATTACTAGAATTACTACTTGTAGGGAAAATAATGGTGCTAAACTTGTTTGCCTTGATGATTGATCTTATGATCTTATCCAATGTTGCAATTAAGAATAAAGTAGATAATTATGGATTACACTATATTCTAACTTATCTTAATTACAAACTGAAAATTTCTCAATGCTAATTGCTATGGCAGTGTGGTCTTTAGAGAAGTAAAGAATGAAAGGAGTCATAGACTCACTTCTAGTGTACTAATACTTTTATCTCTAGCTTTTTCAGGAAATTTTAAGATTGTTTTTAGTTATTTTTAGTAGATAGTACTTTGATAGTTTATAATATCTATTTTATATTATTTATATTTTTTGTACTTTTACTAGATCTAAATTCTAATGTTTAATTCTTTTATCATTATATTGAATTGTGACATTTCAACAAACCAAAAAACATTGCAATTTTTTTTTTACTAATCTAGATTTGATTCTAGAGGATCTAGATCACGGGTTCCCAACCTGGGGGTCGCGACCCCCCTGGGGGTCGCGAAGGTCTTTCTGGGGGGTCGCCAACTGGTATACTAAACCTTAGTAATTTGAAACACAACATAAATATTTAGAAGAATTTTTGAAATTCGGCTTCATTAACATCACTGGAAATGTAATAGAGAAGAAACAAAGCGCACTGTACAAAGTTGTTCTCAGTCACGAATCTATGAAATCTTCAAAACTAAAACGTCATTTGAGACAAGTCATTCGGAACACACCGGAAATATATGGAGTTCTTTCGTCGGTAAGAAGCTAGTTGCAGACGCCAGAGACTTGATCGAACAGGATGTTTTCACCAGCATTAGTGCAAGCATCAAATGAAGTCGCGATAGAAAACGCCAAGCAAAAAAAAAAAAAAAAACAATAGGAGAAAATCTCACCAAACGCTTCATGTACTTAAATGTTAAATAACACATTTTTATTGAAATTACGCTTTCACCATTGTTTGCTTTTCAAGTTGATAAATTAACAGACGTGAGTTCGTGTTCGCAGTTGCTGTGTCTATATTCATGCGGATGATAGCAAAGAAGAGTTGCTCTTTTGTGAAGATAACATGGAGAAAATAAATACCTTTTTGAAACTGGATGATTAAAATGGGTTAGAACGGCTGTGGGGGTTTGTACGGATGACACGCCATCTATGTTTAGCTCAAAATCGGGCTTTCAGAAAACAAAAAAGATTTAGCTCCCTAACCACTACCCTAACCAATTGACATCAAGAGTTCATTGCTAGTATAAGGCGTAAATTATATAAAATCTGGAGCCTTCAAAGAACTGAGAAAAAACATTAATATAGATCACGAGGTTCTACTCTTCTACACTACAGTACGCTGGCTGTCAAACGAAATGTTGTAAATTGTGTTTTTTATTGAAATCTGAAATCAAATTGTTCTTGGAAGTGCAAAGGAAACATGACTTTTTGGTATACTTAAAACGACATAGAGTGGTGGTTGGAGAGAGTACCATACCTAGCAGATGTGTTCGAACATCAAGATAAGCTTAACCTGAAGCTTCAGGTAAAATGAACGGATATTATAACTTTCCATGATAATCTCGGGGTACTTTTATCAAAACTGCAAAATCGGCGAAGAAAACAAATCTTGGAAATATTGTAAATTTGAGTTATTTAAAATTTCGAAAGAAGCGATTTCTGGGCATCTTGAATCTCTTGAAAACGGACTGCATCGCTATTTCTCTGAGCTGAAAAAAAGAAGAATCTGCATTTACGCATTACCTATTCTCTTCTTCCCTTGATGTTGCCAGCATTCCCGTTGAATTACAAGATGAGTTCTTTTATTTGCAGAATGATTCCGAGTAAGATGAAAAACGGCAGACACAATTTTGGTGTAGTATTCACCATTCGTACCCAAACATAAGATTGAATGACTTTTCGAGAATACATTTTCAACACTATTCTTCGATTAAAAACAAAATTAAGATAATTATAATGACATAGGTTGGCGTTAACAAAAAAAATGTAATTAAAAAGTTAACCACGAAGGTTTAGTGAATAGTATGCAATTTTACTCATGCTATTAAAACAGTTATCAAGAGTACTTCATATTGAAAGTCTACTAGAAAATCTTATTTTAGTGCTTATTAATTTCCATACTAATTTCGGCTTTTTAATTCTATGGGGGTCGCGGGTCACTTACTTTTTATAAAAGGGGGTCGCCACTCGAAAAAGGTTGGGAACCACTGATCTAGATTAGATCTATTTTAAAATGCTAGTTTGGAATTGATGGGAATTATAGGTTTAAAACATAGATCTAACATTTTTTATTTGTGATAAGTATAAGATAAGATTAAGAACATTGTCTTTTTCCATATTTTCTAGACTAGTAACTGGGCCTCACTAGCAATAGTTCGTTGTCATGGCAATGTCATGGTAATTTTAGTAATAACTATCAACTAAGTCACAGAAAATGCAGTAGGCTAAAACTAACAATAAGGATTGGGACTATTTTTCAGATTTTAAAGACTTTAAAGCTCGTATTAATTTGGCTCTATTAATTTCCTTTAAGACCCTTAATAGATTTTAAAGAGAAAAAAAAACTGACAGTCTAACTAAGCCCTAGCTGTAGCAGATCTGTATAAGACTACTCTATAACCCAAAGCGAAATTACTGTCATGACATGTCATTCGATGCGCGTGGTGCAGTGTACATACAATACACGGTCGTAATAAAAACCGAAAACATTTTAATTTGACCTAGATCTAGATCTACAAGCTACATGTGTGTTTTTAAAAAAAATGAGGAGCAGAAATGCTTTACAAATTTCATTTACTGATTCTCTTCTTTTATTCACTCTTAGTATTAACTGTAAGACTAAAATTAAATTTTAAAAAGAATAGATCTAGTCTACAATTTTCCTAAATATAACATCATAGGGCCTAGCGAATTACTAGATTCTAGATCTAGATCTAGGCTATTCGGAAACATCAGGAATAAATTTTAATTTAAAATGTACTAAGCAGAGGCATAGCCAGATTTAGTATTTTTATGGGTCATCCATAAATGAAGTCACGCTTTTTTTGACGATGTTTACCTCCCCCTCCCTCCCCTCCGTCACACATCGTCACAAAAAGCCAGAACCCCCTCCCCTAAAATAACGTCAGACCTCAGTCTAGAACCCCCCCCCCCCCCATCCTCAAAATTTCAGTTCAATTTCTCTTAAAGCATCAATATTTTTTCCTAAATCTTGTCTGAACTTTGTCAGGGGTCGTCCATAAATGACGTCACACTCGTAGGGAGGAGGGGGGGGGGGGGGTCCGTAATTTTGTGACGGTGTGTGATGAGGGGGAGGGGTTCAGATGGTGTGATGTCACACTTTTGTATTATAAAAAAGCAATGTTAGATAACGAGTTTTAGCCCTTATTTTGCGTTTTAGAAAACTTTTTTAATAAATTGTAATAGGAATTGATTAAAATACTCTATGTTGACAGAGCTCAGACAAGGTTTCGGAAAAATATCGATGTTTTAAAAAAAAACTCAACTGCAATTTTGAGGGGGGGGGGGTTGTAGGCTGAGGTGTGACGTCATTTTAGGGGGTGGGGTCTGGCTTTTTGTGTCGATGTGTGCCGGAGGGGAGGGGGGGGGGGGAAAGATCTTCAAAAAGCGTGACGTCATTTAATGGATGACCTCTGTCAACATAAGTATTTTAGTCAATTCATATTACAGTTTATTAAAATAGTTATCTTAAACGCGAAATAACGACTAGAACTCGTTTTCTAACATTGCTTTTTTATAATGCAAAAGTGTAATGTCACGCCATCTGAACCCCCCTCCCCCTCATCACATACTATAACAAAATTACGGTTAGGGTTAGGGTCATTAATTATGTAAGGTCAGAATTGACATATGAGAACTGGATCTATGTTTAGAAAATTGGATTAAGCGCATTTGGATTTTTCCTTGTGGAAACTCAGTATCTATGGCCAAAACTGTGGTATCGATACTTTATAGTGTAACCGATTGACATATTTTTGTCAAAAATAGAATTACGATACAACAACTGTTCTTCTGTGTTTACTGTTAGTAGTGGTAGTCACATCACTAAGGTTTTGATCTAGATCTAGTAATTTAGATCTAGATTCTAGATCTAGAAATCTAGAAATAGACCACAGTTAACTATATTGTAAAAGTAAAAGACGTCAGTTATTTCAATGCAGTTGCTTTAGTTATGTCGTCTATTTTGTTAACTTAAAAAATTAGACTAGACTAGGACTTAGGAGGTGGGGGGGGGGGGCCTAATCAAATAGTGACAAATAGTAATCATTTAATCATGAATCATGATTTCTTCTTGTCACTTACTGCCTAGATTACACACTAGAATTGATCTAATCTAGAGTCTAGATCTAGTAGTAACAGTCTAGCTAGTAATAATAGTAATATAGTATTATTATATAATCTATTTCAGGACTTCAAGACAGAATTAGACCAGATAATAAGAATTAAGATCTCTAAATTAGATCTACAAACTAGTAGTCAAACTAGATTTACTAGAATGATTTCTTCAACAAACTCTACTGTTGTTCTTGTTTTACTTATTATACTGGTAATGCAAACTGTTGTTTATGGATCACTTTCCGATGTGACTACTGAAGTTTTTGATAAACAACCACTTGGTATCATTTCTGCTTTTGGGGATCTTGATGCAAACAAAGCTACAGACTTTTTTGTTTTATCTCCAGATGGTGAGAATGAGCCATTATATATTATATAGTATAGGCCTATAGTAATTTTAATTTAGTATTGTACTAGAAGATAACTGAGTTCTAAGTCTATAGTAGTCGACTCTAAAAATCGAGTAAAAATAAAAAATAGTATAGTTAAATAGACGATATTTCAAGAATGAACCCCCAGCTTTGCCTCAACCTACTGGCGGGCTTGTTGCATTAAACTCCCTTCATTATCATTTTAATTAGGCCCTAGATTTAAATAAAAGTAAAGTATGTAGGCCTTAGCCTAAATTTTACTACGAGGTTGGCGTTGTTGGGTTGGTTAAGCTCATGGTTACTGAACCGATAACTCCCGAATTACAACCCCCAGACTGATGAGGCTCGATAGCTGGGGACAGCCACTCTTCCAGGAGAGACAACTCTAAAATCAAATAACTGCTGCCTTGTAGTTTGTTTTTGGTTGGACAAAGACTATGGCTATGGAAGCAAATACAAAAAGAGTCAACAACCTTTATAGCGTATAACAAGTTGACACATATACCTAATTGTGTTGGAGGGAATCTCTTCCAACATTAAAACTAAGAACGCTGACAAAGTAAAAGAAGGAGTGGGTGTGGGGTAAAATTTTCTTTTAAAAGTTTGGGGGAAACAATAAAGTAATTAATAGTGGTATCCTAAGTAGATAGAATGTGTATATGTAAATTAATTCTTCCACTTCTTGGGAATATAGCCTTTACTGTAGGCCTATAGCTTCGTAAACTGAGCTGACATAAATAATAGTTTTAAAAAGGTGGCTCAATCACTTCTATATGTATATTTCCTTAAATCTTAGTGATAATTTATTTGTAAGCCTTCTATATAATCCCCACAAAAAAGAACATTTTAAAAAAATAACTAAAAGTATTACACTAAATTTACTTTTAATAATTTGTTTTATTATGAACTAAGCTTATGAACTAACAAGGAACAGCTATTAATTGATTGTTACCAATGACAACCAATTAGCCGTAGGTCTTACATCTGATATTACTTACAATTCATTATCTCAAAATTAAAAAATGTTTGTTGCAGGCAAGTCAGTTTACGTACTAGAAGCTGATATTGACATTAGACGGGATGGTACAAAATTTAATAACAGACCATTCATTAATGGTAATAAAAATGACTTGGTTATCACAAGTATTGTTCCTGGGGATTTTAACAGAGACTCCCAGTTGGATGTACTAATTATGAGGACATCTGAAGTAGGTGGAACTGCTGTTACAGTAGAAATCCATGATGGAAAGGACACTTCAGGTTCTTATTTTTTTTAATGTTCCTTGAAAATATTGTTAACACTTTTTTTTAAATATATTTAGCCAGATTAAGCTTTGTCTGATTCATAATACAATACTTTTTCAGGACAGCCATTTTTAAAAATCAATGAAACTTTCAGAGACCAACCAGTCGTCATAGAGTAAGCAAGCTTTTATCTCATCACTGATGTTTCTGTGGCTTCACATGATATTAGTTTATCAACTTAAATATTAAGAATTTCAAGATTTTACTACACTAGATTTTTTATTAATTCAAACCAAATGTACTGAATCACTTTAATATTTTTACAGTGGTGATGGAGATATGGTGCCTGACTTGTTTGGTGAAACTGTAGATGGTAAAAGAGCTCTGTGGACATTTAAGTAAGAGAATTTATTATCAATGCATTCTTAAACACTATCTCATCAGTTTGTGAGTTAAGTCAATTAAAAGGGGTGCTATATTTTTCGTCCACATTTGCAATGCTCTTTTTCTTTTTTTTTTTTACATAATTTAACACCATAATACGTTATTGTACTTTCTAGGGATAACAAGACTTACAGTGTTTTCTATTACCAAGAAAATAACACAACTTATTTACCTCCCCTTAAAATACCACAAGCAAGTGCCTTCCTTGATTTAAATGGTGATCTGTTTGCAGGTAATGTTGTATTCAACCATTTTTATTTTTCTAGATTTTTATTATGTGCAAAGATCAGTTATCCAAGATAATCGGAATGACATAGAATCATTGTTCAAGGGTGGTACCTGTGATATGCTCCCTTAGGAGTTGGAAGGGAGCAGATGGCACAATTTTATATTATTTACAGTGTTAACTTTAACAGAATCAAACATTGCTACATTCTGATATCCCACAATCTTCTAATGTGCTGATGGTTTGCAATAACTTCTTTTTCAGATCTTTGTGTTGTTTCAGAAGTTAATAAAGTTGTTTCATTTGAGTTTTGGCTTAATGAAGTTAGTTTTTTTTTGTTTATTATGTCTGTATATAAATTATTAAGAAAGCTTTTTATTTTCTTACAAAGAAACCACTTTTTGCTTATAATGGCAGTATTAATTTCTAAAATTGTCTATATAGTTAATTATTTGATCCCTGAGCATCTTTATCATTCTTTAAAGATTTTGGTTTATAGACTTAAACATGTATACAACATTGAGTTGGTTTCTAAACTTTAAAAATCTCTTTGTTAACAGATGGGAAACTTGACTTACACAGAAAGTGTACAGGCTCCTGATGATTTGAAAGTTGTTGGTCAAGCCTCATTTGTTGATTTAAGTAAGTTTTTTTTTCCTAATTTTATATTATCACATTATAAACCTGATTTATTTGATTTTTTTTTAAATTATTAATATTATATTTATATTATTTTCATAATAAATCTATAAACTGTGTGAGAATTAAAATATGTTTTAATTTTGATTAGATGGGAATCATGAAATCAATATAGTGTTGCCTGGATGTTTGGATGAACAGTGTACACAGAGTGTTGTCTATGTGTGGTCACACAACAAGGTAATACCTTTACACCACTCTACATACCTGGTCAAAGTAATACTAACACCTTTACACCATCCTACATACCTGGTCAAAGTAGTACTTACACCTTTAAACCACTCTACATACCTGGTCAAAGCAATACTAACACCTTTACACCACTCTACATACCTGGCCAAAGTAATACTAACACCTTTACACACCACTCTACATACCTGGTCAAAGCAATACTAACACCTTTACACCACCCTACATACCTTGTCAAGGTAATACTAACACCTTTACACCACTCTACATACCTGGTTCAAGTAGTACTAATACCTTTACACCATTCTACATACCAGTACAAGATAATACTAATACCTTTACACCATCTTATAAATTGGCCAAATACTAACACCTTTATACCAGCATATTTTACTTGTTTGGGGTAATGCTAACATTTTTACCACATTCTCCAAAGGTATATTGATTTCTTTTTCTACATTGAATGAAATTGTCTGTTAAGGGCATGGGCGGGTGATGAGTACCAACTTTCTTATTTCCGAGTCTAAAGATGTAATACTTGGCTAATAGTTATAACTCAAAGAGTTAAGCATAAAAATATATTTTTTAATTTTTTAAATCTTGCGTTGCCATGGTGACGGCGGCCATATTGGATTTTATTGACGATTTTTAAATGGAAATAACTCAAAAATGGTTTGTACAAATTTCATGAAAACTTAATATAGTCTGCAGACACATGTGTTTAAGACTTCTGATAGATTACATTTTCAAAAAAGAAAATAGTTTTTTTTTTACTTTTTTTTTTCAAACATCACTGTAAAAATTTCATTATTTCGTCTAATTTTTTCACTATTTCAACAACAAAAAATTTTTTTTACAAAAATTCCAAAAGTGTTCTATCAGTTTTATTTGAACATATATAAAGAGTAACTGGAGCAAATTTAGTTCAGTTCTGATAATTATTAACAAAGTTATTTCAACAATTGTACAAAAAAACATCAAACTGAGAAAAACGCAAAAAACTAACAAAAAGTTGCAAAAAATGAAAATTTATCGCTGTATGTCACTAAAATCGACCACATTTATAGCCTGAAGTTTGGTGCTGCTGAATATATTCCTTCTGAGCTTGTTCGGCTGTTAGTTTTATTTTTTTCTGGCGCTCTTTGTTTTACCTAGAGTTGTAGTAAAGCTGTTGTCATGGCGTCTTTTTTCGCGTCCTTCACTGAGTCTTCGACTATGGTTTCCTTCTTTTGACAGCAATGCCATAGCATGCCTGGGCCCAAAATTGAATTATGCTATCGCAGAAACAGAAGTATATTTTGCATGGTCTCATGTCTAAAGCCAATTATGATAAGACGATGTCTTTGTTTATTGTGAAAGGCCTTGTTCTGGATTCTTTTGCAGTTGTATACTTACGGTTTACAACATTTTTATTACTGCCACACCATGCTTGAAGCAAACCCTTTACACTTTTTTCATCAATAGTAGCCACTACATCACATGTATTGGTAACATCAAGAAGCAAATCACAGTCGACAATAATTCTGCATGGCTGTGGTTTACAATTAGTACTACCAGTACGAGATGTAACAGTGCTTTCTTCTGTATGTAAAAACTGTGTCTTACATTGCCGCAGTTTCTTAGTAAATGTGCATATTACATCTGCACCAGTGCTTGTCTGAATAGTGCTAGATTGAGTGGAGGTAGCTGCAATCAGTTGCATTCGGACGTGCCCTAGCTTTAGTAAATTAGTTAGATGTGTGTAGTGTATCTATTTTTAGCGAGTGTTTTGTTCTACGCATTATCGAAAGAGAAACAAATTAAATCGCCTCACTGCTTATGATAATTCACACAAACTAATCTAAACTGTTAATAGTATATTTAATTGAAATAATTATATGTTAAAATAATGTAAGTATTTTACAGAAGCTTAGAGAAACAAAACTAGATCAAACTTAGCAACGCGCTGAAACTAAGGGAATGTTTACTTACGAAGCGAAACGACCAATCGCTAACTAGCTTCCGCCGCCGTATGCCAATGAAAAAATTGAGGTCAAAAATTTGCATACCGGAAAAACCCGACTGAGTAAAATAAACAACTTTATGACGTAGAAAAATAATCACATTAAAATAGGTATTTTGATTGGTCATTTAATTTTAGAACAAATAAAGAAAGGAGGTCACGGCCTTTCCATTGATATGAAACACATTAGGTTTCCGCGAAGCCTAATAGTACTTTTCTAGGTCGAAAAATTGCTATTTTTACTAAAAAATAAAACAAAAGCCCCTGTACACACTACATTGAACCCGGTTTTTCATAATTAAATACTAATTTTAGGGTCATAACAATGTCATTTTTAGATTCAACGATGGTTATTCTGTATAGATCAAGTAAAAGTGGGAAATCGATGATTTAGTGGATTTATGACGAAAAGTACACCCGCCCATGCCCTTAAAGTTTAAAATTCTACTTTATTAGACATCTAACAAAGCTACTGAAGGCAGCTGGTTCAAGCTAGATGTGAACTTTAAAGTGGATAATGACAGAGTGACTTCTTTTTCCACAACAAATCCATTTCCATGGCTGTCCTTACCAATAGCTCTGAGGTTTGGAGACTTCAATCTTGATGGGTTTCCTGATGCAGTGGCAGTGATGTCTGATTCCAAAAAGTAAATTATGCATTTTTAATTGTTTAAACTGTATTATCATACTCATCTGACAGAGATACTAAGCTTAATAAAAGCCTTGCTGGTACAAAACTTGTTCAAGCAGATGAATCATTAAATATGATTCCTGCTTTATAAGTTATGTTATAAGTAACATGTGTTACCTCTATTCCTATAGAATATTCAAATCTTAAAGAATAATAAGTCTTGCTTTTTTTAAATGGTCATTAAATTAGTTTTTAATGATTTATTGATTTTAAAAATGATTGAACCAAATTAGCTACCAACAGTATTTTTTAAAATATTTATTAATGATTTATTTGATTTTAAACATGATTGAACTAAATTAGCTACTAACAGTATTTTTTTTTATACTTATTTTGACAGTCAAAATAACAAATCAGCATTTATCATCTACAATGAAGAATGTAGGACATCATGTGAACATTTCTCAAGGTCTCTGTCTATTGACTACAAACACCCACTTGAGAAGTATAATCCTGTTGTGGTGGCTTTTTATGACCTATTAGAAAATGTGAGTTATAGCACAATCTCATCATACTTTTTTTTTTCTGGTTTATACAGGAAAGTACATTTCTTTTTTTATTGCTCATTTCACATGAGTGCAGATCAGATTTTTTTACTGCTATCTATCTTCACAACAGGGTGTATTAGATATTCTCCTAACAGAAATTAAAGATGGGACATTAGTTATCAGAGCTATAGAACAAGACTTCACTGGGGATGCCAGTTTTCTAAAAGTGTTAGGTAAATCTGGGTTTTATAAAATTAGACTGAAACACAAATTTATGTTATTGAATAGCCATCTAGCTAAACTATTTTTATGGTACATTTTTTATTATATTTTAAGGATATTTAAAACTGTATTCTTTTTGTTTTTAAGTCGTAAGTGGGCTGTGTCAAGATAACTGTCCTAATGGACATTCAGTGAGTATTTTTTTTATAGTTTAACTGATTTTTTTTAACTAGAGAGCAACATATTTATTTTTTAAGTTAAGTTACAAACCTTATGGTTAGACTGTTACAGTTTAAACATTGTCCTTTACTCTATATTTTAGCCATATGGTGTGAATCAGGTAGGACCTACTGCAAAATTTGTCAGTACAACACCAACAGGAGATGACCAGATTGGAGTAGGTGGGTTGAAGTTTTGGACAATTTCTAACTCCCCCCCCCCCTTAGAACTATGTGAAAAAAAATGATTGTTAGCTTTTAACCTATTTGTAATTACTGTTAAAAATGACAAAATTATTTTCTTAACAATCAAACCCAAGATTTATAGCATGTCATTCATATATTAATCCACAGCTTCTCAATTGTGTCAGTCTGCATACTTTTCACTGCAGCTCCCCTTTATCTTATTTGGTCTTGGCCAGACTCCAAATTTTGTTGATGACCTACAAATTGGTATTCCGTATCCACCAAACAAGGTTTGTGACTGGCAGCAACAAATGTTCATGTTAGTATTCAGATATGTTCACAGTCTTTCATTTACTAGTCATAATCTAAATATTTAATTCATGATTGCAGAGTCCAAGAAAACATTCCTGGTCAACTATTATTCCCAATTCGCAAGTCATTGTTTTACCTTACCCTGTAGATAACCCAAACAGGTTTGTCTCCCTTGTATTCTTTTAAAATACTTTCATGTCCTTACACCTACACTCTTACTATTTTTGAAAAGCTCATATTCCCTATATTTTCAAATAGATTTAAGTCTCGTTGAATATCCTAAATGTGTAACATTTTTTCTGTTTCTAGCTGGAAACATGAACTGTATGTTACACCAAGTCGACTTGTATTGTTGACTGGAGCCTCCCTGCTAGGAACATGTGCCTTTATTGCTGCCATTGTTGGCTTGCTACAATGGCGAGAACGGGTAAGCTCCATTTAAATTATTTCAGACTACAAAATTTATTTTAATGTTTCAAATTCATTTTTAATTCAGTATTATTATTTTTCTAATACTTCAAGCAAAATTGTCTGTACTACTAAAAGTACCTTATTAAACAGGACTTGTTTGAACTTTTTCATTTCATCACTGAATTAAAGGTCACTTTGTTAAGTTAACATATGTGGGTGGCTTTCACTTTCTAGATAAGTTTTATTGTTTTATGAACTTTTAATGTCAATAATAAGAAATCATAGTGAGAAACTGGTTCATTAAAAATGATTTCAGATTGAAGACAAGAAAGAAAAGCTCCAAGAGGCTCAACGATTCCATTTTGATGCCATGTAACCTGCATTTCTTTAATCCATTGCTTTTTTATTTATTTATTTTTTACATTCTTTTCTTACCATGCTGCCTGTTTTACCTAGCATTTACACAATGTATTAAAAGACTGAAACTTGTGTATTATTATATTAGACCAGTGTGTTACATTAGGCCAATCTGGGAAATTGGAATCCTACATTAACTAACCAGGCAAGCAAGTTTAAGCCGATCTCATTAACTGTATCCTACCAACTGTGCCCCATGAGTATACTGCTAAAGCCATGTTAAAATAAATTGAGAAAGGTTAATCAAGAAAATGTACACAGTTTAATTATGATTGATAGCGATAATCTGAGAGAAAATAGTATTGTAGTATTTAATAGTTATAAAATAGGGTTTATATAATTAAGAAAAGCCATTTTTAGCAGATAAAAATGTAAGTGAGAATATTAGGATTGGTTTGATGTATAAAATAAAGTATTATTTTTACATCGCTAATATTTTTTTTAGATCTGACTTTGTCATATTGTTATTTATTGTTTGTGGGTAGTGTCACTCTTCTGTCACTCAGTGAACATCAGTTTGGACATATGTAAAAGCCTGTCTTCCGTAATATTAATGTTTCAGTTTTAATGTGTTTGTTCACTGTAAAATATCTCTTTTAGTATTTGGGTAATGTCTGTTTTTAAGAACTACATATGAGATCATAATTTTATGATGTCACAACAATTTCTTTGTGTACTATAATTAAATTATTTAAAAGATTTTTTACTAAGTTTTGCCTGTTTATGTTAATAAATTTGATTTTTAATCATTCCTTTGGTGCAATAAACTAACATGTGATTATTCTTTTTGGTGTAAAGTCTGATTATTTATATGTATATTCTGTTATTTCTGTGTTGTAAAGACCTTAACTACACTGTTGGTACTCATAAAAACTGATGTTTTCTTCACCTCCATGAAAATTTATGTTGCATTAAAACTCTACAAACTTAATGAGCAACTTTTATAACGAATAATAAAATGTACATAAAAGCTTACAGTAAAAAGATGAAAATTTCCTTTGCTAGGACATAGTAAATCAATTAGAATCTCAAGAAGTCTCCCAAATACATTTCAGTGAAAAAAAAGTATATCATTAGTGAAACATGAGGTTGCCTACCTTTGATTTAAAAAAAACACTGTAGTGCCAATGAATGTGTGGGACTAGATTCTTTATGCTTTATAATAATTATCAACAGCTTTTTTTTAAAAAATACATTTTAAACTCAAGTGATGTAATGCCGCTTTTGTATAGGTGAAGTTATTGGCCTAACCTGTGCACGGTCCCTATCAGTGTGTGTTGATCTTACACTGTTGCTGGCGTACAGCCAAGGATCACGCTATATGAGCTGTGATGAGCAGCTCCCTCAGTTGTTATGGGAAGGGCACACACCCCGTCTAAGGGAATTAAACAAGACTATCTCGTAGTTTAACGCTTAAAAATATGGCTAAGAGTCATCCATCAACACGTCCATACACACGTGCACCGACTCAAATCGACTTTGTGGGAGGGGAGAGAGAGAAGATGGGATAGATTAATAATTAATAATAAACGTTAAACTAATGGGAGACCATCCCCATAAACGATAGATAAAATAGAAGACCCTATTGGTTAATATATGTGCAGTCTGAGTCATAAGGACTAGAACCGCCGATTATAAGTGAAAAATTGCGACGCCAGCAAAATTTCGGGGTGGGGGGGGGGGTGCCTCTCCCCCCGAACGAAATGGAATTTATATAGAAAATATATACTTTTATCTGTGTGTCTGTCCGCATGAAGTCGTGATAAATGAACCGCGAGGCAGCGAGGGATAATTGTGTTTGGGAAAAAAAACACGCTGTTTTGCAACGCACTCATTATTTTTACAAGAGGTCCCGCTGACATGATGTCACATTTCAGTCAAACTGGCAAGAGTTGTTTATCTTGTAGTAATTATAGTAGTCAATTCATTGCGAAAAAAAATAGACATGGCTACTGCTAAGTGTTAGACTCTGTTTCTAGTTTTGTACTGACATTTGTAGCAAATCCAGGTCAAGATTTTAATAGTAGACTACATTGGTCAGGTTTTATTACAATTTACAGCAACAAAAGTCTTTCAAATGAGCTAATGTTGTCAACCTAGGGGTCGTCCATAAATGATGTCAAACTCGTAGGGGGGAGGGGGTCCGTAATTTTGTGACGGTATGTGAAGAGGGGGAGGGGTGTTCAGACGGTGTGACGTCACACTTTTGCATTATAAAAAAAAGCAATGCTAGAAAACGAATTTTAGCCGTTATATCGCGTTATAGAAAATTGTTTTAATAAATTGTAATAGAAATTGATTAAAATACTCTATGTTGACAGAGTTCAGACAATATTTGGGAAAAGTATCGCTGTTTTAAGAAACATTCAACTGCAATTTTGAGGAGGGTTGTAGGATGAGGTATGACGTCATTTTAGGGGGTCTGGTTTATTTGTGACGATGTGTAACGGAGGGGGGAGGTAAAAATCGTCCCAAAAAAGCGTGACGTCATTTATGGATGACCATCCTAATAGTGTGTTGGAAAATATAGATCTTTTTAAGGCACGCAGACTTGACGTAAAATATTGGTGTTTCTATAACAAAAAAATAGTTTGTTAACTAGTTGCACGGAGAAATATCCCTTTCGGCGAATCTATCGGCTTCCAATCTTCTCCACATCAATTATGGATAGGCATATGGCAACCGTAAACATTTTAAAATCGACTTTCCCGTTTACGCTTTAATTCGACTTCGGTATTAGATCTAGATAAAATGGCGAACAGGGAAAAAAAAGAAGTATCAACACAATTTAAAAGACCAATAACTTTTTTTTTACCATTGCCACTACTCTGATGAATATAGGCCATATTGTATGATATTACGATATTAGTTGAGTAGGAAAATGTGGCGAATGCGCGTTTTAATATTTTAAAAAGGCCTATAATTGCAAACCTTGTGATTAGCCATCGACAAAAAAATAACACAACTTTGGAGTTTTGATTTAATAACAATTTTTATTAAGTAATAATTGGGCTTTATTAAATATGGAACTGCAGAGGGCCTATAATATATAAGCGGAATATGTTTAAAATTTTAGAGCCTACTCCTAAGTCCTAAATAATTATTAACGGGGTGCGCTTATCACTCATTCTTTATTAATGCCCTTTAAATTTGCTTTATTTTTACGATATAAAAATTAAGATAAATAAATACAGTTACTCTAAAATGTATTGTTTTGTTTTGATTTCGATCTTGATCTAATTAGGTTTAACTGTTATTTAACAGAGCACCGTTCGACTTCGTACGACTTCGGTGCCCACGCGACAGCGGTTTCCGGTAAAACACTCAAACCCTCGGATACGCGTGTTGCGAAGGAGAACCGGAAATCGTTTTACTAATTTTATAAATACGCGATTGCGCTGAATATAACTGTTTCAAGTCACCAAAATATCTTTATATGATATATATGAAAATTTTAAAGTTATATTATTTCTTTTTGTTTAATTTAATTTTGTTTTAAACACTTTTAGACATACTTTTAGTGTTTTTGTTTTTACAATTATTAATATAGCAACCTGTATTACTACACCGGAAAGAATAGTCCCTTAACGACGTACAAAATTAATTTCTCACATAAGATAATCTTCACTTGACTACAGGAACATCGAGTGAGAGGGCTGTGTTGGGTGTTATAACATACCTAGGAGACTCTCTTCTAACTAATAAACATCCATCGCTTCTTTCAAGCATTACAATGTTCAAGAACACCTTTCAGAGTGGGTTCTTATCGATACTTTACAGTATTGGAAGCAAACCATTACAGATTTGGGACAAAAAGGTAAGTCATAATTTAATTATTTTTAAAAAATTCAACACTTTTACTAACTTGTATTTTTAAAAAATCTTTTAGATCTGAGTGTAAACAAAAGATTCTTTGGCGTGCCTAGCAACTAGCAACGCAAACGTTGATATTACTCTTATATGCTATTGCTGGTCATTAGCTTAAAAAGTAATTAGTAAATATTTCAATAAAACTCATTGCAGAGTTTTGAAGCTTCTGAAGATTAAAGACAAATTTGAAATTAATGTTGAAAAGTCTTTCAAAAGTAGTTTGGCTTGATTTTTCTTGATTGAATTAATAATTAATAATTAATAATCAACTAAAATTAGATCTGATTAAGTATTAAAATAATTAGTAATTAGATCTAATAGTTTACTGTTTTTTATTTGTTCTGAACTTAATAAATATTAAATAGGCCTATGTGTACAATTTATTTATCAGTAAAATCATGATTATTAATAAATTATTATGGCTATATGAGTATTTATTCTAGGCCTTTAACTTTTTAAACTCAATACCGGCACTTAAATCGAACTAAACTTACATTCCAAACTCTCAGACAATAATTAAACTAAGAACAGAGACTAAAATTTAATCTCGTCTTACTTAGGTTTAGCATCACTCAGCATACTTAAGCATAACACTTGATTTCGGTAAAGCATCCACTATTTACACAGATGGGTACCCTTTTAACATAATGTTAATTGTATTTGTAACATCATTTATTATCATTTCATTTCAGGTTCGAAATGGCCACATCAAGCGTATAACAGACAATGACATTCAGTCTTTAGTTTTAGAAATCGTTGGTACAAATGTCAGGTAATGATTGTTGCTACAAATTGATTAAATTGATTTATAATTATTCCAATATTTTCACACGCTTAAAACTACTTCAATTTATAATTCACTTAGGGCCTAACTGTTATGATTAATGAATATTGTTTTTAACACTTTTTAACTAAAATTGTTTAACATTGTATACCATCATTTTGCCATTACTGAATTCATTAAATATGAACATTCTGTTTTTCTCTATGTAGTACTACATACATCACATGTCCAGCAGACCCCAAAAAGACTCTTGGCATTAAACTACCATTTTTAGTGATGATCATCAAAAATTTAAAGAAGTACTTTACATTTGAAGTGCAGGTAAGCATTGTATTTATCTTACAATTATTCAACTTTACAAGATTTGTGCTACCTATTGGCTGAAAGATTTTAAATGTTCTTTAGGATGCAATTACAAACATTTTTAGTTATGAAATAAACTGACTGTTTCTGATCTGTATTTTGAAATGCCTTCATTTCCAGATAACTGTATTTTTCTTTAAAGTTACAATTGTATTTCAAATGTATTGTGGATTATTTTCACAGGTACTAGATGATAAGAATGTTAGAAGGAGGTTTCGTGCTAGTAATTACCAAAGCACAACGAGAGTAAAGCCATTCATCTGCACCATGCCCATGAGGTTGGATGATGGCTGGAATCAAATTCAGTTTAATTTGTCTGACTTCACACGTAGGGCATATGGCACAAACTACATTGAAACTCTTCGAGTGCAGGTAAAAAAAATTTTGCAACACTATTGTTTATGGTAGGAATTGTGAGATATATATATAATGTTATGTACTTGGTTTAAAATTTTAAAGTAATTATCTTTTTTATAATGTTCTGAGACACTATTCTATTTTCAGAATCTGGAGAGAGGGATTGTAGGTAGTTAAGATGAATAATTTTGTTCTTTTATTTTACTTTCTAGATCCATGCAAACTGCAGAATCCGCAGGGTCTACTTCTCTGATAGATTGTACTCAGAAGATGAATTACCAGCAGAGTTCAAGCTTTACCTCCCTGTTCAACAAAAGAAATAATAATTTTTTTTCTTGCTTATATGTTTTATAAAATTATTACCCCTGCCCTTCCAGTTACACAATATACTATATTTTTGTGCTCGGTCACTGCTAAAATTTAATAAGGAAAACTGAACTGACAAAAGAAATGAACAATTTTATTGCTTTAACTGAGATTGCATACTCTTTTAACAACATATTTTTTTTTTGTGATTGTCATCTCTAATTATTCAAAGGTGTATTTTTTTTTGCTTAAAATTCTTTAAGAACAAAAGGTAAAAAATGATTTACCTAAAAATGACTTTTCTTAGTTACCGACACTCTGGAAATTTAGAATGTTGTGAATGCATGAGCGTGCTGAGGTTTGCAGAAAGTTCTAATAACTTCTGATATGCAATGGTTTTACTTATGAAATTGTTTTGTTTATGTAAATTTGCTGGGTCAGCCTGTGAATAATTTGTTTGTTTTGTCTATTTTATTATTTTGCATGCTCTAGTCCAGTACTCTTGTTGTAATAATATAAACATAAAATGTCATGAATACTGATGGGACCAAATTTTAAGATTTTTGAGATATTCTCAATGTAATTGGTGTTAAGTATCACTTTGAAAAAGAACGAGACAAAAATTAAATTCTTTAAAAAGCATTTTTAGAGTTAGTGGTCTTGTATAGTTTCTGGATGTGTATGAGTATGTTGTCAGTATCTTTCTGAATACCTTTTACGCTCATTTGAAAACATGATTTGTTGCTTATTTGCATTCTTGCTTATATTTTAATGAATTTTACATGCATGAAGCGTTGTGTAAGACTGTTATTGACTATGTTCATTTAATATGTGAGTATAATTGACCCTACATAAGTGGAGTGTAAGAGATATTAGTTGAATGAGTGTGCAAAAGATTATGCATGGTTCTCTTTTTCCAGCTATAATAAACACATCAACATTACTGTGTCACATTTGTTTTTAAAATTTCTAGTATGGATAATGGGAGTCTTTTTTGTGTATGTAATCTTATAATTTTCTATAATATTCTCTGCTCATCTGTCATTATACATAAACATTTTAAACCAGTTATCTAAGAAACGCAGAAGTTTATAAACAGCTTCAATGTTGTTTTTCTTAGATTTTAGACTTCTTTGTTGAAACCATTATCTTTTGTTGTAGGGAGTATGGTGCATTTTGTTTTGTGAAATAGTTGTATTTAATTATTGACTAAGTGTATGGCAATGATCCATTAAGTTGATACAAAAAATAAATCAAATGTTACAAATGTAGATGAATTTTCACTTATTTATATTTTAGTATAGTCAGTTACTTAAAAAAAAAGCTTTAAAACCATAGGGTAATAAAAGAGATAAATACATTCTGCCAACCATTGATTTGCACTATGCATAATTGTAATCCCAGGAATAAAAATATATCTTAAAAATATGTATATTTATTTTCTATTTATTCTAAAATGTTGTTATTAAAATATTAAGACATCTATTTTGAATGGATCTAAATAGTTTGATCCATAAGTGGATTTTTTTACTAAAATATCAATAATTAATGCCCATAAGTACTGATTTTTATTATTCTGTACATAATACTAATACAGTGCCAATTCATAGTAACAAATCTAAGTGCACTAGTAAAGCATAACATCAGGTTGCAATTACAGCTATTTTTAACAGTTTACTTCCAATAACAGAACAGTATTTTGTTAAGGTTTAGTACATAAATCATTAGACTTAGTAAAAATAAAAATACTGGCTATAAAGAACTCAAAAAAAAATCTTTTAGTTTTATCATTCAGTATCCTCAAGCACAAGGTTAGCAGTATTTTGAAATAAATTGTCAGTTTATAATATTTAAAATCACTGTGAATATAGTAATTTAATTTGATTGAGTGGTAGAGCACCTGATTACTAACCCAAACTTTTTGTATTTGATGTACGCACTCAAGTCCGTAGAATCTTCTGGAGTCTACCTAGTTATGATGGGTACTTGGTGCTAGTAGGTAAAAGTAAAGGTGGTAGGGCACAGTGGTTATGCAGTCTCTCCATATGTAAGATTTTAAAGTATTTTTTTTTTAATATGAGTTATTTCATAAGATGCATTAGATTTTATGTAATTTCATTATCATATATTGGTAACAATTTATTTCCAAAAACTTGGATGGGGAGGTGGGGGGTCTGACAATGGCCATGGGGGAGGGAGTCAGTGTGAAATAACATTCTTATTTTAAACATTATTTTAGAGCTTATTTTTCTTTTTTTTTTCTGGTGTAAATAGTATAAATCAATCAATATACTTAATAACTAAATGATAATCCAGTTTGCTTTTTAAGAAAACCACTGATACAAAAAAATAAGTGCAAAATATGTGTGGGTGAAGTGTTTTTAAGAAAAATGGGTCTTAATTCCCCCCCCCCCCCCCCCCACACACACACACTATACAATAACTTCTTTTCCAGAGGAATGCCCAACAATATAAAATTAAGTTGACCCAAATTCAAAATATATTCCTCTACAAATGCTCAAAATCAAATACAGACAGTTAATAATAGTAAAACTTAAAGGCAGGGACAACGGTGATGGGGATGGTCTTAGTGTTAGCTTAGTGACGCTAGAGAGAAGTGGGGTAAAAATCAAGAAAACGTTAATCTTTCAGTAAATATAGACTCAAGGTCTGTAAGGATTTTTTTTTTAATAGCACCTGGTAAAAAAGCTCAATATAGTAAACCCAGACATGACCCACTTATGTTAGTTTTCGGTATTTAAAGCAATTTTTTTGTGTTACTAATAGACGCAAGTGTCTGTGAGTTGTGCAATGTTTGGTGATAATTTGAGATAGATACCAGTCACTAGTGTCACTCTTACAATATTTAAACGTCTAATGATGGATGATCTGATCAATTCGATGAATGATCCTGTGGATTCTTTTGATTTTAAATCAATTATTCCTTCTGTTGATTCACTCTATCGAGATGAAGTTAGTAACTACTTTCAATCAATTGACACGAAATTTGATAAGGAAACAGAAACAATCAAAGTTGAAAGGTCAGTTTGGTAACAAATAGAATCTAGATCTAGACTAGTAAATAAATAGTTTGTTTAATGTTTATTGCCCTTATTCTTACTTAACTAGTAGAATCACTTAAGAATAGGAAAATAGGATAAAATTGCATAGTAATGTATAGGCCTAGGCCTAATTCAATTAATAAAAGATAGAATTATAGTAATTTATAGAAATCTAGATCTAGTAGTTTAAGTTTAAGTTTTTAGTAAGTAAGTACTGTATTTATTTTAAAGTATAGTTAATATTATTAATAAGTATGGAAGGGAATAAGCCTTAGGTAAAACCTCAGTTTAGCGTCGGAAATTATCGGGTAATGTTTGTTGAGTGTCGGTAACTAGACTTTACTAGAGTTACGGTAAACCATGGTTTATTTGACCATTGAAATATAAATAAATTGAAAGTGATTGTAGTAAATTAATGTTTTAATTTTTTAAGTTTAATCGACAAAAGGAAACAAGAATAAATATAATAGTAGATTTAAATTAGTAGATCTAAAAATAAAAACATATATTAATATAAATAATGAAGTCAAATGTAATAATTTAATGTTTTTTGCTTGCAGCGGATTTGCGACCATTAATTAATTAGTTCTAGATCTAGCTAGATATCTAGCTGCTAGGCCAAGTAAAACAAATCTAGATTACGAAAATAGTAAAAATGATTACAAAATGTAAAAATTATTACAAAAATAAATCTATCCAAATTTTAAACATTCTGTATAAAAATAAAAGATGACGCCAAATAAAGTATGGTTTACAGTACTTCCGGTGAATTCCGGAAGTGTGTGACAGACTTTGGCATTGTTTTACTGTTTTTTACTGCTATACGATTCCGGAATAATAACCGACGCTAAACTAAGGTTTTACCAAGCCTTATTCAACAATATTGGAAAAAGTCATAACCAAAACATTAAAAAAAAAAAAATTCATAAAAAATGTTTTAATAACAAGCTTTTATGTAATGATGCACTAAAAAGTAGAAAATAAATTATACACTACTATTTAAATTACTATAAAGAAAAGCATGGGTCACTTTAGTACTTTAGTACCTATTGGATAACTTTACTAATATTTGAGAAGAGACCCACGCTTTTCTTTATAGTAATTTAAATAGTAGTGTATAATTTATTTTCTACTTTTTAGTGCATCATTACATAAAAGCTTGTTATTAAAACGTTTTTTATGAATTTTTTTTTCAGTACTTTACATGTTTTATTTACAATAATGTGACATGACTAAAAACCATTGCGCGTCTATTGAACGTGATGGCGCGCCTACTGAAGGTGATGGCGCAGCTATTGAAAGTGATGACGCGTGTGGTGTGGTTGGATAGACATGCCTATTGATTCGGTCCAAATTTTAATTAATTCATAAAAAATTAATTAGGCATCCAATTAAGTCAAATTTAGTTTCAGATTGCATTGTCTTCATGTCTTGACCCACGTGCCAAGTGTGAATCGTATCGATCAAGTAGAACTGTCCGAATTTTCACTCCTACGTTTCTATCTAGACTGACGACAGACTGTCGACTGACGACTTAAGACAGAGGAAGAGAGTTAAATAAAAGCTTGTAAAAATGTTGATACTCTCACAAAAAGTAAACTATTCACTATACTTTAATTTAGGCCGAGTATTAATTTTTCTATTACTAAACTGTAAATTTTAATAAAAACAGAGAACTTCTGAATTTTTGTTGCTAAAAAAACAGCAAAAAATAATTAAGCATAAGCAATTAAGTTTCATTTAATTTTAAACCAATTTAAATAGGCAAAACCTGGAATGGGGGGTGGGGGAGGAATTGCGGCTAGAGGTAGAAAATGTTTTATAAACCAAGAATTAATAGGCCTACAATGATTGTTTTAATTAGATGGTAATATACTAGTATGATCCCTACATCATAAGGAATGAATGTTGTCCAAGTTCAGATTAATTTTGTTAACTTAGCTAGATCTAGGCTCCAATCAGATTTTAAAATGTGCATGCAAGTTTTTTGTAAGTATAAGTTAACTACTATGGCTATGAAATTGTCATAAAAATAAAATGAGAATACATTTCAATTTTAGCTGGATAGAATGGGCAAAGCGACTCAAATATCTAAAGCTGGTAAACACTGATGTACCAGATTGGATATTACCGAAAAATTGCTCAGGGGAATTAATCGATGCTAAAGTATTTTGTGCCAGGGGACCTGATGATTCTATTTATGATACATACACATTGGTCAGGGACCGGGTTAGTGCTACTTATTATTTAAATTTTTAAAATAAAAAATTTTTTTTCCTAATGTAATATAAATTAATTTCAGTAATTTTAACATCAACCCTAATTTTTTTTAGTATTTTCTACTGATCACTCAAGACCCAAATTTTGAAAAGTATATAAGGATTAATTTTTAATTTTCTCTAATTATTCTAATCAAATAATCATTACTGTATATCTTGAATAGGTTGCAAGAGGAAACTGTTTCTTAAGGATTACAAGAGGACCTAACAAAGGATCAAGATGTATTCTGTATGCTCTTAAAAAGTTTACTGGAGGCTTGGGGGATGATGATGACAGAGACAAGGGAGATAATGTCACTTGGAAAAAATATTTTATTAAAGTAAAAATGTTTTGTATTCTTTGGAAATAATTACTTTAAAAGGAACCCATGTAATTTTTGTAATAAAATATTTTTAAGTTGTAATACGCTGTTTTTACTTTCTCGTATATACGAAGTATAGAGAAAGTATTGTAATCGTGCAAAAATAAAAATCGAGATATTTACAGATCTCGACGTTTTACACCTCACTGATACGGAAAAACATAATTTTGCAATCTTGTCCGTATGTCTGTGTGTGTGTGTGTCTGTGTGTCTGTATGTCCGTGTGTAAACACGATTACTTGAGTACCGTTACAGCTAGGTTGATGAAATTTCATAAAGAAGTATTATATCAAAATCGTAGATCCGTATCAACTTTTGAGCGATTTCCGACAACCGGAAGTGGTACTTTTCCTACTTTGAATTTTTCAAAAGCCTATAACTTGAGTACTATTTCAGATAGATAAATGAAATTTCACATGTAAGTAAAAGATCTAATTCTCTACCTTCTATTAAATTTTGAGTAATTTCCGTTGACTGGAAGTAGTAATTTACGCTACTTCCGATTTCTCAAAAAACTAATGTAAATTTTTAAAGTACTAATAATATTGCGCACTATTATACGCGTTTTTATTTGGCGTTCACTTGGTGTGCAATTAATCTGTCTACGAGATTTTATTCTATTTTTAAAACTTTAAGTATTTAAAATGGATTAAAAATCATGTCTATAGCCCGAGTTCCCATCCCCTGTTATTTTACATAAGAATATTCGAGAAAGTTTAGGGTAGATCACTCCCGGTTTATTTTTTTTCTTTAAAATACCAACAGCCTCTTGATGCAGCCAAAAGAGTAGTAGCTACAAGAAAAGCAAATGGAGAGGCTGCTCATATGAGCTGTATACAACTTGATGGCCAGTTTCTTATATGTGCTGGTTCTAAAAATGTTCACATACTTATTAGAAATAGAGGTAGGTTTTACTGATAACATTTACAAAGGCTACAAACATTGTGTATTTATTTTATGCTACACACTAACTGCTGGGGGGGGGGGGGGGGGGTTATATTATATGAGATTTACTTTATTATTTTACTGTATCAATCTTTAAACAACTTTCTGGCAGTCAAATTAAGGTGAATGTTGTATTACTTAAATGGGATGACTATTAAAACACATATTTGTTATAATTATCTAACCATCCAGGCCTATGTCTTTAGATTTTTTTTTAGCAATTTAAAAACATCCAGATTAATGCACATATTTTGATCAAAGCAAATTTTACATTTCAGGGGATATATCATTTTATAAAGGAGACAGATATAGGATAGCTTCTGAGGTTTGCCACTCAATTATGGATTTTTTAGAAAATATGGAAGCATCACAAAAAGAAAGGTATTCTGATTATGTTGTTTAATTAATATTTAACAAAACACTTTTTAAAAATTTTATTGGACACAAATACAACCTTTTTTTTTTGCAGGCTGTTGAGATTTCTTGTTGTGACTAGGTTTACTGCTGTTTTTGAAATATTATCACCAAAGCATCAACATGTTGAAAATCTTTCATACTTAGATAAGTACGTTGAGCTATGAAATTGGCTGTATTAAGGTTTTCTTACTGCAGATTGTTTAGTAATGTGACTTAATAGTGCTTATTTGTTATTTAAAGTTTTCAATATGATCTTACTATGTAGAAGAGCTAAAATACTGTCTCCTGCATGTATTTAATAAAAATGAAGGAAGCAGAGATATACTTTATTAGTCCGATAACCTTTGTGGGGTAGGGGGAGATTGGTAAATAAAATATCACATTAATGTTACGTTATATATTATATGTGCATGATGCCTTATTATTATTTACTTATGTAATTTTTCCAACAGACCTGTAGTTAAATTTATAACATGGACATCTACAGAACTGGAGCCTATGCCAGACCAGAAGCTCTGCACTGTGCCACCACACATAGGAATAGAGGTCAGCTATGGCTTAGCTATAGTGGACTTTAAAACTGTATAATTTACCAATATAATAAAGTTCCCCTTTCAGACCCTAATGCCCAAAGTGCAAATGTAGTAGCGTACATATGTTTCTAGACTGCGTCATATAAAGAGATGGTGTAGTCAACACTATGCCCTGCCGCCTTGATTTTCTTTAACGTGAGTGTGGAATCCATCAGAATTGCGTGAACTCAGGGACGTTTTACTGACTCATTTTGGACAGAGATTCACAGTCGAGCACTCTACCACTTGGTCATGCCATCCCATACTAATGTAACTGAATACGCTAATTTCTAAATGTTACCATCTAACACAAAAATTAAATGAAGGAATAATTTGTAAAATCAATAATTCAACTAGTTATAGGTGTTAATGTTAGGATATTTTACTCAATAGATTGCAAAAGCTTTAGGCTTGTCAACAATAGATTATGAAGTTATTGGAAGTGATGATATACAAAAAAGGATGAAACAGGTAAATATCTTATATAACTTCTAAAATTAATTGTCAGCATACAAGGTATTTGAGGTTGTTTTTTTTGAGTTAACTTGATGCTCTGTTGACCATTATAATTATTGTTACTCATGAGGTTTTTTGATAAAACTATGACTTTTTTTTTTTAAATTAAGATTTAAAAAGTTAAAATAATTAAAAGTTTATTTATTGTTGAGTCTATTAAAATGAATTTTTATTTTCATGTTTTTTAATTAATCTGAATTTAGTTTTTGCTGACAATCCCAGCTGAATAAAGCATTTGCCTAGAATTTAAAAGAATTTGAATAGAACTAATAGCATATTAACAAATTATAGTATAACATATTCTACTTAACCTAGTTGTTTATTATAAAACCACCTTAACTAGATTAGACAGGGCTACCAGTACGAGGGTGAAGTTCTTTACTTCTTAGATGAGAGCAACATTGTCATAGGTTTACTTAAAAAGAAAACAGTTTGGTATGTAGTTAATAAATATAGATTCCATAATTCTAATCAATTTTTTTATTCTTGCAAGAGATTATACAAAATAGTTGAACAAATGTAAAAACCTTCTATAATAATTCCTGTTAGGATATGTTTATTAGTTTTGAAATTGAAATCTATCACAAAAATAATGTTCTAGTAAGATGTAATAGAATATACACAGTTTGATATAACAGTTGAAGATTTGTATGGGTAATCTTTTTATAAGATTCTGGTAACAAAAAACAATTCATCAATGTAAGGGTAAAATAAAACACTCTCTGTTAAGCTGACAAAAAGATTGAAATTTATTCAAGCTGGGGAAACATTTTAATATTTAACAACCAATTATATGTTAATAATATACATCTTTACTGGTCATAAGTATCTTTGTTAATTTTCATAACCGATTCATATTTTACTGCAATCTGATGTAGGTACATAATATGCAGAGCTATTCGAGAAAAAGCTCGTAGTTTTGGTGCTGCTGTCATCAAGAACAAAAGTAGTTATTCTGATTCTAAAGCTAGATCACAGGTATGCAACTATTTCAAGACTATTTTTTTTAAAACTTGAATGTCTAAATTGTAGCTGAAATAAAGGCCACCTTTTTTGTGTCCTCACCACATGATAGGATTGTGTGGTCAGAAATATGCCTTGTTGCCTTCACAGTTTAGAACTCAAGTTTAGGGACCAGTGGCATAAATAACAGCTGTCTCATGTTTAGTTTTAGTTGTTTTTTTTTTGGACAATCACCTCATGTTGTTTCAAATTTTAAAATGGTATATATATATATATATATGTGTTTAACAAAATTCCTGTCAGGGATAAATAATGGATAAACTCTACCATGGGGACTCATGTATCTAATAATTGATATGTTGTTTGAGAATAAACTGAAGCTAGTTTTTAGTACTTCTGGAGATGAAGTTAGTGCATAGGATGAGAAATTTTAAAATTTGGCTTTTATGTTACTAACAAGTCTCCCACCCTGTTCTATTACATGTTGTTATAAAAGGCAAAGTAAGCCAGATATTTTGGGTTAAACATAGAAGCAGAATATTTTTGTTCACACAATTGGTTTTAAAGTTTAAACTGTTTACCTGTTGTATTTCTGACCTTCTTGGGAAAAAAAAATATTCATGAATAACCCCATATTTTTACTTAAAACTTGCTCACACTTACTTCTTTTAAAAATTTCAGACTTTATCCATATTAATTTCGCTGTGTATGACCCTTTTTCCAAAAATTAATTTTAAAAAATCACAAGTAAATAGTATTTCTATCTAACAGGTAGAAAAACGGCTGAAAGATATACAAGAATGGCTTGGGTTGAGTGATTCAGTAATAGCCCAGTGGAAGGTTTGCAGAATTTATTTGTCTATGTCATTTACCCCTTAATGTTCTTGTATGAAAATGTAGTTTTAATCAAAACAAAAAAAAAGGATAAACTTCTAATTTCATTTTTAAACTTTTTGCTTCAATTTTTATACATTTTTAATGTAGAGCAGAATAATGTTAAAAATGTTGAATGTTAAAATTTACATCTTCATTTTATTTTAGGAACTAGGAATTGCCTTCATTTCATGGTGCATCAAGCAGATAGAAGCTGGTATATATTCAATGGAGGATATAGCAGATAGATTCCCTATCATTTGGTATGTTATAAAATTTCCTGAATTTTGAACATACTTCAAGATACCATAAATGGTATTTTATTTAACAGCACTGAATTTGATTCTCACAGTGAGGCACAAAGTTTACTTAATGGCTTATTTGCAATTCTTTGAGCTGCAGACCCACATTAACCCTTTCCCCGGCGACTGGGTGTAATCGACCCGAAGTCGCTATATTTTTGCTCATATCTCGAGTCTCGTTTTATAAATTTTTCTGGGCCTTATTCCCATCTATAAGGTGGTTGGAATGAACACATTGGAGGTTGTAAATTTAAAAAATATGCGTAAAAATTTTTTTTATGAGGGTTTGAAATTTTTTTATACGGTCCCTGGCAACTGGGTTTTACACACCCGTACACAATTTTGAATGGAAAAAATATTTATAACTTATAAACTGGCTTCTAAATATTTGTTTTTACTCATTGTGGGTTAAGTCATTGTGTTAAATGTTCTAAGTTTAACTATAAATTAACAATCTGAAGGTATTTGAGTAACAAAAATATCAAACAGGATTGAAGTAATCAACTTTAGTAATAAAATAATAGAACAGTAGAACGTTTTAATAATTTGCGCATCAGAGAGCACAGTTGTTAGTTAAAATTTAAATAACTGGACATTTCCTTTTGCTGGCAGGGAACTTTAGTTTTCTTTGAAAAAATATGGGCACCCTTTTAGTGGTGTTACATGAGTCACATGCCCTAAATATTTTAATTCCATACTTATCGGAATTGCTTGGTATGTATTAGATAAATCTACTCCCACCTCTAAAATCAACCTGTTGCCCAATTAGTAATGATCTCTCCAGAAGCATAAAACCCTGCTAAATTTGTATGGAATATCTACCATAATGGAAGCAAATATACCATGAGCCTGATGGACTGTTATTGTAATTGTTGTGAAAGTGAATATGACCCAGAAAGTTGCTGAATCTCTTCATAGAAAGTTCTGCCTTCAAAAACTTCAATAATTAGAACTGAATTGACATACAACTAAATTGTTATTCTGCAGAGTGCCAGTGTCTCCAATTGCTTTCTCTCCATCCCTGCTAATGCAGTCAAATATTGGTTGTATTATTTTTTGTATTCATGTACAGAAGAAATATTTTGAGTCAGGCTGTTTATATTTTTCCTGGGATTAGCACTTCAGGCAGTGGTCCAGTGTACTGTTACTTTGTCTTTCCTGAAAATATTTCTTTTTCTTCACTTTGCAACATCAGTTTCATTTCATTATGTGTGCCAACTGTTGACAGATTATTGATAGTTGAAATGCAGTATATTGGGTAGACCTTGTCATCAGAGCTGGTTGAAACTGAACCAGGATTATCTTCTACCTCTGATACTGATGGCTGCCATTCTTCATCTTCTACCTCTGATACTGATGGCTGCAATTCTTCATCTTCTACCTCTGATACTGATAGTTCAGACTCAAAACTTGTTGGTAATTTTCACCTGCTATACCAAAACTGGCACATATATTCCTTTAACATTAGCCTTGAGTTTAGACAAAAGCATTCAAGACTTGTTTCTGTTGTGTTCTCAATAATGTTTATGGCTATTTATAAACCTTACTCTCAGGGTCACAACCTGTAGAACACCCACCCCACTCCCAGTTTGATCAATTCATTACCCAGTATCAACTTTCAAGCCGCATTACAAAGTTATTTTGCCTTTTTGTCCTCATTTGTACTCCTAATGAGGTTAATGTCAAGTTACTCTAAAATGCTCCACTGTCTCTATCTACATTCCAGAGCTCCCTAAAAGAGTACAAATCACCATATATGTCCTCCCACAGGCAATCTTACCCCTGCATTTCATTAACCTATTGTAACTCTAAACTACAGTTCTGTCTGTAACTGCAAGTCAGAGCCCCAGCAAAGAGTATAAATCACTACATGTGTCCACCTACAGGTTAACTCTTGCTTGAGAATCCCATCAACCTGTAGTATCATATTACAGCTCTCCTATTGACAATAACCTGTCTTGGGTTCCCCATGGCCACAATGCTCTGAATACCTTAACTGTGTCAGTATTGTTACCCACCCCACAATGAACAAAGAAAAGAATTTACTATAAGAAAGTCTTTGGGTGTAATCCACCCAGTTGCCGGGGACAGGGTACCAAATATGTTGCCGGGGAAAGGGTTAAAGTTTATGTGCTTTAGAATTCCATAAACTTTGTTTTCTTTTTCAGGAAAGAACATTTAGAAACAAGTCAAAGCTCAGATCAGATCAATGTAGACCATGTAGAATGTGATGAAGTAACAGACTTAATGGCAGCTGCTTCTATTTAATACGGACTATTATTTCACATATTGACTAAAGCATAACGGCTACTCCTACACTTATTTTAAGGTTTTACTTTGCTTGAAAGAATGATATAGCCAGTTATCAAGACAATCACAAACTGGCCTAGTTCAGATTTTAAATCACTTGCTTTATAAATATCCGTAAATATAGCTCAAATTAACACCATAAAGCCGGTTGTTGTTTTACATTTTATTAGAAAGTTCAAGTTATCTTTACTGTATTTATTTATTACTCTTAACTAAACTCTTCTCAATGTTATTCAAACGGGTGTTGTATTTTCACAGCCTGAAACTGGCCTTTACAAAATTCAATAAACTTAACCCCAAAAAGCATTTTTTAATTTATTTATTTAATGTGATCTATGCAACAACATAGATGAAAAAAAGTAATGTAAAAACACTTTTTAAAAAAAAGTCAACTTAAAAATTTCAATTCATTTATCTCAAGTAGCATTCTTTCATTCCCATACAGCATACTTAAGATACAGTGTACAAGCAAAACATGCCTACATAATATGTAGACTATCTTTAACAACCATGGATTATAAATCATTCCCATAGTGATGTGCCACAAACTAGGTACAAGCCTTCCTGTACTTACTACTGTACTTATCACAGCATTAAAATTAACTTTTTGTTGATTGAAATTTTAAACGCCAATGATCAAGGTTATAGCTGGTTTGTTTACAACTGGTGTCCTGAATAGGGAATTTAATACAAATTTGGCAAGTTATAGAAACCGTCATTGTATGCTCACAAAAATATCTCCATGTGTTTCCAAAACAACATTCAGGGATTTTAACTTAAACAAAAGAAAGTTCAGTAAAATGATAAATAGTTGATGATACTTCATACATTCATGTGTTCAAACATCTCATCGTCCATGAACAGACAAGCTTTCTCATCCACACAACAAACTTTGACAACTATGTTTATTTATTCGACTTTTTCAGGTCTTTAGCATTCTTATCTTTTCCATCTTTCTTGTCCTTTTCACTGTCACCTGAAGTCTTTTCTTCTGCCTTTTCTTTGTCTTTTTTTTCTTTGTTAGGATCTTTGCCTTCATTTTTCTCAGCATCACGGTTTTGAACCTGGTTTATATATTTAAAAAAAAAGACAAAGTTTAAACACTTTTCGAGAAATGGGGGATTTTTAAAAAAATAATCTGATACTGATGAAATTACAGATGTCTTTATTATACTTTATAAATATGTATTTTATTTTAAATTGCTAAGCCTATATATACATTATATATATTAATTTATTATAGAATATACTGTTAGTAAGCAATTGGTAGTTAAGTTCGATAAAAATGCAATGAACGTTTTTAAAGTCATGAAAAATGTAAGCATTTATCATTAAAAGTCATTAAAAATAACCTTGTTACTGATCAAAAATATATTTTTAAGTACTATAAATTTTAATTGCTAAAATTGTAACTCACTATTTAAGCATTTATTGTTTTAACAAAGACAAGGGATCAGATAAAGCTAAAACCAACCTTGTTATTGATAAGATTATGTAATGCCATAATTGATCTAACCAAAGAGGCCAGGTAAACAACACTCATCTGATCATTGGTGCTGACTGTCAGTGAATGGACAAGCTCTGGTACACCAACATCAGGAAGGAGATTAAAAACATCCTAAATAGTTTGAAGAAGAATTACACTCAGTTAGTATTCTGCATGTGCTGTACACAAATTGAAAAATTTAGTACAAACATGCTAACATAGCCTATTAAAACAATCATAATATTCTGCATGTGCTGTACACAAATTGAAAAAATTACTAGAAACATGCTAATATAGCTACTTAAAACAATCACTACCTGCAACTGGTAAATAATTTGATGATTAATAGGTAGACGGCCCTCTGCGACGCTCTTTAAGTAGTTACTGATATCATCCATGTGCGAGTGAAGACCTTTAAGACCCATTAGCTGTGCCGTAACCTGCTGAGATAATGTTCCAACTGTCGTGTCCTTGATGTCTCTTTAAACAAATAAAACATGTATATTTATTTATATGTATAAAAACACATTCTTAGCAATATAATACAAAATACAGGTAATATATAAAAAAATTAATTAAAATATTGAATCTTACCTCAGCAAATGCTCTACCCCCACTTCTTCAGCTTCTTCTGCACCAATTTCACTTGGCACATGGTCAAATGTTTTACTTGTTGGGGTGCCATCCTGATAATTACATTAAAAAAAGCTTTTATCTCCCAGGTGCAATTATTTACTAGTAATTTAAGTTGTCTTTTTTTTTTGACAATTTTTATATTAGTTTTATAGTGCATTTAAATTATCTACTTCAAATGTGCATTTCTTTAGACATAATAAACTCACATCATGAACTTCTTCAACTGATATGTAAGCCTCTGTTGGAAGACCCAGTTCTTTTGGTTTGGCATCTATGACAACTAGGACCTGAAGACAATTTTTTTTAAAAGTAGTTTTAGTAATTGTGTACATAGATATAAATCTTCAACTTGAAAGTGGAATATAACTTACAGAATTTGGATTATATCTTCTCACTAATTCATTTATTGCAATATCATTTGGGTGGAGTTTTGGCCCAGTGTGATACCATCCAACAATTCTTTCACGAGCTAAGAATCATGAAGAAAAATAAGGCATTTTAATTTAGTGTTTTTTTTTTTTAAAATCAATGCATATCTAATTTCTTAGCTTGCAAGTGATGGTGTATTTTTAATTCATCTTCTCACATTAGATGGCACAATGCAATAACCCCTTATAATATAAAAAAAATATTTATAAGTTTATTTGTAGTATATCATAAATTAAAGTTTACTTATGACACTTATGTATCTGGTGAAATCTGTTTAAATTAAAACTTAGCCAGAGAGTATTGTTTAAAAAGTAAGGGCATGGTCAGATCTCTAACATTGTTTATTAATGTACCAAGAGTAATATGTAGATTGTAAACGCTTATCTAGTGTATATGGTTACACATAAAAAGTTTAAAACTTACCATTCACTTTTTTGAACATTCCATACATATTTTCAAGATAATCATGATCAAGAAACCACACAGATCTATCTTTATCATCTTCATCAAATGGAACTTAAAGAAAAAGTTTTACAATCAGCAATTATATTTATTTCATTAGATTGCTTAGCAATATTTTAGTATTTAATAGGGATAAGGGCCTAATAGGTCTTTAGAACAATCTTTCTAGAGGTAATTATGAATGAATAATTTGAATTGGGATTTGTTTAAAAAGATAGGCCTAATCATATTTTTCTAATAATTATTTTTAATTGCAAGATCACATCATAGATTAGCCTATGTCTAATTTGTAATTAATAACAAAATGGCTAATTTAAATGTCAATTATTGCCGCACATAAAGCAAAAAAAATCAAAACCTCTAATTCAATTGCATTGGGCACTGATCACTTTCATTAACAGTTTCTCACAAAACATTTTTTTTACACAGAAACAAACCAAAAGTATTAAAAAAATACAGATCTATGATGAGTGTGAGTAAATCTGTATTCCTAGATTTATTCTAGATCACGGGTTCCCAACCTGGGGGTCGCGACCCCCCTGGGGGTCGCGAAGGGTTTTCTGGGGGGTCGCCAACTGGTATACTAAACCTTAGTAATTTGAAACAAAGCATAAATATTTAGAAGAATTTTTGAAATTCGGCTTTACCAACATCACTGGAAGAAGCAAAGCGTACTGTACAAAGTTGTTCTCAGTCACGAGTTTATGAAATCTTCAAAACTAAAACGTCATTTGACATGAGTCATTCGAAACACACCAAAAAAGATATGGAGTTCTTTCGTTGGTATGAAGCTAGTTGCAAAAGTCAGAGACTTGATCGAACAGGAAGTTTTCAACAAGGAAACACAGCATTAGTGCAAGCATCACATGCAGTCGCGACAGAAAATGCCAAGCAAAAAAAAAAAAAACGCAATAGGAGAAAATCTCATCAAACGCTGCATGTTGAAGTTGGTGAAGTTAATTCTTACATGTCCGTAATTAAGCTTTCACCATTGTTTGCTTTTCAAGTTGATAAATCAGCAGACGCGAGTTCGTGTTCGCAGTTGCTGGTCTTTGTCTATATTTATTCAGGTGATAGCAAAGAAGAGTTGCTCATTTGTGAAGATAGCATGGAGAAAATAAATACGTTTTTTTTTTAAATTGGATGATTAAAATGGGTTAAAACGGCTGTGAGGGTTTGTACGGATGGTGCACCATCTATGTTTAGGTCAAAATCGGGCTTTCAGAAAGCAGAAAAGATTTAGCTCCCTAACCACTGCCCTCACCAATCGCCATCAAGAGTCCATTGCTAGTATAAGTCGTAAATTATATAAAATCTGGAGCCTTCAAAGAACTGAGTAAAGACCTGAATAAAGATCACTAGGTTCTGCTCTTCTACACTACAGTGCGCTGGCTGTCAAACGAATTGTTGTAGATTGTGTTTTTGAATTGAAATCTGAAATCAAATTGTTCTTGGAAATGCAAAGGAAACAAGACCTTTTGGTATATATAAAACGACATAGAGTGGTTGGAGAGAGTATCATACCTAGCAGATGTGTTCGAACAATAACATAAGCATAACCTTAAGCTTCAGGGAAAATGAACGAATATTATCACTTTCCATGATAATCTCGGGGCATTTTTATCAAAGCTGCAAAATCGGCGAAGAAAATAAATCTTGGAAATATTGTAAATTTGAGAAACTCTGCAGTGTGGTAGATGAATCTAATTGTGAGATAATTAAAATTTTAAAAGAAGAAATTTCTGGGCATCTTGAATCTATTTAAAACGAACTGCAGCGCTATTTCTCTGAACTGAAAAAAAAAGAATCTGCATTGACGCATTATCCATTCTCTTCTTCCCTTGATGTTGCCAGCATTCCCGATGAATTACAAGATGAATTCTTTGATTTGTAGAATGATTCCGCGTAAGATGAAAAACTTCAGACACAATGTTGGTGTAGTATTAACCATTTATATCCAAACGTAAAATTGATTGACTTTTCGAAAATAAAATTTTATTTTGAACACTATTTTTCAATTAAAAACACAATTAAGATAATGACATAGGTTGGCGTTAACAAAAAATACTTTAAAAAAATTAACCGCGAATGTTTAGTGAATAGTATGCAATTTTACTCATGGTATTAAAACAGTTATCAAGAGTAGTTCAAATTGACAGTCTACTAGAAAATCTTATTTTAGTGCTTATTAATTTCCATACTAATTTCGGCTTTTTAATTCTATGGGGGTCGCGGGTCACTTAATTTTTATAAAAGGGGGTCGCCACTCAAAAAAGGTTGGGAACCACTGTTCTAGATATTCTGCCGCCACTTTTTGGGGATTTTTAAATCTTCTGTCACCAGGCCCTACATACTCCGTATGGAGCTTGTTTGATTTATTTTTTAAAACAACTACTAGCTCTAGATCTAGTACTATGCTTGATCTAACTATTAAAATTAAATTAACTTAGCAGCCTTAGAAGTAGTTAGAAGGGCCTACTGACAGACCGACTGACTAAAAAAGTATTAGGCAGGATTAGGCCCTTTTCTGTAAAAATCAAATAGGCCTAAATTCTACAAAAAATAAGCTAGCCTGCATTATGTTAGATCTAGAAATTTTTTTTTAAAAATATAACTTTTAGTTTACCTGCAAAACTGTTTGAGACATCTAAAATTCCTTGCCGGTTAGATCCAAGTAAAACGCCGACAACTCTTTTCACATTTCCGACTTTACCCATTCGATTGAAATGATCGACAACGCTCAATAGAACAAGAGGATGAACGACAACTTTGTTGATTTTTAAAGGGTCGGTTGGCGACATGTTTAATATCTTGATTAATTATCTACAAATACAAGGAACGGCAAACTTCACAACATAAACACTACTTTCTTTTTAGTAGATGACTTCACGATTTTCATCAAACAATGGCGATAGTCGGAAATCCGGTGCACTAAACCTAAGAGTGGCTCTTAAAGATTTTGTGTGAACAAAGCTTAAAGTTAAAGGGCTTAATTTAAAACTTTCTTTTTTTCAATTCTCTTAACAACCATACACAATTTTTAAAAAGAAAGAAACTTTCATACAATCTATTTGTTGGTATTAGGAGTAAAAATCCACATTGGTAACCGAAATTTGATTTTTGTTCAGTAGAACTTTGATGATTTAGAACATTGTTTTCCTTGAAACAATCCTGCCTATGCCATAGATTGGCATAGATGCAGGAAATATTAAAAAAAAAACTATTTAAAGACTCTATATTGGATTTTTATTTACTCGATTACTGTAATACTGGCTTTTTCCAACAACACTAAAGATAGTTTAAAATTTAGGAACTTACAGAATGAATAATAAGAAAAATTAGACAGTCACAGTTTCTTCCAGACTTTTTTCTTCGGGGGGGGGGGGGGGGGGAAGGCACTTGAAATTTTCGGGGAGGCGGACTAAAATTTTCGGGGGGGGGGGGGTGGACACTGTTAAAATGTATATATTTTCTATAGAATTTCCATTTCGTTCGGGGGGGGGGCGGTAGACTTTCTTCGAAGAGATGCCTGAAAGAAACTCTGGACAGTACAGTCACAGTTTCTTTCGAGCATCATTTCGTTGGGGGGGGGGGCATAGCCCATTACCCGCCTCCGGACGAAATAAAAAAAAATATATGTTTAACCGGCGTCCACCCTCCCTCCGGAAATTTAAATACGCCCTCCTCCGAAAGTTTAAAATGATAAACTGAGAAAAAATGACAGAAAGAAGCAATGTATTTAGCGTACTAAATAAGGCCTAGGTAACTTTAACCAGCTTGCGATTGTTTTAATTTTTTTGTTAAAATGACTCTTGAAAAGCGCCGGCCATGATAACATGAAGTTTTTAAATTATATTTTTGCAACATAAAACACAAACAAAACAGTCTGGGTGAATAAGATATTAGTCGCATTATTACTGTAATAAAAGTAATATATATTTTATATTCATTTGAAACAAAACTAAAGTTTTTCTTTATTCACCGAAACAAGTTACGCCTATATAGTATTTTTGGCTGCGCAGACAGTTTGTAATTGAAGAATTGTAGCCGATGTCGTTGTTTATTATTGCTAGGCAATGGCGGCAGTGTGGTTTTTAGTTTAGTGATGTATTGTTATTTTAAATTTTTAAAAAGTTTTATTTTGTCACTATTCCAGAATGGATGAGAAAACGGATAAAATGGCAAGAATACCCCGTGAGCTTATTCATGAACAACATGAAAGACTTTCTAATAAGCATATTCAGACACTTAGTTTCTTACAAGAGATGGCCAATGAAAATAAAACATTGCGTGAAAGAGTGAAACATTTGGAGGTTAAAAAAATTAATAGTTAATGTTAATATACCATTTTAATGTATCCAGTTATAGTAGTTATACTTATTACATATTTTTTTAACATACAATACAGCAGATATATATTCAGATTATTAGACTAATTCTAATTTAGTAATTTTAAATGAAAATAAATAAGGGGACATTGTATTTGAGCAGTAGAATGCTCGACCATTAACTTGAAAGTCTTGAGTTCAGATCCCGGGCTCGAATCGGTAGGATGTCCCTAAGCTCTGATGGGTATCTGGCTTAAGTTAGGAAAACAAAGATGGCTGGTCATATGGGCCGACCACACTATCCCCTTGTATGCCAAGGTCATTGAAACAGTTTAACTCTACTTCATCTGCCCCATTTGTCTTGGGTATGGAATAGTAGATTGTGGAATCTAAATTCTCAACAAATACTAGTAGTCTAATCTAGTTTACGATATGCTAAGAATTTTTTTTTTAAGAAGAATTGGGTGTATTAATAGTTTAAGTGCTTTTGTTGTGAGAAACAGCATATTTATTTCCATTAAGATTAGAATAACAGGGATAATTTTTGTTTGGGCACACGGTAGCACTAGGACAGGGCTAACACATACAGCACAAAAATGTCTTCATTACTCAATGCATATATGATTGTTGGATTATTCAATTTTTAAAAAGTTATTTAAGACATTACTATATATATTTACTGTATGAAGTTTTTGTCGTTTATTATTATTATCAAACACTAATTATGAATGCAGTGGATATTGCTAGTAATACTTAAAGTTGTAGGCTAGTGTATTGTAAAAACTTAGTTGTATGATTAAACTAAGATCAATGAAAATATAGCAGTGATACTAGCTAATTGCTTAATGTGTAGGTATGGTTAGTTGATAAATGTGTGTTTTAATATTAAAGGACAAACTAGAAGGATACAAGGATTTAGATGATATTACTAACAACAGAAAAGAGGAAATGCAGAAAGTTAAGGAATCCTTCTTAGCTCGGGCTGAAGATATAAACAAACTTGCAGAAAAGCACCAAACAGAGGTCTCAATATTTTCATTTTTGCACTTTAAGGTTTTTTTAATTTTATACTAGCCTATTTTTTTAAAAATAATCTTATTTAGCTTAAAGAGTCTATTAATTTCTTTGAAATATTATTAATATATATATATATTTTTAAATCTGTAACAGATTAGATTACTTGAGGAGGAGAAAATGGAGTTGGAAAGAACACTGAAGGAACAAATACTTAAAGTAAATATTCTATACTTCTCAAAGCATTCTCATAGTAATCTTAAATTAGGATAAGTTTCAATGTTCATTTGATTAAACTCAATATGAAATGGAAATTAATCCCAAGGTGTTCTAAGAAATAATTACAGCTTGATTAAGTGTGATTAAGTTGATTTTAATTTTTTTTAAATTGTAATTTATCTGCAGCATAATAAAGGCTCTATCTAAGTATACATTTTTTAACAGATGCATCATGAGATTGAATCTCTTAAAGATGCAAATCAAGATTTGAGAGAAACTGCAAAAGAGGATGAGGTGGAGGAAAACAAACAAAAGATTAAGGTATTTCTTGCTATAATGTGTTCATATAAAATATACATTTTTGCAGTCTTTATTTATTTACCCTTACTTTGTCTATGTTAACAACCCACAGCTGATCTCACAGGGATAAAATAAAACTTGTTTGTTAAATCATTTAATGTTATCAAAGTAAAGACTGTTGTCCTATTTAGTTACAGGTTTTTTAAAAAAACCTTTTAAGCAAAGAAAGAAATAATGTCAATAAACCAACATTTGACATGTCTTAAAATGCTCATCAAATAATTTAATTAAATATTAAAACTTCAAACAGGAATTAACAAAACAGAATCAAATGATGCAAAAACAAAATGAAGAGTTAACTGAGGAAATAGAATTATTAAGAAGTGATTTAGAAATACTGCAGTCAAAGAAAGCCAAAGACATATCCCAATTGCAAGAAGTGTTTTCAGAAAATAAACTTTTAAAACACAGTTTACAGGATTCTCAGCAAAAGATCAATGAACTGGAATATAAACTTGACAAAGCTTTGAGTGAATTATCCGAAAAATTAAGAAATGAGGTCTGTGTAAACTTTACCTTTATAAAGTATCTTTTTAAAGATTCTCAAACCTTTATATAATTGTTAAAAGTCATCAACAGTATTTTGATTTGTACTAGTATGCAATAAAATTAAAGGTAAGGCTAATCTTAATTAAACTTTTTTTTAAAGGATGATTTCAGTGAAATTGAAGAATTAAAAGAGACTGTGAAACAGCTGTTACTTGAAAAAGAAGCAAAGGACAGTTTTGTTAGTCAAATGAAATTAGACATGAAGGATTTACTAGAACTAAAAAATGATCTAATGCTCGCCAATAACCATCTACAATCTAAACTTGACAGCATGTTTATTGAGTATGGGCACCTTCTCCTAGAACTTGAGCAGCTAAAAAAATATTGCAATGAAGTCCAGGATAAAAAAACATTCAAAGACTTTGTTCTACTGAAAAGAGAATTGAATTCGCTCAAAGACGAGAATGAGACGCTTAAACTTAGAAGTAAAGCAACTGCATTGTCACACTTAAGAGAGCCAGAAGCTCCAGCACCTGTCTTGAAACCTCAGAAAAAACATTCACTAGACGGTACTCGCAGTGGTGCCAAAAAATTGATGGCGATTACACTTGGAAGCAGCGCATCTTAAGTGAATTGATTGAAAGTTTTTATGCATTTATTTGTATTAACATTGGAACATTATTCTCTGTAATTATCTTATGTAAATAAATAAAAAATTCATATTGGAGATATTTCAGTATTATTGTAAAATGAACTTAGTTTTGTTTTAATATACTTTACTAAAAGTTGTATTAATATGAGAATCTATTCTAAGAATATATGTGCAATTTCAGTGTAGCTTGACTTATTTTGTAAGAAAACAATTCACAGTAATTATAACATCTCCTAAAATAGATGAGCCCATGTTGTTGTTACATTTTTAGGGTTGGAGCCCCTAGTATAGTGTGTAATAGCTTAGTTCCCTTAATATTATTGTAAAGCTGAAGACTTTACATGGTTTAAACTTACATACACCCACACATTTATTGATTACAATCTGCAACTAGTTACTGATAACAATCTGACCTTCTACCTAAACAGTCACTGAAATAAAACACACAATCTAGATTTCAGATTTTACCCACTAAACTTTCACCCACAGACATTCACTAAAATAAACACTTATTGGATTTTGAAATCTCAAATAATTTTAAAATGTACTGATCATTAAAGTGATTAATAAATTATTTTTTTATTCATGTTTACAAAAAGTTTAAATTTATTTACATTGCATGTTTGGTATATACATTTTAAGTACACAATATATCATTATGTTGGTTAACTTTAAAATACAGTGCATAACTTAACTAATTTGATACAATTTATAACTAAAACTTAACTTATAATTATTTTGATATCCATTAGATTAAAACTATCAAGGGTTTTAAAAATAATGAACTACTAAATCATCATCTTACACAATTGTGGGCAAGTAAAACTAGTTTCAGGACTACATAGATAAAACTAAACGTCATAACTGTGATTGTGAAAATAAAAACACAATTATAAATTCTATTAGCCCAGTTCAACTGGAGGTGGAGGTCTCTTAGTTCTACTTTCTGTGGCTAGCCTTTGCCTCATCAGTCGAACTTCATTGAGAAGAGCGATTTCCTGATTATCAAAGGCCCGACGATTTCTTTCAAAAGATACTGGAAAATGTAAAAAAAAGTGTTGCAATACCACATGTATCTTGTAGAAATTTTGTTTTTAACAAAACAACATTTAATTCTTTAAAAAATAAGAATTTTCAGGTGAGAAGATTTTTGTTTAAAATTGTTTACAATTATTACCCCGAGAGATGTCTCCTGATGAATCATCAGGAAATGTATCAGCTCTTGAAAGGACATCACTTACAGGCTCTGTAATAGTTTTTAAACAATATTTTTTTTCTCATTACTACCATTGAAATATCAAAAGCAAAAAACTTTTTAAATACGGCACAAAAACTAAAAATTTTTTAGTTTAATCATGAGTGTTTATTATTTTCACTTAACTATTCTAAAAATGCACCAACAATGCACTTCAATACTTACCATCACTGTCATCTTCTGCTTTTTCCATCAAATCTAATGTGTGATGCCTTCCCTTTAGGAGCTCTTCTTCAGTAGATTTCATTCTTCTGTCTTTATTTCTAACACCAAGAACTCTATTTTGTGCAATCTCATCATACCCCAATGCTGTCTCTACTTTCTATATGTAGACAAATGTGTTAAATGGTCATATGAATATCACATCAAAATCAAAACTTATATAAAATATTTTAAGAAGAAGAAAAAGCTTATGGATCTTATAACATTTCTATAGCATACAATTTTAGTCTGAAGTGTATTAAAATGTAGATCTAATATAACAAAAATAATTTTAACAAACAAAATAGTTACTTTTTGCCGGTGTAGATTGTTCATTAGTTCGTAAACTTCATTCTCTAGTTCTCGGTTCTTTGCAGTCAAGCTTGTTAGCTGTAAGTAAACAGCAAACTTAAACTTCATTTTATACCAGATGATGTCAGGGTTAGGATTTAAATTAATTTCCCACTCAAGTCCATAGGATGTCCCTGAGTCTACCCTGCTCTAATGTGTATCTGATTTGTCATGGAGAGTGTGGGTGGGTGTAGTCATGACCACACAATAGTTTTACTTCATTTTCCCCATGATGTAGTGTGTATGTGTACTTAATAAACTAAAACCTAATTCCCAGATATAAACTTATGTTTTGTATAAGGAAAAATGTAAACAGAAAAAAACATGTTAGTAAATGGAAGGTATAAATTTCCTATTTAAATACCAAAAATATTATTGAAAGCAGTGCCAGAATTTTAACTTCAATGTGGAGTTTGTATGAGTGCAGCATATTGGAGTATTTGGATGGAACCATACACAGCCTCTTTTTAAAGCAGTTTATATTGAGGGGTTTCAAAAGGATTTTGTCAGGTAGGCAAAAGGACATGTACTCTGAAGGGGTATTATCAACAGTTGTATACCATGTTGTATAATAAGCTAATTTAGTGTCCAATGGATACAATGCTTACTTTATCCAGATCCGACTCCTTATCCATGTCTGCCATCCTGTGCTTGTGGTCCAGCTCCTTACGGGCCCACATGTCAATGTTTTGTTGTTCTGTGACTGCTAATTTCTGCTCCATTTTCTGGCAACATATTTATATAGTAAATATTTACTTTGTGTTTGGGAAGTAAAATATGTCACCGATAACCACAACCTTTAATGTGTGTCTCAAAACACAAAAAACCTGACCAAGCTACAGTGTCTCACCTTACGAGCCTCCAATGCCCTACTTCTTTCAGTGTCTTCAACTTTAGCTCTCAGTCTATCTTCTAGTTCTGTTTGCTTTCTGTGGAGATCCTGGTCATTGCGCAGGGCTTGTGACTGTATGGCAAACTCACGGTACAGTTCCTGATGGTTAGATGATGAAATAAAATAAACCGGGAGTGATCTCCCCTAAACTTTCTCGAATATTCTTATATAAAATAACAGGGGATGGGAACTCGGGCTATAGACATGATTTTTAATCCATTTTAAATACTTAAAGTTTTAAAAATAGAATAAAATCTCGTAGACAAATTAATTGCACACCAAGTGAACGCCAAATAAAAAAGCGCATAATGGTGCGCAATATTATTATTACTTTTAAAATTTACATTAGTTTTTTGAGAAATCGGAAGTAGCGTAAAGTACTACTTCCAGTCAACGGAAATGACTCAAAATTTAATAGAAGGTAGAGAATTAGATCTTTTACTTACATATGAAATTTCATTTATCTATCTGAAATAGTACTCAAGTTATAGGCTTTTGAAAAATTCAAAGTAGGAAAAGTACCACTTCCGGTTATCGGAAATCGCTCAAAAGTTGATACGGATCTACGATTTTGATTAAATACTTATATATGAAATTTCATCAACCTAGCTGTAACGGTACTCAAGTTATCGTGTTTACACACGGACACACAGACAGACAGACAGACAGACACACAGACATACGGACAAGATTGCAAAATTATGTTTTTCCGTATCAGTGAGGTGTGAAACGTCGAGATTTGTAAAAATCTCGATTTTTTTTTTTGCACGATTACAAGACTTTCTCTATACTTCGTATATATGAGAAAGTAAAAAGAAAACGTGTTACAAGATGAATTTATCATAATTAACATTAAATAACAGTCCTTTTGAGTTGTGCAAAAAAGATAATGATCTAATACGTTCACATAATGAAATTGTTCTACACTGTAATGATTAGTAGATAAGAAAGTAACTGCTAGAGTTGTTTTAATTTGTGATTAGAGTACAGCTGATAAAAGCTTGCCAAGAAAGTGAAAATGGCGTTTTCTTGGTCTTATGCTGTTTTTAGTAATTATGCAACTGGCAGTTGATTAAATCAACCTTCCGAATTACGGGCTTTAGATAAGCAAAAAGAAATCACTTGTAAACCTGGTTTGGTTATCTCAACTCTGATGTATTTCTTTTTTTCCACCCTGCTTAATAATTAGGGGATCTAGTAACTGCTCATTGAGATTGTGTTGGTCATACAACCCATAAATAGGTCATGACCCCAAAGATAGATCAATAGTTATCTGTTGTTTGAGAGTACCTCTTGTGTGTCAGTTGTTGACTATGGCCTTAAGTAGTTGATTTACTAACTTGAAAGCTTAACATACCTGTTCAAAAAGTTTTTTTTGTAACTGGAGTTCCATTTGTTTCACTTCAGCTTCCTGTATAGCTGCATCTGTCTCTTGGTCCCTTTGCAAGGCCTGAAAATATCAATTCATTTGTATATATATACTTTTTTACATTTTTACTTTTAAAATTTAATTATTATGTAATAATCATTTACATTTTTAAAACATACAATCCCAAAAACAGAATGATACTATGTGTGTTAGATATATTTAGATGTGTGTTTGTATGGTTAGTTACATATATTCTTTACTAGTACTCATATACAGTAAGTTCCAGATTCCTTCACAAAACAGAACAAAAAACCTTAGATTTTAACTAAACCCATGACAGCAGGGAAGGAGGATACAAAGCCACAGAGTGCATTGTAATTACACAATTCTAAATTTTTTGTTTGCACTTAAAAGCTGTACATTTACAATGTTATTATCTTTGTGCTTATGTGTTCACTCTGACTTTAACGAAGATATGTTTTGAAGATTTGAACCTACTTTGCGCTGGAGTTCATCGTCCAGGCGCCTCAACTCAACCTCTCTCTGTTCTTTCTGAAACTGCAGGAATTTCCTTCTTCCAGCTTCTAACAGGGCCAATTCTTTCAACTTGACCTCCCGATTTAATGCCAGCAAACTGCAAATATTTGTTTATGTCTTAGATCAAAGTACATTCAAGACAGTTCTTAAGAGATTCAGCCATAGCAGTAACCAATGGAATTTGAGTAAATACTCAGCCTGGTGGGTAGATTGAAACTCTTGATTTGTTAAAAAAAATAAAGCACGTGTCCACAAAAATATACCAATGTTTAATTGGGAAAGATTAAGAATTTTTCATGGAATATTTACTCTGAGATTCATGAAATGTGAGAGATTCATAAAATGCGCATCTTCTATACAGACTAGTCTACCATACTGACAAGGTTATTATATAGATGAGCTATTGAAATGCTACCAAACAAGTTAGATTATAAGTATCTATTCTAAATCACCAACATTTATACTATGACCTTCTGAGTATTGGGACAGAACATCTCTCAGCAGTCTACCTCCTAGCACCTGATCAACTACAAACCGTTTTCTCTGTTCCGCAAGTTTGGCCTCTTCCTCCTGAATCATTCTCCTTCTTTTCTCCTCCGCCTCCAACAGCAGCTGCTGCTGTCTGTACCACTGTTGTTCTTCTTGCTGCTTCTGCACTGTTTCCTTCTCAACATCCAGGGTCAAAAACCTATCAAAGGGACATAAGTCACTTTTTAAAAAATTAATAAAGAAGGAACTATTGACAGTACAGTATCATCTGATTAAGTAATTTTTTTTTATAAAGGAGAAGGCTCTTTTGTTAAATTATTTCTGACTTAATTAAAAACATAAACAGAAATAAATTAAGTCTTCTTTTTATGTTTCTATAAGCTATCTGTATTAATTTTACTCTTACTTTTGTCTCATGAACTCTAGCTCTTCCTGACGTATACGTTCTCTTTCTTGGACCTATCATGTAAACAAAAGATATTATAAAACTTGTCTACATCTTGTCAACAAATAAACAAACAGGGCAGTAATGAAAAAAAAATGTTCACAGGTCTCTTGTTTATCTTAAATATAAGAGTTATCAGTTCTTAAAATGGTAAGAACATTTTAGACTAAAAGTAGGATTTTGATCTAATGTTTTACCTGATAATCTACAATGAATGTTGGATACTTGTTGAAAACAGGGTAATTTCCCTTTGTCAATGGGACATAATCCTCCAATATATTTTGTGGGTGTACATCATCTGGTGTTGATTCCATCAGCCTATAGGCTTCTTTAATAATTTGTTTGATGCTCATGGCATTTCGGTGATGGTAGAAAAACTGTAAGCAAGCACATACATTATGGTCAATGGCTAAAAAGTACATGCAACAACACACATTTTTTTAAGTTTTATAAAGAAAAATTTAATGTTATAAAGTTTTAAAGTAGTGAGCAATACATCCTTTTATTTTTTAAAATCATCATTTTTATTTTCAATCTTTAATGATCCCGACCTTAAAATCATCCATCTCTGTGCACTTCATCAGAGGGCCACGGGCACAGATAGTGTATGCTACAACAGTCATGAGGAGGAAAGACGGATGGTTGCTCAGAATGTTGTCCCACAGCATCAACCACTCGTCTTGTGTTAAAACCTCAGAGAACACGGACTCTAGCAGCGGCCAGGCATAGATCTGAGTAGATCATGTTGATAACATTGTGAGAATTATATCTAAATAAAATTTTAAGGGCGGGCCACATAAATTAAGTTTAACACATTTTTTTAAATAATTAAAATTAGTGGGAAAAAATCAAATTAAGTTTATCATTTTCAATTTAACTTTTAGCAATATAGAGATTTGAATCACTTCTTAAGCAAAAATTAAAAAAAATGTTTTTATACGATTTCAATTTTTTTATAAACATTTACTTAAAATCTTCAACTTAAAACCACAACATGGAAAATTTGGCAGATTAAATACTTTGGCTTTTAACTTTAGTTATGAATAATTACAAATATCTTCAGCAATAATATTCATATTATGCAAATTTTGAATCATTATTAGATAGGAAGATGTACAAACCTGTGATGTAATTCCAGTTTTTACAAAATGCTGTAGTAAGTGTGTGTCATGATGAGCCAAAATATTTTCTATCATTCCCAAAATATTGATTGGTGGATTGGGGAAGTACTCAAACCAATGCTGTCCCCAGTTAACTGAAAAATGAATGGTGAACTATTGTTTATACTAAAAAGACTTTTAATAGCATGCAGGTTTTTTTTTTTAAATAATTTTGAAATATTCAACTTTATAGCGATTATTGTGACCTTGCTTGGTTATATTTTTTATTATAACAAAAAAAAATCCAAGAAAACCCACCTAAAATGGTTGCAACCATTTCAAAGCAAATTAAATGGTTATTCTGAAACATTTTGACAAAAGGAAACGCAAACGTTGGTAAAAATTGTGTCTCTCCAAATATTGGTGACCAGTGTGCCATGGCTGACAGGATTCTAGAGATAATATTGAGAAAAATTAGCATAAGCTGTGTAATTATTGCACTATAATTTTACACCCACAAGATTTTTTAAAACACTTTTCATTATTACAAGTAATAACTATTCAAGTTTATTTACCTCTGCAGAATTCTGAGAAGCTTTCTACTTTTTATTGGATATAACTCATGAAGCCTAGAATAGGAAGGGTGTGCTCCTTTATCTATCAGTGCAGCATATGCTGAAAAATTCTCTGGCAATTCTAAGATTTTTCGCCATATAAACATTCTGTGGACAGTCATTAAAGGATATTTTATTAGACTTTTTTTTAAATTTCAGGGAAGATAGTCAAGTATTTCTAAAAACAGTAACAAAAAATAAAAAATCCAGACATTTTTTTACAAACCTATATTTAGCTGGATATTCCCCATAACCTTTTAGAATGGTCAGCAATTTTTGTTTGTTAAGCCCTCCAAGATCAGAACTCTTTGGAACAGTATAATAAAGATTAAAATAGTAAAAAATAAAATAATGCGTAATTTTACTTATATATACTTATACAGTGTTAAACAAAATATCTATTATACCAGTAGTACAATTAGCAGATCATTGGCCCAAAATATATTACATTTAAAAACTCAAGTATTTTAGAATACTTACAGTATCTTTATTATTATTAGCATCAGATTCACCCCTGACCCCATTCATTCTCAGCTTTGTTTTTGATGTTTCTAAATGTGGCTTGGACCTTCTCATGCTGCTCTCAGTGGACATAGTGTCTGACAACTTGTTACAGTCTGTGACCACTTTCATCAAGGCTGGTGGGGGCTACATCAATCATCCACAGAAAGATAACATATATTCAAAATAGAAAGCTACACACATATTTTGCTTATCCGCAACTGGTGAGATAATTTTTTCAATACCAAATTAACATAGCAATAATGCACTAAGACATGCAAACAATGTCTTAAGTAGTAGACTAGTACATGGATATTTTTAAAAATGAAATAACTCTCTAAAAATTTAAACTAACTATGTTCAGGTGCACAAGACAAATTAGTTTGGCAAGATTCTACATTAAACCCAAAAGAGATCTCAGTAAAAAAATTTAAACCAAATTTCTTGATATCACTAATAAGGTTACAAGAAAGTTTTTTTTATAACTTGGAAGCAAAAATAAATAATATTTTTTATAAAAACACAAAGTGGTATAATATTTCTAATTTTTTTAAATTTTAACATGGACTAATGAGTCTGAACACAAAAATTACAGCATCAAGTGACTTATTCTATTGTTAATGGACAGCAGATTTCTGAAGTTTGGAGCTAAAGAATTATATCCTCAATATCAACAGGTTTTTTTAAAAATTAGTGTTGATATAAAAAACCACTGGAGTTAAAATCTTTAAAATATATACTTTTGGTGGCCGACGATAAATTAAATTAAAATGAGTCCCACCTTATTTAAATCTGTGGCTAGAGTGGAGGTGTTGTACAAATTCAAGTTCCCGTCTTCTGTCACTGCTACAATGTGGCGGCCTCCTGGCCCAGCTGTTGCAAATCTTATCCTACAATCTGAGGACCCAATGTCAAACAACAACTTGCAGGAGTCTGTGTTGATGAACCTCATGATCCCATCTTGTGAGAGCACACCCAAGATCTGAAACAATAACAACTCTTATTTTTTTACAGACCTAACATGAATAGTGACTGAATTTACAAGTGCTGAGGCAATGAAATTAATTATTTGTTATCGAAATGTATTATCTCAAAAAATACTGACAATAATATTTATTAATTTAAAATAACCACAACTAAAAATGTCATTTTTCAGCTATCAAAATATCTTTAATTTATTTAGACAATTTTTTAATATAAATTTAAAATTCAATAAAATCGCTGTTTAAATTTCATATTTTTAAAATCTGTAATTTTCTATTTTTTACAAAAACTAAATAAATTGCTGACTTTAAATTGCTGCAAAAGACCTACTTGATTTACACCATTCTGATAATTATCTTGCAGAAATTCCATTAGTTTGATAGAAATGACTTTACTTGGCATTTCAATGACTCTAATCAACCTGTGTGAGTCTAATGACCAGAGATGAAGAAATCTTGATTTTCCCCCAGCTATCAAATATCTGGCATCACTAAAAAAAAAAAACAATTAATGTTCAATTAAAATGAAGTCAGGTACTGATTGATAATCTGTGCAAGCATTTATTTAGCTATTTTAACTTCTGAAATTGACATCATAAGATCAATGAACAAAATTCTGAACCATGATCTAACAGTCCATACCCACCCATAACTATACATACCTAGTACAAAAATGAACTCTTCAAGTAATTATCAAAAGATATTTTTAAGTTAAACAATAATTAAAGTATGATTTATTTGGAAAGCATATTTTTTTAAAAATAAAGTAAATTATACTATTAAATCAATTAATGAAAACAAAAATATTTAAATCTGGCCTAACCGTGAAGCAGTGAAGCCTCTGTAGTGTGGGCTGTCACCAATAGGAATGGGGAGCTGGTACTTAAAGGCCATAGTGTCCAGGTCCCAAGCAAAGATTGTGTCATCATGAAAACATGTCATTATAGTGTTGCTATTGGGCAGGAAGAAGGCCTGGAAACAATCCAATACAGATCACATACAATATACATTATTTTTTAACTTTGAAAAAAAGTATACAGGTTCTTAAAAACATGACATGTTTAGAGAAAAATTTAAAACCCTAAAGAAAAAATGTTTGATGACAATGCATCTGTAACTTCTGTTTAAACCTAGCCTTATGGATCTGATATGTTCCTTAGGAAAAAAAATATCTATAAAGAGATAAGTGTGCTTCATATGTTTGGTTATTATTGCATTTTGTTGTCTAAACTCTGATAAAAATATCTTAAAACCTGTTAACATGATATTATAAGAAATGAAACTGAACTTACCTGCAACAAACCAACATCCTCTTTGATATTTAGTTTGCGTTTTCTCTGGAAAGTATCCAGATCCCACAAGAGGGTAGTTTCAGATGACGTGGTCAAAGCATGGTGACCAGACATATGGACAGAAATTGAATGAATGGCAGATTCATGACCTTTCATCAAAGCCACTAGTTCTTTTTTATCTGATAACAACCAAAACAAACATTATTAGAAAAAATGCATAACTTCAACCGTTTTATTCTTCATATCCTTTATTTAAAAGGCATAAAGATATACAAAAATGTTTCTGTCCTCTGTATATATTTAACTATACTAACTAAAACTACTTGTTTTAAGCACACACCTAGGTTGATAAACAAACATCCTGCGGGAATTCCCCTCCACACAACCCAAACACATACTCTTTAAACTTTATTCAGTGAAAATACAGGAAAATTATAACAAACTACTTCTGAGGATAACACATTTAGACAGAGTTTCTGAATGCAACAAATTAGGACAAGTAATAGCTTAACTATAATCACCTGCATCAAAACACCTTAGCGAATAATCACCAAGAGCTACAAGAAACTCAGACTTGCGATGAAGTCCAAATGCTAGAGCTGTACAAGGCTGACCAGTCTTTTGAACCAGTGTAAACCTACAATAGAAAAATTTATTATGTACTCACTGCAGCTACCATTTTCATTTGTTACAAAAAATAAAATTCCAATTACCATAAAACTAATTTTTACTAAACAAAATTGCTAAAAAGAATATTTAGTACTTTACAAATATAAGTATGTAATTTGTTACTTATTTCTAAGCATTACCTATTCTTTGTCAGATCAAACAAATAGATATTTCCTTGACTATCTCCAGCAATAAACCTCTCATTTGCAGTATCAAAACTAGCTTTTAAAAATGGAATATTTCTGGAAGGACCAGAAAAAGCTCCAGCAGTACTGTGTTTAACTTTGACAATAAGCCTGTAATAAAATACGCAATATTAAAAATTATTAAAATTTTATATTAAAATTTTAATGAAGTTAATGACTGTAACAGGAACTAAGTTCATACATATTCAAACAAATTGATCCATAGGGCCTAGTTACAGCATATTATCTACACTTTATATAATAAAGTTCTTACCCATCATCTTTAGTTGGATTAGGTTTTCTGTGCCAAATTTTACCAAAGTCTTTATCACAGATTTCTGTTTCCATTATCTGATTTTTCTATCATTAATGTTGTTCTGAGAACTGCACTAAAATAATTTCTGTGAACCTACTGAAAATAAAATGACAAACTCATACATTAAAATTAACTGCTATATAAGGCCTGATGTTAAGTAATTTATTACTGGTGATTAATATTAATGATTACTCTGTTGATTTCATGAATAATATTTTATGGGGTCCTTTTTTAAAAACTTCATACTAGACCAATTTTAGTTCAACGTAAAAAATTATAATTATTAATTATTAAATTTAAATATAGGCCTAGACTCTAGACCAGGGGTCTCCAAACTACAGCCCGCGGGCCGGATGCGGCCCGCGAGGTCATTTCATCCGGCCCGCGGCGATCTTTTTGTCCACTGAATAAATGTTTGTTAGAGGTGACTGAGGAACTTTACACAGAAAATTCAAAATAATTTGAAAATGTAGCTTAGGGTGCAAATACCATTGCCCGCCGTGTTGCCGACATTGGTGAAAACATTGTGAGTCAAATAGCGAAAAACTCAAGCAAGCTTCGCTATTATTCATTTGCAATGGATGAATCGCTTGACAGTTGTTCAACCTCAACTGCTTATGTTCATTAGAGGTGTGGATGAAGACATGAACATAACACAACAGCTGGCTTCCCTACATAAAATGTATGACACTGTTACCGAAGAGAATATCTTACCATAGATAGTTCAGAGACAAACACAAAATCACAAGATTGATCATATTTCACATCAGTAAGATGGCTCATTTTGCGAGAAAGTTCTGAGAAGAATATTTAAATTAAGAAAAAAATAGGTGCCTTCCTAAAAGTAAATGCAAGCCACAGCCATTATTGTCTGATGAAGAGTAAACAACTTTACACACTTTCAGCAGTGCACGGTCTTTACGGCTGAAACAACCACTGAGTTCCCCACGTCATTTACATACGAGATCATTAAAGACCTCCAACTGCTGTTTCAATAGCGGTTCTCTTACTTGGATTCAAAGGCAGAAGAAGTGTGACTGTTTCAAAACCCATTTGAAGCAAGTGTGGCCAGTTGCAAAGATGAACTGCAGCGGGAGGTCATTGAATTGCAAGAAAATGACTTCCTTAGAGACACGTTCAAAGAAAAGCGGATGGGTTTTCATAAGTTTTTGCACAAGGAAGATTTTCCTAATATTAAAACTTCTGCATCAAAGTTCCTTTTAAATTTTGGAACAACATACCTGTATGAACAAACATTTTCAAGAATGAAATATGTTAAGAATAATTTGAGAGCAGAATAAACTAGGACCTCGAGTGTGTAGTCGACCCCCGAAAGTGTTTCTTCCAGACTTTTTACTTGGCGCCACCACCCCGAAGAGATGACTTAAAGAAACTCTGGCCCCCGAACTGATATTTGATAGCTAATGCGGCCCTCGGGCTGAAAAGTTTGGAGACCCCTGCTCTAGACTAATCATTAATTAATAGTTAATACTTTTAAATAGGCCTAATTCTGGTAATCTATCATTTTGGGTACGTAAAATCGCCAGCGGCTAGTAATGTACGAATAAGTTACCTCATTGTCAAGGCTTTAATAGAAGTATATTGTGATATATTTGTGTCAAATATTATAGATAAATGAATAATAAACCTAAATCAATGGCTAAATATATTAATATAGGCAAGAAATTAACTTTAAACAGCAGTGTTTGCGAGCAGGATTTGCTATATAAAAAGCGGACATCTGTAAGTTAGAGTAGCTTCCCCTGAATCTTGCGCTATAGGTTTACAATAAAAAAAAATAATAAGATGGCTGCTATGGCTATAGTAAATGAGCATGGTTGCATCTGTTGGAAACATAGCTAGACCTCTAGTCTTCATTTATTACTGAAGATTTTTTAACTCAGTTGTTTAAAAACATATACATGATAAATGAAACAAGGAAAAAATTTTGTATTATTTAAAACATAAATCCTCCTCAAAATGTGAAATAATTATTAATATTTTAAAGGAGTCACCTGTTTTTCACATTACTAGTCGCGGGCGATTTTTACGTACCTAATTAATAAATTATTAGGCTATAAAAAAAAAATATTACTAGATATAGTATAAAATACTATAATTATAATTGATAGTCGATAGATAATAAATGAATAAATGTCCCTAATTCTAATCTATCTACTAGATTTAGATTTTGTAGGCCTATATACTATATAATATATATATATATATCTAAATTAGACTATAAGATCAGACCTAATACAGACGTTCCACAAAATTGATAAGGGAAAGAACAAAATGCAAAAGATTGGAAAACTCAATGAAAAACTATTTTAAAAAAAACAAAAAAAATAATTATTAATATTTTAAAGGAGTCACCTGTTTTTCACATTACTAGTCGCGGGCGATTTTTACGTACCTAATTAATAAATTATTAGGCTATAAAAAAAAAATATTACTAGATATAGTATAAAATACTATAATTATAATTGATAGTCGATAGATAATAAATGAATAAATGTCCCTAATTCTAATCTATTAATCTATCTACTAGATTTAGATTTTGTAGGCCTATATACTATATAATATATATATATATATCTAAATTAGACTATAAGATCAGACCTAATACAGACGTTCCACAAAATTGATAAGGGAAAGAACAAAATGCAAAAGATTGGAAAACTCAATGAAAAACTATTTTAAAAAAAACAAAAAAAATCTCCAGGAGGCTGACCGGACCGTGACTTCCAATTCAAATTAAATTATTATTTATTTAGGCCTTCATTTATTTATGCTAGATTATGGGTCATATCACAAAAATGGCAAAGATTTTTCCAGTTAAAGTTATAAACAGTTAACTCACATCTACTTGTAAAGGAAATCAGAAATTGCGGATAGCTCTAACTTATTATGATTGAACATATAAACAAGTTTAGACATGGCGGGGATTTGTTGTGGTGACAAGTTAAAAAGTCAAAATGAAAAAATAAAGAGAGAAATAATCAGTAGACGAATAGTTTCGTAAAAACTAAAATCTACAGAACTAGTTCTAGTTCAGTGGTTCTTAACTTGGCTTCAATCGAACCCCAGGGGTCCGGTGAGTCTGTTTCAAGGGTTTGGCGGAGGCCAAGACACACCCGACTTAAACGATTTACAATCGTATTTTTGTGTGTGCAGACGATAGAGCTAGCAGAAGTGTCCAATGGCTGTTCTGACAGCTCGACATTGTAACATTTACAGTTTGTCAGAGCTGTATCACGGTCAGTTTCTTCCAGGCATCTCTTCGGAATGGAATTTATATAGAAAATAGTGTCCGCTCCCCCCCCCCCCCCGAAAATCTCGAGTGCCCCCCCCCCCCCCCGAAGAAGTCTGGAAGAAACACTGATCAAGTTATCGTGGTATTTCTGTATCGTGGAACTCTTGACATCACGACACACTTATGTGGATTACACTTTACTTTTTAAAAATAAAAATACCCAAATCTTGGTGAAAATTATTTACGTGTAGCCTAACTGTAAAAAAAAGCCTATTAAAAAAGTACAGTTTGTCCCTTTATTTTGGTGGCGCTCTACTTTTCTGCCTCGACGCCCCATCCCCTTCTTTGCGTAAAGACATAGACTCTAGAATCAGTTAAACTTCTTAACATGTCCGACCAAGAGTTTAGTAAAATGGTCACTACCACATTTACTACACCTGCGTCAGAAAATAAATCTTTAAAAAAAAGAAATGTCGAAGTTTGCAAAACAAAAAGCAAATATTCTTATTGTAAAGATAAAGCAAATAAAAAAAAGTTAACAGAGCAACAATGGCAATAATCGATATAGGCTTCTTTACAGAAAAAAAACGAAACAATACAGCTACGTAAATTAAACGTGCCCAGATTTGGCCAGATGGTTTCGATTTTTTGCGCGAGTATTTCAACAAAATTCTGTACCTTTATCTAGTCGACCATCATTTCTGGTGTCGACATTACAACACTAACCATGGCGTCTGCAACGCCCTCTTCGTGTTTTATCCTGGTTGTCTTCTTGATGCTGTGCAGGCCTGTCGTTATGGAATCGAGGCTAGACGAGTTCTGCAAATTTTTGGGTGAAAACAAAACACCTCTTGCAAATGGTAAGTGCATAGTGTATTTTTATGTTCTTTAAAATTGTCAATCGCCAGTTTGGAACCTTGACGACAAAAGCACGTACAGATGAAGCAAGTTTAATAAAAGCTTGTAAAAATAGAACAATTTCAAACTCGATGAAGCAGGATAAAGAAGACTTCATTTGGTTGTTTTACCTTGACACATGAAGGGATTATGTATTCAGTACTATGCCCAGCGTCTTTTACTTTTCCCTGCTCGATCAGGCAGAGGCGTAGCGACCCTTCCCGGGGACAAACTTTCAATTTGGTGCCCCCCCACCTCAACTTTTCGATTTGCAGCCCCCCTCAACTTTTCGATTTGCACCCCCCCCCCCACCAAACTGCAAAATTGCAGCTAAATTGACATTTTAATTTGTTTTTACAACCCATTTTGGCGCCCCTTAAGGTCGGCGCCCGGGTACATATGTCCCCCCCTGCCCCCCCCCCCCAAAATCGCTACGCCTCTGCGGTCAGGTAGGTCGACCTAGGTGGTCTCGGGGACTTCCTCAGACGCGAACCCGGAAATTTCCACTTCATCTGCGCCAATGACCGCCAGGTTTGAAAGGGGTAACCTCGGCATATCAAGTGATAATGTGGTCGGCACTATTTACAGCTGTATTTATTTCCCCTAACATGAGTCAGGTACCCATTAGAGCTGGGTTGTACTAGGGCTCGAGCCTGGGATCCGAACTCGAGACTAGCATTCATACCACCTGACTCAAATCGTGGTATACCATAAAATGAATTTGACTGAATTCGTTCTAAATTGTAAACAATGCTACCTCCTCAGACATTGACTGTAAAACTCTGGCTAAAGACGAACTTCTGTCAATCGTCAACGTCTTAGCTAAATACAAAAATAAATCAAAAGTTAACGAAACCGCAGCAGACCAAGACGAAGAACGAGTCGAGATCGAGAAGGTTCTTGTGCAAATTGTGACCAAGAAGCTACAAAATCGTCTAAAAGACCCGAATCCCAAGAAGACAAGAGAAGCGCCAGACTTCGTAAAAAGGCATCTCAAATCTGGCCAGAGACACCAGAGCAGAAACAGAGCCGGCGTCAGTTCTAAAGGAAAAAATGGCAGCCGAAAAATTGTAACTACAACAGGAGCCCCATTAGCTGCTGCAGGGAAGAGATCGAACACCAGAAGACTGCATAAACTTCAAAAGGGAACGAAGGAACAATCGAAAGTGAAAGTAGCCCCAACAACTACGCCTACTACTATTATTTACATGGGGAGAAAGAGGGCGAACTCTCCAAAGAGAGTGAAGGTCCCAGGCAGGAAACAAAACAAACAGAAAACACCCGGTAATGGTAGTCTCAAAAAACTTGATGCAAGCAAACAAAATGAAGTACCCACAACCACGCCTACAATTGTTTTTGCTATGGGCAGGAAGAGGGCAAATTCTCATCAAAGAGTCAAAGTTCCCGGCAGAAAACAGCACAAACTAAATACAGTCGAAAGCGACAGTTCCACTGAAGATGGAAGCGAAGAAGTCTCTCAGCCACCAACTTATGTGTCCGCTTCAGCGCTGAAGAAAAGAGCTACCTTCAGGGTTTCTCACATTATCAATCAAGGCATCAGAAGGAAAGACGGAAAGAATGTGCCATTCAACATGGACACCATTGGAGTTGGTAAGAACGGGAGAAAGTACAACTAACTGAAGATGCTGGTTCTGATGTGTTGGAAGAAAATAACTTTAAAATAACTATATTTGTTAGGAAAAGAAGGCACTTTACGGTTTTAGACAGTAAATGATGCAAAAAAATGATAACTGCAACATTTTAGGCACGTTGTTAAAAAATGAATCTTAGTTGTGTTCAAAGTAATTTAAGTATATCAGTAATAAAGGCATTTTGAATTAAAATTGTATTTGTATTATCCATTTTGAACTCGAGTTTATGGAAAATATATTAATGCTTATGCACATCATCAGTAAAAAATGTCTCTTCACACAAGCCCATAATTAAAATACCAGATTTTATCCTTACACGAGACAAACTTAGCATACACCTTATTCTAATCGAAACCCAACTACTATTTTAATATTATAAAAAAAAGAATTCGCAAAATGCATGCAGCGGACAATAAAATTGTTAGTGCCAAGCGCCAAGAAATGTATAGTGTATGTCTACCCTTGGCATGATGTGTCTACTAGCGAGGATATCTACATAAGCAATGTGAAACCCACCACATTTGAACATAAGAGTAGTCTTTAGTCTGATTTAAGTTAAATATCTTACGTGACAGACGTCTTCAAGATACGACCAGCCATCTTTCACGGACAAAGAACCTTTAAATTAAGATATTTGAGTGTTGTGAGCAGTGGCGTGCAGAGCTATGTAGATGCCCGGGGCAAACCCAAGGGAAGATGCCCCTATAAATTATATATATATATATATATATATATATATATATATATATATATATATATATATAAAATCATACGGTGTTAAAAGTGTTAGTAGCCCTACAATTGACGATAAATTATAACACATTATGTTATTAAACAGAATACAAATAGAAAAGCATTTTAAAAAATTGACTTAGCTAAACTCTTGAGAATACTCCATGCGAATATATCCAAAGAAATGACTGACTCAACAAATGGAATTTCGGGGAGGGGGAAAACAGTTTGGGGACATGCCGGATGTTGGGGGGGGGAGGGGCTCTATGCCAAGCCCAACAAAAGAGTTTCCAGTTTCCATTACCCTACCGGGTCGGGCTGCGGTCACAGTTGAATTAAATTGAGAAAAAAAACTAAAAGGTCAAAGGTCGCCATTGTTTATTGCTACAGCTGAGGCCACGGTTGATGTTAAGCCAAGTGAATTCTCTACCCCCCCCCCCCCCCAGCTGAACTTGAACACTGCTGTATTTTATAGGAAAACATTAGTGTCACACCTCGTTGTTATGTGGAAGGAGCGGTACGGTCGCCTGGTGATTGTTTTACCTGAGGTGGCTGGCGATGGGTCCATTGAGTGAGCCCTCCCCCCCCCCCCCCCCCTCAGCCTCCACCCCCGTGTACCTGGTATGTAAATCTGGGAAAAACACATAATTTGATACCCTATTGTATTCTGACCAAAGTAGGAATTTTTTTTGGCTGCCTGTACTAGTTACGGACCTTAGAAATGCTAGTCTTGTCTCGTACGTCGAAGTAGTCGGATACGTAGGAATAAAGCGTCTCGTCTTAACTCGATACATTGAGAAAATATCGATACTAGTCATAGAGAGCAGCGATTTCTGCTTGTGCGCTTTGTGAATGTTTAATAGAATTTTTGTATCGCTAAAGACACAACAGACAAAGATATTTAGCTTCACTACCAGCCGCACTCGAGAAATATGGCATAGAGATTGGTGAATTTCGAGGCCAGAGATATAATAGTGGAGCTACTAATACTATGAAAGTAAAACAATATTATAATTATATCGTCGTCATAATATTTTCCTCGACACCATGTCTACAAGAGACAGAGATAGATTTCGCAAGTAGAATCAGGTGCATCAAAAGCGAGGAAACGCAATTTAAGAGAAGAATTTGATAAAACACAAGCAGGTACGTTTGACAAGTACATACACAATCCAAAGAAAGTAGTTAAACAACAAAAACTTTTTGATTTGGTTGTGGCTTACAATGTCGCAAATGTAGAACGTATCAAAAAAGGACTACAATAAGAGTACTACCATTTGTGGTGATGACGGTAATAATGAATCCTCGAGTCATTTATTGTCAGCTGCAAACCCCACGAACTTCGACAATAGGGACAAATCAAGCGGCCATTCTAAAAATGATTCTGACGAAAATAATTCATATACAATCCAAAGAAAGTAGTTAAACAACAAAAACTTTTTGATTTGGTTGTGGCTTACAATGTCGCAAATGTAGAACGTATCAAAAAAGGACTACAATGAGAGTACTACCATTTGTGGTGATGACGGTAATAATGAATCCTCGAGTCATTTATTGTCAGCTGCAAACCCCACGAACTTCGACAATAGGGACAAATCAAGCGGCCATTCTAAAAATGATTCTGACGAAAATAATTCATTCCCAATGATCGTAAAAGAAATATACGATCCGGGTAATTGGGAACATGTATCAACGATGTCCCAAGACAGGCTCTGCGGCCTGTCGATTCTGTCAATAGAAAAAGACATTGCCTCCAATTTGGACTATGATGATTTAATCAAGGAATTTTCCGCACGAAAGGCAAGAAAAGTAGATCTTCGTTTGTGAACGTACTGGTAAGATTTTCATAAATAAACATTAATGTAAACAAATTAGGTTTGAAGGTGACGTTCATCGTCTTTTTAATGCGTGTCTCGAACTTACATATGTTTTATTTTTTTATTTTTCAAACAAAAAGCTTTAACAGAAACAAGCAACGTTTCAAAAGCACTTCTAAGTAAACAAATTATTTTTTTATCAGTGCCTTTATGTTAAAACTAATATACGATATTATTATTAAGCAGCTTAAAAATACCATATATATCGTTATAAATATTAATTCGCGTTGAGAAGAAAAAAAAAACCCGCCTCACTGTTGATGTTTTAGACACCAATTGAAAAATATAAGGCCCCTGGTTGTGAGCATCAGTTAAATCGTTGTTTGCCCGTGTTTTATGACGCGCTCATGTACACACGCTCAAGACCTTTTATTAAATTGGTAGAGCAAGCAGAGGAGCTGACCTTTAATGATGCCTCATACAAAATTAAAGAAAATAGAAGTCCTTGTTGAATAACACAGCTCTATATAACCTCACCATACCAGTGCAGAATGAATTCCCCCCCCCCCCCATTTGTGTTATATAATATGTGTACGACCCTTATGTCTGGACGATAAAAGTCTATAGCCAATGAAAAAGATCGCCTTCCACAGATAAATAAATGAATGTTCGGCTTGTGACTCTGAGTGTCAAGTGGCTTTCATTCATTTTGACAAGCCAAGGGAAACAACCCCGCAAAAACAACACAATCTTTTACAATCTCAACAGCTGTTTAAAAAAGAGAAATAGGAAAACTATAACCATGAGAACGTTCTTCTCAACCAAAAGATCCAATGATTAGGAGTTGGACTTCCCAGTTTTGTTAAACATGATTAAAACACAAGGTTTATCTGTATGGTAGCCGAACATACAGGCAGTGTTTCTTCTAGACTTTTTTTCTCCGGGGGTGGGGGGGGGGGGGGGCACTTGAAATATTACAGATTTTTTTTTTAGAAATTACATGTCATGCAGATGTGTTAGCCTGTAAAATATGACAATCCTACTAGACCAGGGGTCGGCAACCTTTTGAGACGGAAGAGCCAAAAGTTACAATTTACAAAATTTACCAGTTTTAAAGAGCCACTAACATTTTTATTTCAACATTTGGTATTTGATTTGGATTAGGTAAAAAAATTGACTTGTTATTTAAAATAAATAGCTTTTAAATATGAAATAATATTAATTCATATAAAAACATGCACATGTTTCGCCAGAATAATAAAATTATTAATCAAATAATATACTATCCCAATCCACTTTAGAAGCTGTTAATTTTTTTTTTTTTTTTTTTTTTTTTTTTTTACGAACACCACCAGCTCAGGAGGTGTCTTCCATTAGCCAGGCGGGCATCAACACGGCAAACTCAAACTGTCTTGGATATCGGTTTGACTATCGCGTATCGGTCGCTTCTGTCATTTGGTTAACATCAGGCTTTTATTTCACCCTACTGAACCCAGGGTAAACTTGTATCAAATCGTCCATTGGAAATGAAATTATAATTATTATAATATTATTAATATTTTTTCACGGAGCTGGAAAGCCGCATCTTGACATCAAAGGACCTGGTTGCCGTCCCCTGACTTAGATTATTATTATTATTATTATTATTATTATTATCTATCTTATCCCGGAACGGGGATCCAAAATTTTAACATCTTTGGTAAACATATTTAATTAAAAAAGTTAGTGATCTTATCTATACCAATTAATAATACGTATTCTTATTGTCTTTTTGTTTATAATAGAGATATTAAAAAATATTAAATTTTAATAAATAATAAATTTTTGTCAATATTTAAAATAACAAATATTGATAATTTTACAAAATTAATCAATATTATAAATGAATTTTAAGCTCCAATTTAAAAATGTATTTGCACAGTTTGTGTATTTTTTTTTTAAATTACTCATAAGTTATTTCCCTTTCCATGCGCTTTTTACTTTCTCGTATACGTATTGTAATCGTGCAATAAATAAAACGGAAGTGATCTCCCCTAAACGTTCTCGAATATTCTTATATAAAACAATGGGGGATGGCAACTCGGGATCTAGAAAATATTTTTAATCCATTTTTAATTACTTAAACTTTTAAAAATATAATATAATCTCGGAGAAAAAAAGAATTGCGCACCAATTGAACGCCAAACAATTTGCGGAGTATTATTTGTACTTCATAAATTCATATTCTTTTTTTGAGAAATCGGAAATAGCGTAAATTACTACTTCCGGTCAACGGAAATGACTCAAATTTCGACAGAAGGCAGACAATTAGATCTTTTATTTACATGTGAAATTCCTTTAATCTATCAGAAACAGTGTTCAGTTATAGGCTTTTGGAAAATTGAAAGTAGAATAAGTTCCACTTCCGGTTACCGGAAATCGGTGAAAAATTGATACAGAACAACAAATTTGATATAAGACTTACATATGCAATATCATCAACCTAGCTGTAAATTATCTTAATCAAAGACACACACACACACACAACACAAACATACGGACAAAATTGCAAAACTATGTTTTTCAGACTCAGAGAGGTGTAAAATGTCAAGATTTGTAAAAAATCTCTTTTTTTTTTTTTTTTTTTGCACGATTACAATACTTTCTATACTTCGTATACGAGAAAGTAAACACAAGTTTTGTGATTCGGTATTTTGCTACACGTGATAGTCTATAGAAATTCGATGTGATATGAGAGTGGTGGTCTACATATATATATGTGATGTGATATCAAAGTGGTAGTCTACAGAAATGTATCAGTGTAAGAAATGTGACGGATGTTTTCATGTCTGAGTTTCAATTAGGGATAGACAAGTTAAAAGGAAGCAGTGGCGTAGCCAGGATCGTCTCAAGGGGGGGGGGGGGTTCCAATTTTTACCCGGGGACAAACTTTCGATTTGCACCCCCCCCCCTCAAACTTTCGATTTGCACCCCCCCCCCCCCCCCCTCAAACTTTCGATTTGCACCCCCCTCAAACTTTCGATTTGCACCCCCCCCCCCCTCATACTTTTTATATATACCGAGGGGTCTATGGGGGGGGGGGGGTTATGATCCCCCCTAACCCCCCCCCCCCCCCTGCCTACGCCACTGAAAGGAAGTACCTTGAAATAGGGAGTAACTAAATATTCTAATAGAATAGCGAGTGTTTATTGTTTAAGTTTATTATTATTTCTTTAATATTGAGTGTTGCAGAACAATATTATGAGTTTTGAAAATGAAATAATATAACTATTAATATTTGTGCATGGAGATAAAGAGCCGCATCTCGACATCAAATGAGCCGCATGCGGCTCGCGAGCCGCAGGTTGCCAAGCCCTGTGTAACTAGACGGTTCACTATTGAGGTAAAGGCAGAATTTTGTTAAAGGGGGGGGGGGGGGGTATTCCACCGACTCTGTCCATTTTGTCAGCATACACTTGTTGAGAGATGCAGGTCTTTTAAAGTAAATTAACTCATAGGCCAACACCTTGTATAATATTGCAGACGCGTAGTTCATTACAATTTTAAAAAATGGCTTTAGGTGTCTTAATTTTAAATGATATGGTTGAGTTAATCTGTTACCTACGGCATACGAGGGGATGGTGTGTTCAGCACTATATCCAGTCACTTTTTACTTCCGAATCCGAACTCATGTTGGCCATCCAGGTGTGTTGGTCCTGTTAGGCTCAGGTGATATCAGAAACAATTTCAGAAATCTAAGAGTTCAATAGCATCTGAGCAACCTAAAGCTATTTTAACTTACATATTTATAGCAATATTCAATTATTTCAAGCCATGGTTTGTTACTGAACTAGATCTTAAGTCCCAATAACTCATCAGTAAATTTTAGATTAATGGAATCATCTTTGAGCATTGTGGACTTCTTTGTCCTCAAACTGACAACACAGAACATAAAGCATAATTTCAATGCTCTAACATGGCATGGTGTTGCGGAAATATTTACATTAAGGCTCTGGAGACAGATAGACATAATCAAAGCAGAGAATATGTCTGTATGTTTATTTTCTTAGGACATTGAAAGTTTTACATTACAGAACAACATTAAACAAGACTACTATAATAAGTTTTCCATCACCATAAAACCAGACAAAAAGCTTAGTTGACATTCTTTATTTCACTTTTCTTAAAGCAGCCACATGCTTGGTATTTCACACAATCAGTCATTTGCTTGTTAACTACATTTTTGAGATACACATGCACATTTTTATGATACACATTTTCCTAGTCATTCAGTTGTTAACCATATTTTATACAATATTCACATTTTCCCTGTCAGTTGTTAACTACATTTTATTTGAGATAAACACATTTCCTTTTCATTCATTTATTAACAACATTTCTATGATTTACACATTTCAAAGACACTCACTTACATGCTACATTTTGTACAAGAGATAACAATAATTAATGATTGCATTGATCAAAGTTATGAATATACATATTTACAAAAGAATATCTTACACTGACTTGTACAACTATGGAAGTAGAATTAGCACTGTCATTTGTGTATAGATTAACACTGTCATTTGTGTAGTTAAATAATGTAATGTTTTTTTTTCCAAGGTATATATGTAACGCTGTCATTTGTGTATAGATTAGCACTGTCATTTGTGTAGATACATAAGGTAGTTTTTTTTTCCAAGGTGTATTCGCAACACTGCCATTTCCGTATAGATTCACCAGTTTGTCACCAATTGAATTATATGGCAGACTTCAGTAACATACTTTACAATATTAAATTTATATACACATGCAGCCATTAAAGATCTACTGACAATGCTTTTAGGTTCAAGTATGGAAGTAATGTACAAGGATGCCAATGTAAATGGGTTCAAAGGTTAAGTATACAATGAAGGAAGCTTTATAAGTCAACAATAACAAACATGATTGTATGAACAAAAATACATGGTAAAACAAAACATGAGTGTGAGTCACCTTAACCTGACTAGTGACCTATATCAATTTGTTAATCATTCGTTTATAAATAAACTTTATCTGGATATATTTATATCAGGTTCAATCTTAACATATTAGAATTATCTCTCAGAATGGTTTAATTTTTTTTTAGTAATCAACTACATATGATAAATAACACAGCCATTGTTTAACATTGAGTATTTTAGCCTACATGCTTTAACTACTTATCCTTGTTTGAACTTGGATTTCATTTAAGTATTTTAACCTATTGGAATTCATTCATTCATTTTGTTAAATAAATACATCTCTACATTATTTCACAACCTTTAAAACTGAAAATAGTGTGACGCATGGTACACTTAATTTTTTTGTTCACAATAAAATAATAATATTAACAATTTTTAAAAATAATAATATACAGTTAAAAAAATTGTTTAATAAATAGTGTAACTGAAACAACTCATGCCATTTAGAGCTAATAATTAGCTACTGTTTTAAATAATTGTCTATGAATAAGGTTAAGTTAAAATTAAACAGATCAATGCATTCAACTATCATGTTATTTTACTGGCAATAACAATGTTCAATGCAAATAATTTTTAAAAGCAAGATTTTTAAAAACCTGGCAACTATTCATCACTACCATGCTTCTGAGCAAGCTAAATTTAGAATATGTCCACTTGTAGCAAAGAAATAAATGTTTGCATGCAACACAATGACTTGCAAGAACATGTTTTAGCTAACAATTGGCAGGGTTTCAAAACAGACAAACTGATGAAAAAGTTGTTCCCAGACAAAAAAAAAACTTCACATTATTACAAAAATGTCTCTAACAATTTTTCAAAAACATCAATTGTAAAATGTTGATATTTAAAACTGCATAATAAGTATCATAAAATGATTTTGTCATTTTGTGTGTAAAAACTTATAAAATAATGTCTTCACATAAATGTATGTCATTTAATCATTCAAAAATTAAAAAAAAAAAAAAAAACAATTTCCGTATGGTTTTAAAAAAAAATGTTGCTATACAAATAAAACAGGTAAAAACTTTTCTACAATCTGAATTATAGATATTAAAGGAATGTCATGCCATGTGATGTGTCAATCTTTCATTTTTGTTAGTTTTTAAAATCTGATACTTAAAAAAACATTAAAATAAATCCTTGTGGTCTCCACACACAAAAAAAAGCGATTAAAAAAACACAAACATGAAACTTTCTAAAACAAAAATTTCAGTATTATTAACCTTAAAACAATCTTAAGTAATTTCATATTTTCTGTGTACTGTATATTCCTTCAAGTTTACTTGAATAGAAAGAATAGTCCTTCAATATAATATCATATTGTAAAACACGTAAATGTTTTATTTTACCCAGGTAACAGTTGACTAGTGGATATCACCCTGATGGCAGTGTCTGATTCCCATCACTCTCTCAGAAATTCATGTCATAATCTCACTGGTCGACTAGATAGATTCTTGCTCTTCAAATAGTTCTACACGAACGCAGCTAATCCACCCAAGGCAAACAGAGCGATGATGACACAGACAACCAGTGGGACAAAGAACTTGGGGTTTTGTAATGATATCCGTTGTGTTTTGCGAGTAACCTGTGGAACAGAAATGTTTTTTATATAAAAATCATTTAAAAACTGGATTTTTTAGCTTTTATTTTCCATTGCAGGTTATTATATCAAGAAAAACAACTAAAAAGTACTAATTATTAACATTTGTAAAATAATTTTGATTAGCTAGACTATAGCAACTCATTTAAGGTTAGCATAAAAAAAAATAATGACTCTCAAAACAAGGTTAGTTTATTTCTTATACCACTGTGTGTGCTTTTACAATTAACAAAAATTCTCTGTCAAAGTTAAGTCCCATTATAGTAATTAAAAGTAAAATAATCTTAGTTGCGATTGTAGAATTCTAAAAAAAAATAATAATCAGAATAGTCTTAAACTATAAACTTATACTAATTTACGCCTATTCTATCTTTAAATTTAGTATGTTTATTTAAAGTATTTAATTAATAATGAATACTAAGAATAGCATTTATTTAGTTTATAGCATATTTATTCCATATTTGAATGAAAAAATTAGCCTACCTGTCTAAAAGAAAAGCTTTCTTCATCAACATGTCTGGGCTGGTTGTGCATTAACTGCTGTGTATCCGCATCAGATCTAATGGTACCTCCTAATGAAACTGGCCATATCAATGCATCATTGTTTGTATCTGAAGGAAAATCACACAACTGCAGAAATTTTCCTGGCACATACGCTCCAGGAGTAGAGCACTCTGACACAAGATCTATTTCGTCATAATCTGGCTTATCTCTCTTAGAGCAAAGTTCTTTCAGGTCTAAGTGAAGGCGACCAGAGTAAGCTGATCGTGAATCGAAGCCAAAAGTTTGGTTGTTGTCTTGATAACTTCCACTAGACTCCATTTTTTTAAAGTGTTCCTAATGCTACGATAAATTCAGGCGTTAATGATGTGAGACTTTGTTTCTTTAATTTGAAGAACTAAACTACCAGTTCTGAAAAAAATCACAAATGTTATGTTAAATTTTTTTTTATATAAAATATTGTGTATCATAAGTATAGGCCTAAGTAATAATAAATCGGCAATTCACAGGCTTTGTTCGTTATTGATTACCCGTATACTTTTTTTTATATAACATTGTGTATCATAAGTATAGGCCTAAGTAATAATAAATCGGCAATTCACAGGCTTTGTTCGTTATTGATTACCCGTACACTAGATCACGTTCTCGTAAAGTTAAGTGGCTTATCTTGGATACAGTACACACAACTGTGACAGACGAATACTTATTACAGAACATTTAACTCTTAGAAACTATGTGTTGGCTTTATGTTTAGGTCTTAATCGTAACAAAAGCAGTTATTATTAGGGCTTGATATATAGATATTGCCTATACTAGAGTTACTGTGTAGGTCTATAGCTAATCGATACAAAAACAAAAAATGAGATCTAAAAATGTAACGAATTATGTGTAGGCCTACATTACATGTAGGCGTGGTATGCCGAGGAGAGCGGGGTGGGGAAAAGGTCGCGCATACCAAAGTATTCGAGACTACTTAACCGTGTAAATGGCCTAGTGTAGGTATTTTCCCCCACTTCACCCTTCCCACCCTCCACCACGATCCCCTAGTTAATAGAAGAGAACATAAAAAAAAAAAAAAAACGTAGGCATCGCTCCAGAAAATAGAAATAGTCTTCTTCTGTGTCAGTCTTGTAAGTAGGTCACACCAAATTTATACGCGGCGCAGTAAAAAAAAAAAAAAAAAAAAAAAAAAAAAAAGTAGGCCCAGGCATACGGAGACCACAGGGAGATAAATTTCATGTTTTCAATGTTCAAGTCGTTTAAATTAACCCACGTCTGACCTACGTCATTGGACGAGATCAACAACCAGCCTCGCGGCAACATTTGACGTCCGTTCTTCTCGTACAAGCTATCCGTTGTCCCAAGTGTACTTGACGCGGTATACGGCCGGGGGGATACTAAGCAGTGTTCCCTCTAAGCTGCGCGGCTGCGCGGCCGCGCAGTACTTTCAAATGTGCCGCGCAGACATTTTCTGACCCCGCGCACAGATTATCAGAACGTCGGGCGAGCCTAATTCACGAGAAAAATTGTGGCCAGTGGTTTAAATTAAGCGACATTTTTAGTGCCTGTTTTGTTAAACGAACAGTCTTTGTGTTTTGGGGTATAAACAGAAACTACGGTTATCACTGACGGGGGGGGGGGGGGGGGGGAGGGAGTGACCTCGGTTGTCATACCACAGGTCTAGTTTATGACTTAACTCTCACCTGAGCGGGGCTGTGTGACACTCCCGTTGCTTGATTTAATGGTTTACCCAAAAACTGACCCGTAGCTGACATCTAATACCTGCATTGTATTGTGAATTGAAGCTGACCCTGCACGTTTTTTTATCGTCGCTTGCCCCCCCACCCCTCCCCCTCATCTTGAAACTTTGACGATTAAGCCAAGTCAGATGCAAGTTTTACGTTACTTAAGGTGGATGTTTTTGCTGTGTTTAGTTTAAAGATGTATATATTATATATCCGATTCTTGGAATTATTACGTGCATGTGGATCGAAATGTTTTAGTATGCACACACTGCTTAGGTAGATCAGGAATAAAAGTCCACTACTGTGTGCTATTTAAAATTGTTGAGGAAAAAATGTTTGTAACAAGCAGTACAACAATGTGGCACAAAAAAAAAGCGATAGATTCGTTTAAACTGGAATGACTCAAAGTTAAAGTAACAACCGATACGCCAGATCAAAGAATGTTTCGGTTGAATTAGAAGGCATCTTAGAATATTCAGATGAGATTGGACTGAAGTGTAAGTTCTGTGCTGCTACTACTTGTAACAAAACCAACAAGAGCAACGAATTGGTCACAGGAAAGCTCTGGGAATCATGGGAGCTTGACTACTGAAAACGTCATTTATTGTCTCGTGTTTACGTAGGAAATGTTGCGATTTCGTACAACCGCTCACATGGAACTGACCTTAAACGTCTGCTGGTTGAAACTTACACTGAGCGAGGAAAACTAATAGAGCAAAACGAGCGCCAGCGGTCAAACGAGGATCAAGTTCGAATCCTAACGGTTAATGTTCTTCTTACCATAAGGATGAACGCCTCGATACTGTCGGTACAACTGATTCATAAACACATGGGGAAGTATGTTTCTATACCAGACAGTTGGCGAAGTAAGAAATACAACTTTGACTTTGTTCAAGTAATCAACGATGTTGTTATAAAGAACATACTGACAGAACTTCGAGCAGCATCATTCCACACGCTTATAGTTGATGAAAGTACTGACATAACAGTACATAAAATGCTAATCCTTTATTTTAAATTTCGTCCAGTCAATTCTGTATTCTACAAAACCGTTTTTAGTGGAATAACTCAGCCTACTGTAAGTGATGCCTTAGCTCTGGAGACAGCCGTAACACAGCACTACACTGAACATTAAAACCAAGAAAATTGTGAGTTAAACGAAAGAATCGACACAAGGCAAACCCCACAGTACATACAATCAGTCTGCGACCATTTAAATGTTAGGTTTCCAGGAGATGAACTGCAGTTTTGGTCATCTTTTTTATTCTACAGGTTTAAAAAAATGTGCATTTGAGTTTGGCGTCAAAGATATGAAAGAACTGTGCGTAAAGTACAAAGACGAGTTACGTACAACAAATGATCAGTTAATTACCACCCAATACAACGACTTCAAATTTCGATAAAGTGAAAAACAGATCTGTGTCTGTAAATTATATGTCTGAATATGCAAGATTTGTCAAAACAAAGAACAATTTAGCTCACTGGCAAAGTTAAGTGACATTATTGTACCTTCCAAGCATGCAGTACTGATTACGAGCAAGGTTTTAGCCTTATGAACAGCATTAAAGTACAGGCACTAAATAGACTTGAAGCCACACATTTGGAGAATCTAATGCAAATTAAATTATATCTAAATGCTGGAGAGGATGTGGATTTAAACAAAGCATATAAGGTGTTGAAGCAATGCAAGGTTAGACGCGAGAAATTGCAATAAATGCCCCTGAAAGGTTAGCTAATATTTGTTTTTAAGTCAGCTTTATTAAATGTTGCATATGTTAAACTATTGTGTTTGTATTACCGTTATAGTATTAGCATTATTACCATATGACTGTCTTACTTTAACATAGTAAGTCGACCATATAACTTGTTGTCTAAGTATAACTCTGAAAGTTTTTATTAGTTGTTTTTTTTTTTTTTGATGGTATTCGTATCTCTATTTAATTGCATACGTTTCATTAGTTACACACATTATACTATTAATTTATCAAAATGCATGCCTTCATTATTATGCTTAATTGTAAGCCTAAACATACATATTAACTTGCCCAAGTCATTTTTAGCACCGCGCACACTACATATTTTTTGCACACACACTCTTGGTCCTTAGAGGGAACATTGATACTAAGTCGTTTTTGTAGGCCATTATGGCCGTGTTTATTTAATAAATGGGTAAATGGAATTTCGCATAGGCACGTTTCGTTGGGTGCTGAGGTACTGTGTAGACATGGTTGGCCCATCGTTAAGACTTCTCACTAATAGGCAAATTAGATTATAGAGGCCCGCTACAATTACAAGTACGCGAAAGACGTGAAAAAACAGATTAATCCTAATTATAATATTTTTGTAGGTCCTACTAAAACGAGAGGAATTATTTACTTAAAGACTTAAAATGGGAGATAATTTTGTATTAGCACTAACCAAGTATTCATATGGTTAGATCATTGGTAATGTCACGAAAACAACAAACCTAGTCTAGTTATATGTCAATACATAACTAACCTCAATCACAACATATACAGCCTAATATAAGATAACCAACTAGGCCTATATGAATATCACGGGTATGACAAATTGATTCAAAATTTGATTTTAAAAACGTTATGTATGTTCTTATGTATGCTATAATGTGTGTATTATGTCCTAATTAGTAAAAAGTTAAATATAATAAATGCCATCACTAACAATGTACAATAGTCGATGGTTATTAAAATGAATTTCCGCCATAGGATTTTATTGTAATACAAATCTCCAAAGAGAATCCTCACTTTAGCACGAGGAGCGGTCAGCTGTGTAGTAGAAAGGGGTCAGTTGGACAGGTGTGTCCGACATCCGACACTGTTGGTGCTAGTCAGACAGCAGGTGGGTTTAGGGGGGAGACAGGTGTCTTGTAACAATGGCAGCGGGGTGGTGGGGTTGCGGTAGAGGTGAACAGCGTTCACTGTGTCAATGACACTTATCTGCCCGACCCGAGATAATTGCAGGGTACATAACTCTAGGGGAAATGGGAGACGTGTTGCCAGGGGCGCCCTGAAAATGCTTACATCCGTTGTTGGCTAGGCCTAGCTTATGTGGCATCAACATTTAAGTTAACAACACGTTAAAGGGTAACGTTTTTAACAAAGAAGAATAGTAAAATGAAATAAACAAGTAAACCGTTATTAAAAATAATCAAAGGTTACTAAGGAACACAAGTGAAAACAAATGCTCAAAACTACCCTAGCTCAAGATTAACTTTCTTACACCAAATATGTAAATTAATACGCCAAAAGTTAACACCAATAAAATATTTTAAAATACGAACCACAAGTTAGCACGCTATTCACACAAGTCACCATTAGTGTTACAAATACCAGAAGTAAGACAGACGCCATGTGTGAACGGAGAGAAAAAACAACACGCAGACATCATTATCACTCCACTCATCTGATACGTGGTTGTACAGGTGTAGGTGTATAATGTAACACATTCCAGCCAGATTAGGTTCAACGGCAATCTTTGTTTGGTAGGTACACGACTGTACTCAACGTTTAAAGCATGTAGTACTACTGTACTGACCATCTATAGCTAGTAATGTAGATATCAACATCTATATAAGTCATGTAGCTAGCAACATCTATAGCTAGTCATATAGCTAGCAACATCTATATTTAGTCGTGTAGCTAGCAACATCTATAGCAGGTCATATAGCTATCAACATCCATGGCTAGTAATGTAGATATCAACAGCTATAGCTAGTAATGTAGATATCGACACGTACAGCAGATCATGTAGAAAGCAACATTTGTAACAAGTCATAAAGATAGCAACATATATAGCTTGTAATGTAGCTATCAACACCTATAGCTAGTCTTGTAGCTAGCAACATCTATAGCAACAAGTCACGTAGCTAGCAACATCTATAGCTAGTCACATAGCTAGCAACATCTATAGCTAGTCATTTAGCGACTACAAGTCATGTAGCTATCAACATCTATAGCAAGTCATGTAGCTAGCAACATCTATAGTAAATCATGTAGCTATCAACATCTACAGCAGCAAGTAATGTAAATAAACTGAGCTATTGCTCACCGTGGAGTGATTCACACACTGGATTAAAAACCCCACATCAAAGCAAACAGACATGAAGGTAACACGTTCAACACCTGTCTCACCGTGTGTCTCACCGGTTACATTGAACAAGGTGTAGGTGATGACGTCGTGACTAACGGTCAGTCTTCACATGACTCACGCCCGCATTTGTTGTTTTATTTGACAGGTTCAACAAATGTGAGCGAATAATTAACTTGGTTAATGTTTAGACTTAATTCTGTGACAATGGTGAGGGCTAATAATAGCACCGTGTCTGGGTAGAGTAGGTAGGCCGCGGTGTATTGAATGCTAGCACGGATGGATTTGTATAGTTTGGTGCCCCTGGTTAGGCTATAGGATTTTGTTACAAAAAACACACCGACTTTTACATCTAAACATGTCTTGTTTTTTATGTGGAAGGGGAGGGGGGGCTACTTTCCAGTTAAGCCAGGAGACGATGAAACAGACGCATCATCATAGTATATTGAATAATACCTAAACAACAAAAAGTAGCTGTTTTGGGTAGTTAACAGAAAAGTGCCGTTTTGTGAAATAAGCTTCATCTGTATCTAGTCTGTTAGGTTATAATGTGTATCTAGTCTATGTATAATGTGTATTAGTCTATGTTAGGTTATAATGTGTATGCAGTCTATAATCCAAATCCTTCAAAAAAATTGTCAGTCCTGGGCAAAAGTTGTGGTTACAATTGTTTCACTTTTCATTAAACGAATGTGTCAGTCTATACTATCTTTTAAAATACTCTTCTATTTTTTTTTCTTACCTCTTATTAGAATTTTTTTTTGTTAGCTCTTATTAGAATTTTTTTTAAAACTTGTGGGTGTATATCACAAGAACCTCGCTTGGCGTACGACTAGCAATGACCAAATACACCCCCCCGTAGACTATCGCGCCTTGCACGATGTGTGTACATACGTCATTGCTAGGGTGATAGTGTAATTAACAGCTAGTCAGAATACACGTTAAAGACAACACCGGGGTGTGAAGAATTTAACGGCTGGCTATGGGACACATTCAGGTCCTTAAATTAATGATTACATTAACAGGTAGCGCAACAAAACTTACTGTAGACCTATCCTATGTATTCCACTGCCGTTCACCACTATCAATCCAATGTTTATAGCGCCATTAAAGTCTCGGTTAGCATATATAACAACATATGAATAAACTATACATCACAGAATTTTAAAAAAAAAACCCACTGCCTTACTCTAAGTGGAAAAGCTAACAACACCCATTTATAACTCCCCCACCTTAAATACCCTCAACATGCCCCAGTTAACGATCACTCCAATCAATGATATCACGGTGATCAATTAAAAAAAAATTTGTATCGATTTTACCAGAGTCTATAGAAACCCAAGCCGTAGAGGTTATCGCTACCCATTTAAAGAGTTGCCCATGTGAAGCAGACGGCCTTTAATTATTCTGATCTGCGTCACAAACTGTGTTAGCTATTCTCTCCACTCAACCATTTTTTATAACGGGCTGTACACCCTTCCCCATTTTTACGCACACTCTAACGGCAATGATCGTTAACGTTAGACAGTCAAATATATTTATTATTTAAGCCCGCGTGTTAAATAGCTTATCAATTTTTATTATTATTAAAGAAGGCGTAGAGTTTTTAAGTGAATTTATTACAAAAGGTTTGAAGCATAGGAGACGTGTTAATTTTAACAGTTTTACAGTAACCGCTGAGTGATAACTATGACTCATCGGAGCCTGCTTCAATTAACCCTGTACAACCTCTGACCGTATAGCATTGCGTTAACCTTTCAAGATTAACATTGATTAATATTAACTTTCGTATGTATATAATTAGATTAAAAATAAATACATCTGGACTAGTATATTAGGTGGGGTATTTTACTGTGCTGCTTATTTAAACCGTTATCTGCAGAAGAGGTCTGCGTGTGTGTGTGGTTTATTGTGAACTATTGTGTGTGTAGTTTAGAAAGTTAAGAGTTGTAAACATTTTATCACGTGAGCGGCTGTATTTTTTAAATAGATTAATTTATATTACGAAATAATTCATCATATTAGTTCTGGCTAGTCATTACTCATCAGTGCAGCCCACATGAGATAAGTCGATCTAGATCTATTCGCTATAACAGACTTACTACTGTTTTATAAATTAATTAACTTATAGATTCTAGATCTAGATCTACTACCGTTTAGGGGAATTATTTTAACAGTTAAGTCTATGCCTACAAAAAAAAAAAAAAAAGTAATGATTAGTAGAGCAGATCTAGATCTTTATCTAGACTAGTGACTTTAGGCCTTAGGGCTAGGGAGACACGATTTAGGCCTATATTTAGCCTTATCTACAAATAAACAAATACATTTGGAAATGCTTTTAATTGATTTAAAAAGTAGCGATAGATCTAAAATAATCTATATCTGATCTAGGCCAATTCTTTAAAATAGTCATCTAGATAGGCCTAAGTATTTATTATATTTAAGGCTAAAATCTTAATATTGAAAAATATATCAGTTGTTATAGTACAGTTATAGAGATCTATAAACTATAAATTATAGGCCCTCGATGATCTATAAAACTATAGATCTAGATCTAGTTACTAGATCTAGATTCTAGATCTAGAATCTAGATCTAGGCTAGATCAAGAATCTAGAGAGTGGTAGATTTGGACTACATTTAGGACAGGATCTAGAAAAAAGATTTTCAGAAATCTAGATTCTAAATCTTAGATCTAGATCTAGATCTTCTAGATCTAGATCTAGCCTAGTAGACAATGCGTTATTTTATCCTAAGAAATTCGTTTAGAAAAGGAAAAAAAAACAATTGATTATTCACAAAATCGTGTAAATATAAACTACAAACAAAAAACTATAGGCCTAGGCCCTAATATAATTTTAATCAACTGTATTAATCTAGTCTAGATCTAACTGCTAAAATAACTAGTGCCTACCTCCACTGCTACCAACAAAATCCAGTATCCGAACAAAGAAGTGTGTGAAACAACTGGGAGCAGAGCACCATCAGCTGCAGACTGGTGTGGAGACGGCCGACGGAATGAGAACAATGTGTGTGGTGTGTGGAACAGACCTCCGTTCTCTTTCGCTTTCGCCCGCAAGGTTGCTGTCAGGAAGGAAGGCTAGTCCCCGAAGATAAAAATAGCAGTCATGACCAAATACACGTCACAGTTGACAGGGGGATGTTTCGGGATGTGTTTGAAGGATTTAGTGAAGGGGAGAATAACTTGTCTTGTGGGTAGTGGTGTATTAGGCGACGGGGGGCGAGAAAAATACTGACATGGATAAGGATGTCACCGCTGAAATAGGATTGGCATTACGTAGGAGAGCTAAAAATAGCATCCAATGCGGAAACAAAATTAAGAGATTTCCCAATGATATATTTAGTAACGAAAGGGGGAGTTTTCTAAAAAAGTGACATAGAAATTAAAATAACCTACAAAGATCACATAGACGTAAACATTGGCTAAGAAAAAAAAACCCAAACTAAAGAGGAATTCCCCAACTGTTTGTTATCTAATTTATTTTAAACCGTTACCTAAAGCACATTTATATCCAAGTATTTGTGTTTCATTTGCTGTCAAACTGAATCTTGTTTACCCACTTAACTTGTTTATAGACTGCCCACTAGTAATAAATCAAATCTTTCTAAAAATGAAGGCCAGATTTTCCGCGTGTAAACCAGATGTTTTTTAAACACTGAGTTGTTTTTGTTGATAAGACAAATGAGAAGGTAAGAAAAAGGGGGATTTTGTCACTTTGTCAAGATTTAAAAAAAAAAAAATTAAATTTAAAACGTTAGGGATTTACTTTTTTTTCTTCTTGTGATATGACGAATATATGCATGATGTATTTGAACGAGTTCCCGTACCAGATGACGTAGTTTACATAATATGGGGAATTTCTTCTACCTTGAGTCGCGTGTGTGTTTATCAAATAGACACACGTTGAACAAATACAAAGTTGGACCCTTAATAAAGATTTCAATGCGGGACTAAGAAATCACTTTTGTTAGAAGTCACAAATTGCGTCGTTGTTAAGGTGACTTTGTACAGACGTAATCAAAACTTGACTTGTTAAATCAGAAATTTGTTTAAAATCTAGTCGGCCTAGTTAGAGAATATTTAAGAAAGGCAAACTTGACAACCAAAATAAAATCATGTTTAATTTAGTTTAACTGTATGTACGCACAGTACAGTATTAAAGTATTTAATGTCAACGAGGTAGTAATAAGTACAGTAATGTAATAGGAAACATAATTATGGTAAACTAGGTTTACTCATAACCACCGACCGGGATGTTTACATGACCTTTCAAATATTAACATGAGTGTTAGCTAGCATTTTGTTCAGTTCTATTTTTCTTCGTACGGAATTTAAGTAGGCTAAATAAGATAAAATGTTTCATAGGTTACATGTGGGTTTGAGATTTTTCTTCCAAGTCTGAAATGTTTGTTACAATGAACTAGTTAGCCTATAAATGTATACATGAAAAGAGTGTTGTTTTTAGTTTAATTTTTATTTATGTTTAAACACTTTTAAGATAGTAGTTTAAACTGGCAAGTCCTTTTAAAAGTTTTAAGATAGTAAAAGTATATGTTTTCTATATTAATTCCATTTCCTTCGGGGGAGGGGAGGGGTGTGCCTGTAAGAAGCTCTGCAGGCACTAAAGAAGGAAGCCAGCACTTCTATAGGCTTTAGTTTTTATGAAACAGCCCGAGAAGACGGAGTGTTAAGGCAAGATTCAGTACGTTTTAAACATCACACGTTTTAGTTTTAGCTTTGAAGAAACTTTGCCCCCGTAGATAGAAAACAAATAGCGGAATGTCTGAACTATTGTTTTTTTTTTCCAAGTTTTAAACAGTGTGGGGTCAGAGGCGTCACAAGTGGGGGAACCTGGGTGCGGACCTTACCGAGTGAAACCCGACCTAGTGACGCCACTGCGTAAGTTACTTTTAATTTTGATGAAGCTAAGCCCGTGTAGATATACTAAAACTATCAATGTAAAAAAAAAAATAACTACTTTTATAAACAGCCTACGTTTTAGTCTTGAAGAAACTTAGCTTTAGTTCATAGTAAATTTATAGCGCAATGTCTGGAGCTATTCGTTTTCTTGCAAGTTAGAGTAAGGTTGATTTAGGGTTTGAAGAAGCACATCCCGTGTAGATGTAATGCAGAGGCGTAGCGACCCTTCCCGGCGCCCGGGGACAAACTTTTCGATTTGCACTCCCCCCCTCAAGATTTCGATTTATTTGCACCCCCCCCCTCAAGATTTCGATTTGAACCCCCCCTCAAACTTTCGATTTGCACCCCCCCCCTCAACCTTTCAATTTATTTTTCCAACCCATTTTGGCGCCCCTAAGATCGGCGCCCGGGGACATATGTCCGCCCCCCCTCGCTACGCTATTGATGTAATGTAAAGAAACAGTACGTTAAAGATGTCACTTATTTTAGCTTTGAAAAAGCTACGTTTTAGTAGATAAGCTTATATAACGTAATGTTTGGAGCTATTAGTTGTTGTTTTTTTAGGTCTTAAACAACGTATGCCGTAAGGTTACTTTAAGTTTTCACGAAACACAGCCCTCATAAATGTACTGTAAAGGAAGAAAAAAAAACCAGTACGTTTTCATTTAAACAACCGACGTTTCAGCCTTGAAGGAAGCTTAGCTACAGTAGCTGAACCGTTAAGAGTCTTTGTTGTGGGACACAGCCTCGCCATAAGCCTAGCCGAGAAGCCACATCTGTTGTAAAGTAAACAATACGATGACGCAAGCATTTTATCTACCCAAAGGATTTACTAGTCCGTAAACCTAGAATAAATATACATAGTGTGTAGTGATAGTATTGCTATTGGATCGTGATGGATTGTTGTCATGTTATAGAGATAGTATTGAGATTGGATGGTAATGGATTATTGTTAGGTAACAGACTGTCTACATATTATATAACGGAGACGGATAGGAGTGGTTTCATTTTGTTATATTGTGTTATATGGGGTACATGTTGTACAGAGCATTGTTATATAACTGTGCTTTACATTGGTAACATATAGGCTTAAAGAACATTGGCTAAGAACTCTACAGTAAAAGACATGGTTAAAAGATACTAAAACGCTAGATTAGTTTCGATTACGCCTACGCAGAAAGTGAATATGATAAATTATGTTATTTATGTGCAGAACGAATTGATAGAGATAGATTATTGATAATCTCTCATGTAAAAATAATCATGTAAAAATAAAGACAAGAAAAATGCAACACTTAGAATTAAATTCTTTGAATATTGAAAGTACCAGTTGTTTTTTTTTTAACCAGTGAATTACACGCATCAAGACAACTACCACTGTAGGATTAGCCGCTCAGATAGCGGCCCCTGTTTCTTCAGAGTTATCTAACCTCGCTTCGCAGAGAACTCGTCCACATATCTCTACTGAGTGTTGGCGGCTTGCTAATGCTGTTCTCCCCCCCCCCCCCCCCCCCACATTCTTTACTAATGCTAATTATTTTTTATATTCTTTGCGTGTGCAAGTGGGATTATCTACATTTAATGTATCAATGTTGTTTTTGTTACTGTTAGGAATATAAAAAAAAATTTCTTAGCATATTTTTATTTTCAAATGTAATAATCGTTGTTTTAAATATGTACAGTAACAGCTAACAGTTTTAAACAAACATGAGGTCATTATATAAGCAGTCGGATGGCCGGACTGGTCTCAGGTCACAGTGACCCAGCCCGTTGTCCTGCAATTATAGCTGAGCACTCGCAGCGTGGAACCCACTACACTGGCGAGTTAAAATAAGTTAAACTTGTAACAGGTCTAATGCTATTGTCTGGCTTTGGTGAGGGGTGGGAAGATGTAGGATGAGCAGGCTTGTTTAAGTGGGGTGTGAGGGAGGGGACGCGGGAGATGTCTGAGTAGGGGTTGGATAGGTATATCGCGTGTTGTGTTAATTAGAAGCTTTTAACACCGGGGACTTGTTGGTAAACGTTTTTGTTAAAAGCACTGACCTTCCCCCCCCCTCCCTTTTAGTAAAACATTGCCACTCCCCCGTAGAAAAATGTATGAAAGAAACAGTGCTTATATAAAGGTTGAGGGATTAACTAGCCTAATATGGTGTATGAAAATATGAAGCGAGGCGGAACTCATCAAGCACTTGTGTGGAGTGGTTTTGTCCATTGCCCACTTGAAAAATAAAAACAATAACGCATACAGTTATATTATCCATCATCGACGACATTGCAACAAGTAGTGTTGTTGGAGATTTGTTTTACATTTGTGTAGTCATTTCATTTGTAAACACATTTGACAGAAATCAGAAATCTGGATGCCATTTAAAATAAACAAATATGTGTCTGCGGGCAAAAAATAACAAAACAACGTTGTGTCATATCTCATGGTTTTTGTTTGTTTGAATGAAAACCAGGTCATCATTAAACTATTTTGAATACAAGTTTTGAAGTAATTGATGAAACTGTGACGTAACCTTAATCAAATTAAAATGGCCAATGTACATATCATACGTACAAGTAAAGTTCCCTTTTTGAACCTAACGTTTCAAGAGGCCAATGAAGTAGATTCCACCTGTTTCTGTGATCTAGGCATATTAAGTGATAGTGTGGTCATCACTTTGCCCCGCCGCCTGTACTTTTCCAAACGTGAGTTGAGTACCCTTCAGAGCTGGGTGGACTCAGGGACGTTTTACTGACTTAAAGCCGGATTCGAACTCGAGACTTTCAGGTTATATATCATGTGAGCATATGAAATGACTTCTTTTTTACCAAGCCAAACCAATATTTTAATTTGGCAACATCCTGTCTGCGGGATCTTGATCCCCCTTGCCCCCCCCCCCCTTTAAAAAATTGCTTCATTGTACATAACTTGTCTAATTTTTTTTCCAAAGTATACATTTGTTGTTCGGTGCGAAGTGTAAGTTCTTATTTCCTCCAATAAAACCAAAACTTAAATATAATTATTTGTTTAAAAAAAAAACTGTTTTATTTTTAAACAAATAATTAGATATAATTTTTTTTTTAAATCCACAGAAACCAGTGGGCAGTCAGTTGGGTCAACTATGACGTCTTGAGGTCAACAGCAGAAGACATTTCTCTGCTGCCACAAATATCTGTCTCGAGAAACCACAAGAAGTTAAAATAGCGACATTGAAATCCTAAAGTTGACAGTACAGCACGTCCACATTTGCTCCGGGGCGTGACCTGCGCGGGCTATAAATAGACAAGTGAAACCGAAATAAATGTTGGAGGTATCGGTGTGGACAAATAGAGTCACGTGGTGTGATTCCAAAAAGCAAGGCTCGACTTCATACAACAAGGGTTTGATCAGCGTTAACCACGTCAATATTGGCCCGGTCGTTGAACAATCTACACGTGCAGAATTCAACAATTTACACATCCCAAGTTCACACAGTGATTAGTGGTGGATTTGTATTATAGCAAAAAAAAAAAAAAAAAAAAAAAACAAAAAAAAAAAAACATTGATTGGGGGAGGGGGAGCTACAAATAAAGGGCTATAACATAACGCCTATGTACGTGTTATATCGATTGGACATTTTAAAAATATATGAAATACAATATATAAAACTTACTAACAGATGTATATGTATTCTCATCAGCCGTCAGCCCCAAAAAGCGCCAATCCCTCCAACCAGCCTCTCACAGTGTCTGTCCATAAATTATACAGTTAACTGTTTTATAGATCTTATCGCATAATGTAACCATCAACAATACGTTATTGCACAATTGTCAAAGCCTCTAACGATAAGAATATTGAAGAAATTGAAATAAAGATTTATTCTTAGCTTTCACGACAAGACTAATTTTTTTAAATTTTCAACGCCATGAAGCACCTGGCTTTAGACCTGGCCTGGTTCCTGTACGTACTCATGCCTGACAGAGTGTGTGCTTAACACTGTACACGGACAAATAGCACCTTGTTATTTGTTAAACTCAAACAATACTTGCTTCACCCCATCCCCACGTACTGACGTATAAATCCTTTTTAAACAAGTTTGTTCGTATGGATAATACATTAAAATTTATTTTTTTACAACAACGATTTCAATAAATGAAAGAGTCTAACTAGTGCTATTGCACTGTAGGATTCAAAGTAAGTAGACAGATGATGCATGAAGGTTTACGACTACGGTTACCTACGTGCGAGAGATATTTACAGACTCGTGGGATTTAAGTCTCGAGACTCCACGTACAATGGTAAATCTTAGAGGGCGGTGGGCGGTTAACACTTTTGATGGGTTTTTTTTTTATATACGTGGCTTGGTGCGGCAAGATCAAGAATTTGTCCATGCAAATAATTTAGTGGCGTCACAGTCGAGGGCCCATCACATTCAACAAAGTATGACGCTGCCCACACGTCCATCACATTTGTTAAAATATGTTAATGTAGCTGCCCACACAGGCAAATGTAGCTCCAGTGTGGGTTGGGGGGGGGGGAGGCTAGATTGAAAATTACCCGTCCTCCCCAGAAAAATTGATTGTATACCACATTTCGGATCTATAATCACCGGGCCCTAACTATGCCCTGATACAACCTCCCCATTATCCGCCACTGTAACTGTTTACACCCTCTTCATCCCCCCCCTACCGGGATATTCTCCCCATATTTACAAGTATAACGTTGTTTGTGTATGTCAGCAGCCCTAAGCACTGTTCACCCCACCCATTATTTAGCCTTGGGTCTCGCCTCGATACCCCCACCCTAGGCTCCTCTATTCACACTCTGACGTAATGCCTTCATTTTTCAACCACTGAGAAGAAAAGAAATGATTTAGCGATTCATGTTCACTGGGAGCCCCCACACAAAATAACTCTTCATGTTAGGGCGGAATCGAGTTTGACATTCATCGCTAGCTGTGTATTATTTGAACTTTGGGCGTCACCACCAGTCATTCAAGTTCTTAAATATGTGAATTATTCAGTTAAACTCTTCAACCATGGAAGTAAACTACGTTATATTGAATATGTTTAGTTAAATATTATTTAAGAATTAAAAAAAATAGCTGGTTTAGATTTGTTAAGGTAAAGGGGAATTACTCCAGGGCGGCGACAGAGTTGTGGAACATAACGAACGTTGACTTTTCGCATTCGTTACCTAATGTGCCATAAGTATGATCTTTAACTTTATTTACATCTTCTGTTTACCTCCCATCTAAAGTTAGCTAGAATAAGGGGAAATAACACAAAAAGAGGCTCGCAGAGTTGTTATCATAAACATTTTGTTACTTTTTAAAGTTTTTGTTTACGTGAGTTCTGTTTTGTTTGATCCGGCTGGTTTAACACGATCTACAAGTGGCATGTTTATAAGGTTCAGGGCCGTTGTAGGGGGTGGGGCTGAGAAGGCTTGCAGCAAAGGGCCCACAGGAGTTGGACATGACCACACGACCCTCCAACTGACACGTAAACTAATAAAGTGTGTTGCTGGTGCTATACATCTTGGCTACATGTTTTCTATTGTTATTCGCATGTTTTTGTTTTAAGTTCAGACCTTTGTTTCACTACCCCCCCCCCCCCCCCCAACACACACAGCAGTGTTTCTTCCAGACTTTTTTCTCCCGGGGTAAGGGGGGGGGGCACTTGAAATTTTCGGGGGCGGACAAAAGTATATATTTAAAAAGTATATATTAAACGTATATATTAAAAGTATATATTTTCTATATAAATTGCATTTCGTGGGGGGGGGGGGGGGGGCGAGATGCCTGGAAGAAGCTATGCTACACACATACACACAATCGCTCAGATTGAAATTTTTTAAAAAGGTCAGTATTTAAATTAGACTTTTTTTTTTGTTTGTTAAATTAAATAAATCAAACTATTTTTTACCGTTTTGTTTTTAAATATCGACGTTTTAAACTACCAAGGATGCGTTAAAGAAATTTCAACCAGGGTTTTTATCATATTTAAGAATCAAATATCCTTTTAAACTTCAACGGTAAAGCTAACGGAATTGTATTTTTCTATTTACATCCTCGTTAGCAAACATTATGTTTAAGTCATTTTCCACAATCACCAGCTAAATACAACTAAATTTGAAAAAGTGGACACGTTAGACCATTAATTTTATTTTTTTAACAATGTTAATCTGGGGATTAAATACAAAAACCTAAAGGAAATCCTGAGAAAATTTACGAGCGTATCAGAGTAAGTTACGGTGTAACGTTTACATAAGTAGCAGGTCTTTTTATCCCGGGGTCTACCTAGGAGATTGATGTTATACATCCAGATCATGACAGTGGGAATATATGTTTATAAGGATGTAATCAAGGATTCAGGATACGTAAACGGGATGGAATAATAAAATTAGAACTGGCTCGTTTATTTTACTGACACCGGCAACATTCATTGTGTTTCAAAGAGGGGAGGAAATGGTTCACAAGGGGAGGAAATTTCTTTTTTTTTTTAGTTGGGTGAGGGTTAGGGTTGGAGTTAGAGTTAGGGTTAGGGTTTGGTGAGGGCTATGGTTGGGGTTAGAGTTATGGTTACGGTTTGAGTTGAATGAGGGTTAGGGTTGGAGTTAGAGTGTAAGCCCTGCTGGGGGAGGGGGGGGGGGGTTAAGGATTTAAGTCAGTGCTTAAATCAGGTATAGGAATGAGAAACAGGATTAGGGCATTGGTTATAGTAACGATACTAGATAGATCAATAACCGCGATCACGTCCAACTAACGTTTTAAAACTTTCTCATACTTAAAAAAAATTGAGACTGTGCGTGAGAAAGCTAGGCCTGTATTTTAAATCTGGCGTTGGGTTAAAGCTACAGAGTTCAGCCTTATCATGTCTGTGTTGTGTTGAGAGTGGCCAGGACAGGACCGACTCGACCTGCCCAGAGAGTCTACGTGCGGCTGTTTCATCTCAGCCGCCCTGTAGAGCAAATACAATTCACGCGTGGCCAGGGAGGTCGTAAATTAACGTTGCCAGTGTGGCCATAAACACTTTTTTTCTTCTTCTTGTTTTAAAGTGAAGGTGTAAATCTCTTTCTCAGATTATTTTTAATTGCTAGTAGACCCCTGAATATATATATATATATATATATATATATATATATATATATATATATATATATATATATATATATATATATATATATTGTAATAGATTGAAATAATTGTGAGGTCAAGGGAACTCACTCTCTGTATTAGTATTATATTTATATTGTTATCTTGAGTGATGTCCCTTACATGTTGTTATCTATATATAGTGGTCTCTGGCCACTTCTCTCTCTCTTCGCATCATGGCGTCTGTACATAATAAAGACTGTTAATAACCAACGCGGCTTCTCGTCAGTCATTACAATCCACGTCATTTGGCGACGAAGGATAAACATCTACTAGAAAGAGCACCTACTTACGCAAAAAAGAGGTTTGCTAGAGCTTATTAGCTAATTATTTCTAGAATTATGGCGCTGTATGGCCAAATAAAAGAATTTGATGCGAATGATGAAATCATTCAAGATTACCTAGAGAGGTTAAGCTTTTACCTAGAAGCTAACGACGTGACGATAGAAGCCAAAAAGAGAGCTGTTTTGTTAACAGTCATAGGGCCTCAACAATTTAGGCTACTAAAAGACTTATGCGCACCAGCTAGTCTAACTACCAAGAGCTTTAACGAGCTGAGCAAATTGCTAACAGACCACCATGCGCCTACCCCATTAAAGTTTTTATGTAGAGCTAGATTTGACAGTAGGACTCGTCAACCAAACGAGTCAATATCAGAATATGTTGCTGCTTTACGTCATTTAAGTAGATTTTGTGAATTCGGCGATACGCTGTCTGACAGACTATGTGAAAAGTTTGTGACAGGTGTAAACAGCCCTGATATTCAAAGAAAGTTGCTGCTCGAGTCAGATCTAAAATTGGAAAAAGCAATACAACTTGCAACTTCATACCAGCAGTCATCAGATGCGGCGAAATCTCTAACGCCTTCAGGGATCCATGCAGTAAACAGCAGGTTAGTCGATAAACATCAACCCCATCAGAGCATTCCAACTTATGCTAAACACCCTGCTCGTTCAAGTCCTAGATCTAAATCTAGTAATAATTATCAAAAATGTCATCGATGCAAAGGTCCCCATGCATCTCATCGGTGCAAGTTCAAGTCTGCAACTTGTTATAAGTGCAGTAAGCAAGGTCACATTGCTAAGGCCTGCTTTGCAAAGTCTTCGTCTGTTGCTAAATCTAGCCAGTCAAGACAGTACCGCAACCAAAGGCAGCACTATGTTAACTCTCACCAAGACTACCTAACCCAACCAATGAACCACTCTACCTGTGAAAATGCTCAAACTGATTCGCAGCCGGATTTCAACCTGTTCTCTGT